GAGTTTTAAACACCTCAGTGTCATTGCTGGACTGAGAACAGGCCACCAACCAAAAACATCCAGCCAACAGCGTCCTGTGACCACTGATGAAGGACTACAGGATGACACAAACTGTGCAGCAACAGATGAGCTGCTGTCTCTGACTTTACATCTACAAGGTGAATCAACAAGGTAGGTGGGTCGAATAGAGTGGATAGTGAGTGGAATCAGTGTTTAAAAACACCAGCAGCACAGAGACAGGAGATTACTCTGCCCCAGAATAATTGTACTTCAGGGGGTTTCAGCATGTTTTCACTTAGAGAAGTTACAATAAGGGTGCGGCGAGATTCCAATCAGATGTCTTCTATGCAAAGTTAAATGTCTTCTGCGGCATGTTTTAAAATAAACAAATTAATGGTTGAGATTTTTAAAGGCATTAAATATATTGGTCCATACTGTGTCCCAATCTATGGATCTACTGCCTAAAGCAAAGCCATTATGTCATAATCTTGCTCCAGGAAAGTACATTTTGTTGTGGATTGCAAGATAAATTATCATATTATAGTCTTAGTTCAACTTTTCATTGTAACTTTTGGAAGCAAATGATGGTGAAGTTATTCTGTCTGTTCTTCTGTAAGATGTATTCAGAATCACCAGCTAAAGTCAACTGAATATAAACCAAACAGCTTACATTCATTTTTATTATTAAATGAATTTTGGAACCACTGAACATCAACAAACAAATGATACCCAGTTTTGCCATCATGGAAAGATCAACCAAAGATCCTCAACCAGAAGCGAAGAGATTTATTTAAACATGTAGAGAAAGGATTGTTTTATCCAGTTTGAAGGTTTTGTTGACATTCAATAATGAAAAAGTTCAGGTTGTAATTACTTCAGACAGAGGCATCGCACTGGGCCAGTCTTGAGAAGAGTTAGCCTTTCTCTGAGACAGAGACAAGCTGAGTCAAAATGATGCTGAGGCTGAGACCATTAATGTACGTCCTCGAGAAAGGACTTAAGTACAACACTACTTCTTACTCCTACAAAGATACATCCTCATGATACATAATGAAGCTTTGATAAGCATCATAAAGGCTTTCACTCCCCATGGAACCTCTTTTGAAAGAGTTTTTAAGCTTTCTGTTCATTCTCTCTCTTATGGGATTAAATGTAAGGCACAGCATGATATAAGAAGAGCAGCCCATGAGCCTTTGGGAAAATACATGAAACATAATGTAACACGATATATATTCTCTACATTCCTTTTAATGTATGCTGCTAAGGAGAAACACAAATGCACACACACATGCTTCCTCTAATTTAAATATAACATACACATTCTTTACAGTCCAATCCATACACTGGGCCAATAAGAAATCGATACCTCATGGTGGACAAAGCATATAAATCCAGTACTTGCGTGAAAGCAGAGATATTCTTAATAAAATATTACTTAACTGAAAGTTAAAATTTATATTTGTACTTGAGCTAAAGTGCAAAAGTACATAAGTAAAAATCACAAACAACATTTCTCCTTTTGTGTTTTCAGTTTAGGAAATTTCTTAGATAAAAGTTCTCTCCCCATCCAAACTCCTGTGAATTCGGATGTCTGATTTTAAAAATGCCCCGCACAATGTTTCAGCATTTTCTTTCATTCTGAAGGCTTGTCAGAGTTGCCAATGCCTAGTTACAGTTGCAATGCTATGACTGGACATTTGATACTTAGGTGAGGAATTCAGTAAAAGGTGCACTATGGGTGATTTGACTTTTCTGTGAATGTGCATCGTATTTGTATGTATATTATCACTGTTGGAACAAAACCTACTATCATCAAAATTAACTTGTAATGGAAGTTAATGAAACAAGACTCTTCCAAGTCATTTCTGACCATTTCCATTGGTCCGTTCATCATGTATTTTAACACAATGTAAAGGGTATCTGAAGTTTTCAAATAAAGCAAAAAAGTAAAAAAACGACAAAAATGGAGCTACAAGGCTTTTGTGTGATGACTATATCGTGTAAAAATCACGTTTGTTTTATTTAAATTGTCTTGTTTTGCCAAGAACTGTGTTGATGTAACACATTTTACTGTACAACTATTTCCACATTTTAATCATGTAAATTCAAAGTGCCATGTTTGTCAGTGTAGTGGAACAAAAAGTGTCACAAAATTGAAATAATTATGAAAAAAGTACTTAAGCTCAGTAATGATGCACATGTACTTAATTACTGCCCACCACTGTAAATGCAATGCAACTTCATTCTAAGACGTACTTCCAGGACCATGACCTTTAAACAACACAAAGCAAGCCTAAATAGAACAGTGCAAAATCCAAAATCAACCATCATATATAACATGTAATATGTAGCTGCTACATAAAAAAAGTTCTCTGGTGATTTTAGAAGGCAGGAAGTGAGAGGCAGTCATTTTTTTTTCTGGTGCGTATCTAGATTCGGTGTAAATTGTTTCCAGATTGCATCTCTCATGCCTGTGTGGACAGTAGAGCTGCACACCTGGCTGCTGCCCCCAACTGTCCAGCTTCTGCCACTGCAAAACTCTAACCAGGTGACATCATTCCTAACACAATCCACTAGCACAATACTTTGAACAGGTCTACAGGCACATGAGGCGAGACTTTATCAAGTTTTTTCTCATATTGCTTATTTACTCATCCGGGCAAACATGTGCATGGTGAATTTTGTATATTTCAAGAATTCTTAACTGCTTTTTCGAGCTTTAATTAACCATGACATCAAACAAGAACAACTGATGTATGAAAAAGTGCATATTCTACTAACAATACAAAGAACAAAAGAAGAAAAGAACAAATGCTGTTTGGGGAGTCGCAGAAATGATTTCAACATGCTCTCCCAAATACCCTTTTTGAGAACATACGAAGATTCTCACAATAAAATGAGCCATAACAGCAAAGAACATACTACTTAAATTATTTGAAAATGCATGCCTTGTTGAAGTGGCTTTAAAATAACTATGATTTGACAAAAGGGCCATTTAATTAAGCCCCTGCATTTACTGGAGCCTCCCAAAGGATAAATCAACCGTTTCCTGCCAAGGCCTGCGTTTCTATGGATTTCTAAAAGACTTCCAGCCAAGTTCTGAATGAGCACTAAAGGAGGAGCGAACGTAACCCATTATCTCTGAATGAGCGCTAAAAATTCATCCACATTTCTCGAGAACCTGGTTCAGCAATCGTCGAAAGCCCAGCACGCATGGCCTGTAACGATGATGACACGGCCTCCCGACTCCATCCAGACCACTTTACATGAATTTTTCAGCGGCTACAGCGCAGCCGTTTTCCGAGCGTATCAACAGCGTGGAAAGCCATCCGGCTCTGGCCTACTTCTGCTCCCCTGTGCGTGACACCACAACCATTTAGAGTGGCGTTTCTATCCTGATAGCAATTCCACCACCATTTTCAGCTGTCTCATTCCATTTTCTGTCCACTATCTAATTTGTGATGCAGCTTTTTCCTCCCCTCCTCTGCTCTCCGGCCGTGGCGACTTTCTGCTTGCGCCCTGCATTATTCACCGTTTTCAAGAACGCCTGTGCACCCCAGAGGCCCCAGCCTACCTCCACACCCCCCACCCATCCAACCCCTCCATTTCCATATTTGTCCTTTCGGACTGCTGTTTTACCATTTCAAATAAGCATGTTGGGTTTAGGACTCCACACTGCGAATACCAATTTGGATGCCGCGTGTGAAACCTTCAGTGCAGCCAAACAGCTGGAGACCAATTTAAACATGCAAGCGGAAGGAGCCTGCGGCCCACCAAGCCGTGGGACCGGCTTGCTCACAGCAGGCCCACTCCAGCCACCGAGCAATCAGCTGACTGTCAGGAGAAGCATGAGTGCATGTGAAATCGGAGGGAAAGGCGAATGCTAACACGCTAAGCGTCATGCCACCCAAGGTTATGGATTCCAGCGCTCTCGTGGAGTAAAGTGGAATTAGCTTGTTACTGAATGTCCAGTCTTGCAAGCAGAAAGGAAAAACAGACCAGCGTTTGACAATAGGAAGGTTTTGAGATTTATTCTGATTTTAAGGAGGTAAAATTATTCAACAGTTTTAATTAAACTGACCAATATGTTTGTCGTTGTCAACTAGGGCTGGGCATTCTGACAATATTTATCAGTATCTGGATAAATAACCTCATACTACATCACAATATGCTTTTCTGCAGTATACCGTGAATATAACCAGTCATTAAAGCTGCACTATATATAAACACATGCTAAAATATAATGGGCGAGCACTGCCGCGAGTCACCATGTAAAGCCTGAAATAATAATAAAAAAATCAGAGGTGTTGGGTCGGGTCTTGCAGGAGTTTTTCGATCCATGTCACACATATTTACGTATTCATGTCACACATACAGGCTCAAAAAGAAGGGCGTGCAGATTTCTGCATTGTAATCTGCTGTATTTCTTTAATAACATGACATTTCAATGCTGATTTGTAAAGAACATGATCTAACATGATTTTTGAAAGAGAAATCACATGAATAGGAACATTTTTTTCATTACTCTGATAAACCCAGTCAGTACTGATATGAACCCTTGTTCATTTTTACACAGTGATACGGTCACACAGAAAAATCTAATTCTACATGCTGATATGTTTTACTCTGGCCAATGTGTACCATAACCCCTCTGTGGCAGATTTAGCATAAACAAGGGCTAAACATTTGTGGGTGTGTGTGTGTGTGTGTGTGTGTTTTGCTTTACATTACAGGTGCTAGAACACATTCAGTGAATACTCATTTTGTCTAAATAAAGTGAACCAGGGTGTAACTACATAGTTTGACATGTGACACCATTGCAATTTATGGGCAGTAACCATTGTAATCCACTGAATGGACCGTAAAAAAGAGACTAAGTCTCAAACCATTTGTGGTATTTCTAAAGTCAAAAAACACATTGCTTATTAATGTTAAAGCCTGTGAAGACCAAGGAGAGTGATGTACTGTGTATGTGTCTGCGTGCGGGACAATGTACTTACAGGAGCCAATGTCTCCTTGTAATTGTAGTATCTGTGGGACGGGCATGGTTAAAACCACCACATCAAATTGCTCCGGCGAGCCTCCCTTCCGGCACACCTCCCAGCCAGACCCTCTGCAGTAAACATGGGTGACGTGATGGCCGAAGCACACCTCTGCTCCTGCTTGGGTGCGGAGAGGCAGAGTTGGCAATGTTGTGGAGGAAGGGAATAAAAGAAGGATGGAAAGCCATGGAGAGAGAGGGAAAGGAGAAAAGAGAACACCACAGAGGGTCACGCAAAAAGATAAAGTGTTGATTCTGGCAAGAAAGTGAAGGCTGAGAGTAATGACACATGCTAATAGCTGTCCCTACTCCCACAATCCTGAAGCAAGAGTAGCTCCCACAATTATTAATCAAATCACAGAAAGCAAATGAAAAGTGAAAGGCTGAACAAAGCAGGGTGTTATTGATTTAACAGGTCTACAATTACAAGAGTAAACAAGTAGGCTCTAATGGGGCCTAAAGTTTGTCATTTGTGGTTTTTCTAACCAACATCGGGATTGTGATTTAAATTAGATTCCCTATAAACAAATCTTCAGGCCTGGTATTTATTTATTTATTTATTAAGCTAAAAAAAAACAAAAAACAAAAAAAACAGCACATTCATCATTTCTGGTTTGAGGCTAAAATGCTGAATGTAGTGAGCCAGCTCTGCCACTTTCCACATTTAAAACTTTTTAAAGTTCGCCCCGTAAGGCAAATCGAATTTGTTTCTCATGTCTGTATTTTTAGACCAACAGTTCAGATGTTGAGTTACAAGTGACCAAGTTACGTGATTTGTATGTTCAGAGTGTCGCGTTTGCTCGCACATCCACATTGGTTGCCGTAGAAATGATGCACATATAATGTCATATATTGTCAAACTGAGTGACATATCTAGAAATCTGATTTGCATCAGATTGGAAACCACTCACAAATGTGACTTTAATATGACAGGAAAAAGTCAGATGTCATGTGGCTTTCCTCTTTTGCCATTCAGACTGCAGAAAATCTGTCCTGCTCAAATCAGGTATGCCAAAAAAAATCAAGATTTGAGCTGCCAGTCTGAACAAGGACTAAAATCCATCATTATAAACAAACGTCTGTCCTAAAACATGTGAATATCCTAACTGATAACGTTGCCTGAATGAACCACCTGCGTCATGAACAACAAACTACCTAGCAGAGCAAGGTAATAATCAATAATCAATAATCAATAATCAAGCAATAATTTCCTCTCAGCTGTTCACTGGTAGAGTGTGACGAAGGGTAGGATGCATTGCTTTTGGACTGTTTACTGGCACTAACTTCAGGTTATGCATAGAGAAGAAAAACAAATGAATTCTGAGTCATCATTAACGGCACATTGCCATGAATTGGACATGTATCCAATCTAGGACCACATATGGAAGTGGCTCATATCTGATTTGAAAAGATCACATTTGTGTCTCCACACAGGTCTAAAAAATAGATCTGTGTCACATTAAGGCAAAAAAACAGATTGTCCCTCTTCAGCCAGGTAATGTGAACAAAGCCATTCATATCTGGTTCTAAATCAGATACGTATCCGAATCGTGGCCATGCAACTGTAATGAGAACAGTCCGATTGGATTTTTTAAAGTGCGTGTGCACCCTCCTTGAGTGTTATAATGTGGCAGCAGCATCTAACCTGAAGTTAGTGCCAGTAAATGGTGCAAAAACATCTGAAACGTCTTTGCCTTCATCTCGCTCTAAGAATGAACAGCTGAGAACTGTTCAGACCAAATCATCTTCGCGACAAAGCTTGCTCTGCTGTTTACTTTGCTGTTGACGGTTCCTTCATGTGACATTATTGATTAGGATGTGTGCATGTGGGCCGTTTCAGGACACAGGTTTCTTCAGGTTAAGGACAGATTTGAGTCACTTACCTACATGAATATGAACCATCAAGTTAGGAAGATCAGATCTGAGCAAAAAATCTGAACTGAGCAATGAGGCTTGTAATATAAATTCAGCCTTAGAGACCCTCCCTAATTCTGTGTTTCTGTGTTATGCTTTTCAATTCACACTGACTTTAAGACAACATTCAATATAGTATGATATAATTAAAACTACAGCTCTTGTGATTTAAAAAAATATAATTTTTCAATATAAACACAATTAATTGTCTAGCCCCTCTTAAAAGTAGGATGTAAATCATATTTCCATTTTAAATATTAAAGACAACTAAATTAAACAATTCTAGAGTGTAGAGTCATTTACTATATAGGCGCACAATATGTAGCTGATCTTTACCCGATTGGGTTTTCTTGAAAATATTGAAATATTCATTCAAGCAGTTACATTTACCACTCTTGTCTGCTTTTTTGTGTTCACTCCCGCACATGTAAAATATCAAAACATCCTCCACTGAGTCTGGAAGTCTGTTATCATCAGGCTCTATGATCTCAATGGCCATAAATCAGTTTACAGAGCCTTGCCAAATGGCACTTTGCTCTCTAGGAAACCGCACACAGATTTCAAAAGAAGAGAAATTCTGGTAGAACAACAGCTGAATCATCCAGAACACTCTGACCCGAACTCGCTTTCAAGGAACATAATTCATTACACAGTAAAAGCAAAAACATCCCTAGGAAAACCATATTCTACATTCATAACATGCCAAACATCACTTTCTCAAAATTAATCAATTCATCATTTCTAAACAAAAAGACAGATGTGATGGAACTGTGGACAAAATTTTACTCTGCTCAAAGTGAAAACAGAACATAATCTAACAAAGCACAAAGCACTAGGTGACAATACATTAATACTAGGAAATTGGCCTTTTTCCCCAAAATGAGACAATGGTTAACAATGGTTATTATTAGGAATGGGTTTCAAAATTTGACACTTTTTTGGTACCAACCAAATTACTTTATTATACTGAGTATAAAAAATTCTGTCTCATATCAAATTTTAATACCCAAGTAGCATCAAGCGAGCTGATAAGCATGGCTTTGCTAAAATCTAGACTGCTGGTTGGTTGATAATGGTGCTACTAATATCAGCAGTCTGTTGAACAAATCTGAGTACAAACATAAACAACAGTGTGACTGGAACTATATATAAAAAAGAATTTATATTAAAAACAAAAGCAGCACGTATTTTTTTGTTGTAAAACATGATATACAGATTCAATGTTTTGCAAAAATATATTGAAAAGGATTGTTATGATCTATTTAAACTGAAGGCACTGAGACAGTAATAAGCTACACACACACACACACACACACACACACACAAAAATATATCTATATATCTATATATACATATATATATAAAACTGAATTTAGTGCAGTGCAACATATAAAATGTTGAATAAAAAACATTGCACCCACTGCTGAAACATTTTAGCTACACCCCTGCAACTGACAAAGAATTGAGAGTGTATCCCTGCCCCTCATGGCCACATGGTGAGCAGTTAGATTGTTTTGAAGTAAATGTGTCTCAAAGTCAGAAAAATAAGTGTGTAACCTTAAGAAATGTCACTACCGAAACACGCATTTTGTGCAATTAAGTAAACTTTTGTGTTTTAATGAAAAATTTTATTTGTGTACAACTGTTCAAAGCTGTGCTTGCTAGGGTGCTATGTACTGCCTACCATTTTTCAGTTCAAAATGAGATAAAATTGTCACTACTGAAACATTTGGTCAAGCTCTGATTGTTTTGGTAGTGACAAAATAGAATGTTTAATCATTTATTTTAATAAAACAAACATAATTAAGGTATAGGGTCACTCAAAGCCAAAGGATTTTAGTCTTAAGTCCAACACAGTTATAAGTCTGAAATGGATTTTCAACTTGGTTTCACTTTGAACCAATTCGGTAGAATTCCACATAATCCACATAATCAAAGTGATATCAAAGTTGAGGTATCGGTATTAGCACAGTCAGTACAAAAACAATACTCACCCTGTGTCATCATTGAGTGATTTCAGCTCTTACATAATTCACTAGAGCTAACAGTACAACAGTGAGACTTCTAGTATGCTGGGATTTAGATACCATCCCATTTGAAGGAAACAATTTTTCAAGTCAATTCAGATTTATTTGTATACTGCTTTTTACAAGCGCCACTGTCACAAATCAGCTTTACAGATATCCTGGTCCAAGCCTTAAGTAAAATCTCAGGTCATTTTATAAGGCTGTTTGTCTTTACTTTATTTCAGTCATTTTCTTGCTTTTGAGAGGAAAAGTAGCCGGTCTGGTTCATGAATAACATTCGTTAAACAAAGCTAATCAAAATGCTTTATTTCCATCTTGAATGTAACATCCCAGCATAATGAAACTAAAATCTTGGCAAGGAAATTTGAACTGAAAAATAACCTACCTGACTCTTTGAGGTAGTGTTTGACAATAGAGGACACTCCTGAAGGTGTTACATAGTTAAGGCTGCCTTCATCCTTTAACATCATGCCCTCTATTGTGGCTTCAAGTGGTTTTAAAAGATCATGCAGTAGAAGTTCTTCATAAAAGCTTGAAAAAAAAAGCGAGTGAAATTGAGAAAATTAGGATTTGGAAGAGAAATATAAAACAACAACTTAATATCAATCACTTTCACATCATATATGCATACTTCGCACAGGCAGAAACCCACCTTTTGTGAATTCTGGAATAATATGGTGTAGCAGTGATGTACTGAGCACCAAGATCAGCTGTGCAAGACATGTTGCTGGGACTTCTGCTTGTAGACATTCTTCCCCCTAGGACAGATATATTCAAAAAAAGTTAAAAATGAAGACCAAAGAGTCACAATCCAGATAGAAACCTCTACCTCAATGGAAACAACTGGATGTGTATATGAAATAAATGTCCTTCTCTTCCAAAATGAAGGGTTCATCTCCTTTCACTGGTGCCTGGAAATCTAGGCCTTTACAATATTTAAGGTGAAATAAAACAAAGATGTAATATGCTAGCTATTTACTTAAAAGAAAAAGACTTCTGCTCATGAACAACACAAATATATTATTAATAACTGTCTATTCATGAAGGTTATAGCAGAATAAAAGACTTTTTTCTTTCCTTGCACTGACAGAAGTAACAGAAACCATGACAGGCTATGGGAAAACGGTTTAAGCGGAATTCCACCAATGTTTCAGAATGTCTGCATAATTAAGTCATTAAGATGTAAATAAAGACAAAGCTGTTCCAGAGAAACTTGGTGAAGGGAACAAGACATCTGAAGAGTTCAATGCCTTTAGAAGCTCCCTCACAGAAAGTTACTACACGGAATGGCCATGAATATGCTGCCTGATGTCTGAGACACAGTTTTACAATCATTTTGAGATAAACTATTGGGCTCAAACGTATTTTTAAATACATTCATGGTGGACGGGTGTCGTTTTTGGATGGTAAATAAAAGGGTTTGCGACCCCTGGTTCCTATTACCACCACTGTAAATAAATCTTAGTTGTAAGTTGATTGATGTGAAATGTTCTGTTCTAGAGAAAATTACCAAGTCAGAATTGTTAACAGTGATGGTGATAGGAACCTGACGTCTGAAGAGGTTAATGCCTCTAAAAGCTACATGACCAAAAAGTTATTACATGAACTGGTTGTGAAAATGCTGCCTGGTGCCCAAGACATTGTTCTATGATAGTTTTGAAATAAACTTTTGAGCTACAATGTACCTTTTAAAATCCATTAATGGCGGAGAGACACACGCAGGGTGTTGTAAGGCAAAGTAAATAAAACCTCTTTGCTTCTAGATTTACCACTTTTTAACCATTATCACATTACGTATAAACACCCAAGAGACGCGGAGGTTCAGGTTCAGGATGGTAAATAAAACGGCTATATGTGTTTATACATTGCAAACCCTGGTTGCCATCACCACAACTGTAAATAAATCTGAGCCAGTAAGTTTCTCCACAGTGAACCATTTCACATCAAACGATTCTACAGGAATTAGTTAACATCTCAATGAACTACGTAGATATTTTGAAGGACATGCAGCTGTCAAGAGCTCACTTAGCTGAGAGAGCAGCCTTGTCAGAGAAGTCAGAGATGCAAAAGTTTGCGTGAAAACCTGCAGGCAGTCTAGGAGACGTAGCGTATTCTCATAATATAAAGGTGATAATGTAATATAACGGTAAGGTAAGCTTGCATAAACACCTTCATCTTTCATCACAACACTCAATATATCCAAACCCAACACTACAGCACTAAGGACAGACCGTTTACTGGTTGACCTCAGCCATAAACATAAGCAGTTAAGTTGGCCGACTTACTCACTGGTTCAGCTCATCTTGTAAATAACAGTTATTTTATCGAGTACAGCTTTATTATCAAACGCCTGCGTGCAGCATACAGTCATTTTCTCTCCGTTTAATTTCTGCAGCGTTAATACACTGAAGACATTGAGCAGAATGAAAGCTAAGCTAACCTGTGCCCCTGGACTTCTCCCAGACCACTATTTTAACTCTGTCTGACAGCTCCCGCCGAAGCAGACAGGCACATAAGCTGCCTGTAAGTCCAGCCCCAATTATAAGCACCCGAGACATTCAGAAAAAAGAAAGTGAATGATTAAAAAATATAGTTCAATGCGTAGCTCCTCCGCTGTTACTCCCGTAGCAGTTCCTGTAAACTCCGCTCGGCCCCTTTAAGAGTCAGGAAAGCGTCTCAGCTGTTGGCCAACCAAAACTCTCCCCGAGTTTACCGGAGAAAGAGACACTTCTGAAACCAGCATATAAAACAGAGCCACGGACATTATTTTAAATAGGAAATATAATATATGTAAAAACAACATAGCACAGAAGCAAACAAGCTAGCAAACGGAGTTTATTTATTTTTTTATTTTATATGTCTCGTTTATCACGACGGTAGCAAATTCAAAATGCATTACATCATTTAGACACATCTAAATATATAATAAAATTCTAAACTTGTTGCCAAAAAATCTTCAAGTGGGCAAAACTAGCAGCACCGCTTAATTGGATTCAGTGGGCGTGTTCCATCACGTGCTCATCATGATCGCGACACATTAATAACTATCATTTAAAGTGATGTGATCACGTCTTTATTACCCCCTCCAGTCTTTGTTACCCCTCTCCCCTTTCCCGGTGTTTGTGTCCTTCCACTGCTTCGGCTGTGAACAGCTGTGGGCGGGGCGGGCGAGTGACGTAACGTGCCACAGGCTCGGGTGACTTTTTGTTGCTAAACGGGTTGTCGGCTGCAGGCGACGGTGAGTGCGGCGCTCTTTTACTCTTTTACTCTTTGTTTCATAGTTTTAATTGTTTAAGGTTAAATATCAGAAACACGCTTTATACTTGTGCTCTAGCTGGACACTCAGAGAATGAGCATGTAGCGCTTTAGGTCCGTCACTGTTAGCTTAGCACTACTAAGTGACAGCTGTGTAGCGTTAACGTAAGTTATATTCGTAGCTTCAGAGTTATAACATGATTATTAACATTAAAATCAGTGAAGTCTAATTCACTGTAACTTAATTACTTTTAATTTGATATAAGTGAAACTAATCACATTTAACTTTGTCATTCGAGAACATTAAACCACGACAGATCGAAGAGAACTGAACTGAGAATGCTTAACTAACTTTTATACTGCTTTTCAGCGTATAAACTTTTAATTCTTCAAACTGCTATTCAGACTAACTAACCTAGCTGTTTTCTAATAAACACTCTACCCTGTGGTTTTGAGGGCGCTATCTGGGTTTATTGAATTTTTTTTGACTCTGCAACTCCTGTGAACTTTCACCTGATCAAATGACTATACTGTTCTGAAGGATTGTCCTACATTGTCGAAAAGTTCAGTAGTGCATATTTATAAGTAGCTCCCTACATAAAACTGTATGGAGGATACTCTGATAACCTTAGTCACCTTATCAGAAAATGCTGCCAGAATTAAAACTATAGGTAGGACATTTTGATGGCCTAAATTAGCTTATCAGAAAAAAGTACAGATAGTATATTTTGATAGCTTGATTCACATTATCAGAAAATGCTAGCTGCACTCAAAAAATAAATTGTTGTAGGAACTGAATTCAGTTTTGCTACACATTTCCATTCAGTCAAATAGAGTAGAGTCAGTATACACAGACTTTGTTAACATAAAGTTCAATTGTTCATGGAACAAAACTGAAACATGTCAGGGCAATTTATTCTGGTTTCTTTGGAATGAAATTCTCTTTGGATCAATGTAAAGTGTCATTAATTGGAATGTACTTTTATTATTGTTTCCATTTCATGAAAAACCAGTTACTTAAGTCTGTAAGCCAAACAAGCCAGTTATTTAATTTTTGAGTGTGTATTAATAGTACAGTTAGGACATTTTGATAGCCTAAATCAACTTATTAGAAAATGCTACCAGCACTAAAACATAAGGAAGATACTGTGTTAGCCTAAATCCCATATTCAGTGAGCAAGCAAGGCTAAATTAACATTAAAAACACAATAAATGTTTTTTTAAAAACTAAGTTACTATGCTATACTGACGATGTGCATGTGCAGTAGGACCGCTCAATGAGTAGAACAAGTTATTACAACAACTGTTTGACTTTGGATACCAAATGGCCAAATGTGAACGAACAAAATTCCATTGCAAGTATGTGTTTTAACCATCTCTGCTGGCTTCCTTTGGTACCTCATGGAGTAATATGTACAGACATAGGCTGTTGATAAAAAAACTAAATTCGGTTTCAGGGATGTATATGTGCTCTTCTTTCATGACCACTGTTTCTTAAATGATTCACACAGATGATGTGGCTGCTGTTGTCTTTGGGGCTGCTTGCACCCGGGCTGGTCCATGGAAGGGTGTTCAACAAGAAAGGGCTGGACCCTGAAGTTAATATGAACATAGTAAGTAGAGTGAATATTGAAGTGTTTTCAACCTTGTCAGTGTGACACACCCCAGTTGTTTACAGATTACTGTCAAGTTTTAGTGTATTCATAATCTACGGTTATTGATCTCATGTTTAACTCAATATGTTGTGGGCATCACCAAAAGTCTTTAAAGGAGGCATGTCTCAACGTTTGTGTCACATGCTGTGAACTTTGCACTTTTAGGTTATGTGGAATATTATTTTTACTTCCTAATTTTGCATGTGATATCCAAGGAAGTGATGAGCTCTAAATATAGCCTAGGTCACCTTTTGTTCTTTGCCTCATTGATCTAGGCTTTAGATTGTCTTTTTCAGGGCTGTTGCATAAAGATCCTCTCTGTTAGCATTAGAACTGTTATCATGCTGTGTGTGTGATCTACCAGCTTTACAAGACAGTGTGAGTGCCAGAACTACAGGCTTACTCAAAATCTTCAAAAGAGGATCGGTACAGTACTCTAAAAGGGTATTATCTTCAGTAGAAGACTGTATCTTTTGAACTTGTTTCTTTGTGTCTCTGTATGAATGTGATTCTCATTTGAAGGAGAATTCCACCAGTTTTTGAGATGTAAACAAAGTCGTTTAGAGTGTTTTGATGTGAAATCGTTCATTGTAGAGAAACCAGGGGCCACAAGGACTACAACACAGCTTTTTATTTAATATCCAAAACCACCAGTGATCCCATCCTCTGAGCTTTTATATCTAATGTTAATTATGGTGAAAAACTATATTTTCTTAAGGAACTATTTTGCCTTACAACACCCTGCCATGAAGCGCCTTTAGAAAATACCTTTTAGGCCAAACTCAACTAAATTATAACAGCATTTCAGGCATCAGACAGCGTATTTATTACCATTTCATTTAATGACTTTCTGTAAGAAGGACTGTAGAGGAATTAAACTCCTCAGTCGTCTGATTCCTATCACCACCACAGTGAACTTAGTAAGTCTAGAAAAGATCATCATGTGTCGAACCACTCTGAATAACATTGTTTACACATTAAACATTGAATTATGCAGAAGTTATAAAAAATCTGTGAAATTCTCCTTTAACAGAGAATGTTGCATATGATAGTATATATATTCCTTTTACACACTGTGGTACACTGTAGGTTTAAACACAGCCAAGCAAACTAGCAAAGTATTGTTCTGTTTCTAAAACCACTGTATAACCCACAGTCAGTGTTTAAATATTTGCACAGTTCAGCAATCAATTTATACCAAATCAGGGAAACCAAATTAGATAAGGCTGTTGGCTTATATATCAAAGGGCTTCTCAGTAACACAAAAAGAGGCCGGCTGCATTACAATGCCCTAAACTGTGAATTTTGTCAAGGTCATTGTTCCTGCTTTCAGGATTGCTCAAGTGCTAGAGACGTGCTTTTTCTTCTCAGCGTGGCCATTTTTCATGCTTAGGATTAGAATGAAGCAGAGAGGGAGAGAGAGGGATAACAGTGCATCACTTCCCCTGTCCTAAACCTCTTTAATATGATGTTGAGCCAGCAGTGAGTTTATCCTTAAGTGGCCTGATGGAGAGTGTGCAGACTGCAGGCCCCGGGGGGAGTGGGAAATTGCGGTGCCTTTAATTATGCATGAGGAGATTGCATGGCAGGCCTGGAACCAACACGCTCACACAATTTCTTTGAAGTTCCAGCTTAGAATGTATTTCATATCTAGAGGAGGGGGAAAGGTTGACTCCAGACAACAGAAATCATTGTGTTCCCAAAGTCACAAATTGCTAATCTTTTTTGTGCAGACGTTACCATCATAATGTGTTCTGTTCATGGTGAATCTTGCCTTATTCTGGTGTGCTATTGTGCGGTCTACTGTTATTAGCCACAAAAGTGTAGACCTGTCATGATTACTTGATTTGAAAAAATAATTGAAACTTATTTTCTTGATGAATTAGCTTAGTGATTTGTTTCTCATTTGAATTTACACTCACACATTGTACATCTATAAAGTCAAAATGCATTTGAAGTAAAATGTTTTGTTTCACTAGGTCTAGGCTGAGGAACTCAGGTTATTTACAAAGTGAATATTCTTTAGTAAACACTGCTATAAAATGATATGACTGACTAAAAGCTAATTAAATTAATAAAAAATTTCTCCACATTCATCAAATTTTCTGCTGGTGGTTTGATGTGGTGCTCATTTGCCTTGCATATACCTGTCCGCCATGAATGTATTTTAAAAATTACTATAAAAGGGCAAAATCTGATAACCGTTTTATTTAATAACTTTCTCTGAGGGAGCTATTAGTGGCAATAAGACCTTCAGATGTCTGGTTCCTATCATCTTCACTGTGAACAGCGGTTTCTCTTGAATGGAGCCTTTCACATCAAACCACTCTGTATGACTTTGTTCACATGTTAACCATTTAATTAACATTTTGGAAAATCAGTGGAATTCTCCTTTCAGTTGAATTTGGTGATACTCTGATAATGCATAATATTAAATTCTACTGCTGGTCTTTCGTACAGTAAGAAACAGAGCCTGACGGACACATTTTTATGTATTTTTTTACATGGCATATTTTTAAGTAAATTATTTTTGGAATCTTGAAACGGCTCTGCATAGTGTGTTATTGTTTAATTAGCCAGTTTTTATTGTTTGCCGTTAAAAAAACGCTGATTACTTGATTAAATGTCAAAATAATGGGTAGATTATTATTAATATTAGTAATTGATAGTGACAGCCCTGCATATGTATATTAGGAGTGATACAGTTCACTAAATGGAGTAGTACATCTCTCAAATTGTGCAACATTTTCAATAGTTTCAGCATGATGAGTCAGATTATCTATGAAAATTTAATTTGTCTCAATTTAAAATCATTCATCTCAAGTGAAACACTGTAGCAGAGTCTGTTTGAGTCAGTGATGTCCAGGCCTGCCACCTCAGAGCTCATGTGATTCACTATTGTTTATTTTCGCAGAATGGACAGTCTTATCACTCGTGGTTTAAAGGCATGTATAAAGGTCATTAATGTGTGGTTTTGACAGAAAGTGGCATAATTTGCACAGTTTCATGTGCTGTGTTTTATTGCTCTGTAGTCACACAATTATAATTCTGATTCTGTGCAGCTTTTAGTACATGACTGTTAATTTTCTTAACAGTCTGTTTACACTGTGGCCTAAGTGCTAATTTGTCTGTCTACATACTCACTATTTTACTGTTTCATCTTTTAAAGTAGTGTTTTCCACATGTGGGCTTGTTGAGATGAAGTGGGCAACTGAGATAAAGAACAGTGTAGTGCATAAGGTCACTGTTAGCACTGCTTACACTCCTGGGTGACAAACTTGTTTACTCTTTGTAACTACAGGGTAATAATAGTATCATTATTCATACCACTTACGGTAGAAAGCAGTACATTTTGAACTGTTTGAGGATTCTTGCTATATTATTTCTGTACAGACATGCTGTTATAATTCTGACACTATTTGGTGCATCACAATTGTTTTTCCTTTTGTTTCCAGTTGTTATAGTGTGTTTACACTGAGTGCTACACTGTATGTGCTGATTTGTTAATCTATATATACTGCCTTGGACTTTGCTCCTGTTTGAATTGCTGTGTCTGTGTGTAACAGAGTGAGATCATCAGGCGCTGGGGTTATCCAGCAGAAGAGTTTGAGGTGGTCACGCAAGACGGCTACATCCTGAGCGTCAACAGAATCCCACACGGCATCAAAAACAAGGCCTGGCAAGGTGAGAGTGGAGAAAAGATACAGTAATAAGCAGAGCTGTCAGTTGGGATCAGAAATCAAATTTTACACATTTTGTATTTCTTATGTTTATTTTTTCCCCAATATATTAAATTAATCAAATAAATTAAAATATTTGAATTTCCAAAAAAACCCTAGTATTAAGCCCAGAGAACACTGACGCACTATTCTTAAACATGATTTGCATTTGACTTTCTGCTGTTCCAGAATAAGACCTGAGAAACAAAATGAACCAGTGTAAATGGTCGAGAACATTCTAGAACAGTATGGATGTGGGAAAACATTCTAGAACAGTGTTAATAGAGGAGAACATTCAAGATCAGCATGGATGGGGAGAACATTCTAGAACATTGTCAGTTGAAGAGAACATTCTTGAACAGTATGCATGGAGGAGGACATTCTAGAACAATGTAAATGGTTGAGGACATTCTAGAACTATATGAAGGTAGAGAGAACATTCTTGAACAGTGTGCATAGATGAGGTCATTCTAGAACAGTGAATGGAGAAGGACATTCTTGAACAGTGTGAATTAATAGAAGATGAAAAAATAGTGTGAGTTAATAGAGCATTCAAGAACAGAATGAACGGGAGTTGGATGAATGGCACACCAACCTAATATTTGGGTTTGTCGGTGTTTGTTGGAGAACGTTGGGATCTGCTCTGGCCTTTAGGACAGACTTGATCACGTGTTCACGCTTCAGACCTCAGCATGAATATTTAAACATGTGAGCTAGACTGCTCTGAGGTAGTCAGTGGAAAAGAGAAATCTCTCCTAGAAGTCCTAGAAGAAGAAGCTTCAGTATTTCTCACACTTGCACACTGTGGCAAAGGTTACACTTACATGCTTCCTCTGTAAAAGCGCAGAGGTTGCAACACAAAAGAAACATCATTTTGTCACATTCTCATCCGTCCTCCCTGTTGAAACAGTTATACCCCCATGAAGAAAAATAGAGAAGAGTTTTTTGCATTAGTCACCCTTCTGTGTGCAGGGGAGGACTTCTTCTGCTATTATAAAACCAATGTCGAACATGAGTTCCAGCCCACGCCTGACCTTGGTTTTAAGGGACCTTTTTTTAGTTCTGTAAATTTGAACCACACATTCCACCTCTGTATTGCGTATAGATGACTTACTACATGATAGAATTTTGTCAGATTTAGACCTCTTTGTGGAAATATTGGATTTTCTGTGAGTAAACAAACAGAAAGGTTCTCATGTTGGCTGATGGTTAATGTTCAGGCACTTCCACACTGACGAAAAGTAAATTTGATTCAATTCAATTTGATATACATAATTTCTACAGTAATAATATACAGTGGCCCCAAAAAGTATACCATTTAACCATTTAATCTTTGGTAAACTTTAATGATGTTCTTTAGGTTAATTCAAAAAAGGTTTAACGTAATGATATTTATTGTAGCAAACATTTTTAGCTCACCAGACTGATGATAGACTCTTTGTGTGGAAAAAGCCTGGAAAAGAATTCCAGCTAGACTCCTGTAAGGGTACCGTAAAGTACAGAGGTCAAAACATGAAAGTCTGGTCCTGTTTTTTTTTACGGTGGTGTTAGTGAGCTTGTGCTCACTAGTGGGATTTTGAAGTGTATAACAGCATTTTAGATGCAAACCTGTAAATATATACATATACATAAAAACATTGTATATATCAGCATCAGCACAGAATTCTCATAAGCATCTCAACTAAATAGGCCCGTCACAGTTATGAAATCGCCTGATCGCAGTTATTTGTGCTGACCACGGTTACTTTCCACATTTGTTAGCTCTCACAATCATGTATTTATGAAGCAGCAAACACACTGAATTAGATGTGCTTTCATTCATTGGGTTGAGGCAAATATGTATAAACAAAAGAAAGCAGAAAATACATTGTAGGTCTTATTTAAACAACAAAAGTGGTGCTACAGCATCTTTAGAAGGCAGTGGTGGATAATGTGTATTTATCTGATGTTTGTTAATAACATCCTTAGAAGTCAGCAGTGAGTAATGTTTGTTTAATTGATGGTTGATAATATTTAAAATGCAGTGGTGAGTAATGTTTGTTTATTTGATGGTTGATAACACATTTAAAAAGCAGTGGTGAGTAATGTTTGTCTGTCTGATGTTTGTTAGTAACACATTTAGAAGGTAGCGGTGAGTGATGTTTGTTTTTTTGAGCGTCAGTCACTCGGGAGCTGCTAAGTATCAACAGCCATGCATTAACACAGATAATCATCTACTTCAGACCTGTACTTTAATAGTTACAAAAACACACAATTAAATTGCAATTTATATTGCAATTAATAATTGACTAAAGTTTGATAATCGTGACAGACTTATTACCAAAACAAATCTAATACATTTTTAAGTATGGCACAAATGTCCAAATACATTTTGGGGCTGCTGTATATTTATTCACTTTTGGTTATAATTGTGTTGATAAAATATCTTTTATTCATTTGCAAATGCTTTTTTCTGTGCAGCTTAGACTTGTGAGTTTCTATGATCATTTTTGATAGCCTTATTTTTTTTTATTGTTTCATTTTTCTGAGTGCCGCTGTTGTGATTTTGATTTGATAGTATTTAAAGGTTTTCGTTTTCAGTGGAGCTGGATTACGCATCACACACGTGGAGGATATGTTCATTAGTCTAGCTCTGTGTCTACAGTCTAGTAAAATATTGCTTGTGGAAATGGTACAGCGTTAGCCTTATTGTTTATGTCCTCTATATTTCATTAATGAGCAAATTGATTCCTAAAACTCATGTGCATACAGTAATTTCACCAGGGGGAGAGCACTGGAGTGGAAAATCCGAATCAGCAGCTGTATATATCTCTTCTCGCTACACTAACACAGTGTCTCAAGCTATTTGAAATGATTTCACTGACACAAATCCCTCTGCTGGAGGATTTCAGGGTCTAGGCTATAAGAATCCCTGACTTTCTTCTTTAATTAGGAAAAATCAAATGAGAAACTATAGGCTATGTATTTCAGTTTATTGGAAATTAGTTTATATAAATGAGAATGAGTATTAATATTGACTTTAGTTCATCTTTAGCTATGCAGGCGGGGTGTGTGTGTGTGTGAGTTCTTTATATTAGCGAGGCTTGTGGGATTTGTGTCTGTGGGGTAAACTGGCTGGTAACCACTAATAATGAATTCTTATTCATGATAAATAAGTAAAGAGCTCATCAAGCTGTTTTTGTCAGTTGATAGTTTGTGCTGGGTGTTGTGGCGTCGAGTGTATTCAGTGCGATAAGCGTCGGAGCTCAGCAGTGCCACTGGAGACGCGTCTCATTTCCTGCTGTCCCATTTCTCCAAGCCACACGGGATACGGTGCAGCATGCCTCAGAGGAACACCGCAGCACCTGAACGAGCTTTCTCTAAAGTATCTGTGGAAGAGAGAGGGTTCGCTCTCATTGGAGTTCATTGGCTCTTCATAAAGTAAACAAGACCATTAAGATTACCTCAGGCAGATGTGCTTCAAGATGATAGATGTTGAAATTTGACCATATATTTCTGTTCATATCATAATGTATAGTGATCTAATGTAGTGTTTAGGAGTGTAACAGTTCATAAAAATACAAATCAGTGGTGTCTTTATTTGATACACTTTTCGAAAAAAGGAGTGGCTGAAAATATGACTTACATTAATATGTTAATGTTTCCATTTTCAGTTTATTAGAGCATTAAACATGATAAAAGCACAATATTTAAAATAATGGCTGTGCTTTATAGTGTCCTATAATGCTTTAGCCACACTAATACAGTAGCTGCAAGCTAACATGCTAGTAAAGATACAATACAATACAATTCCATACAATGTGATAGTTACTTATAATGTAATCTATAATGTAATGTATGGATCGGCCTGTGATCAGAGGCAAAATAGTGGGTAAACTCTGGTAGGCACACTACAGAAATGCTTCAGAGCCAATTTCTCACAGAAAATTAATACTAAACCTAAACCAAAAAGGGTGTTGAGTGATGAATCACTGCTTACATTATTAGTCCAATACTAAGTACAAGAAAATGGTGTTCTATGGAAGAAGTTTGGGCACTTTACACGTTCACAACAGTCAAGCCACATGTGCTTCAGGTTGGTCCATTTCCAATTTTAGGAATTCATTTTGAGTTAAAAATTTCTTTTTAGTATCTTTTTTTCCCCTAAAAGTAGTGAATGCAGACAAAATTAAACTGAAGTTTGAATCAGCAGTTTCTCACCACTTCCCAATGTGCGCTGTGGCTAAATCTTGTGCAACACACTTTCTTTTTCTCCTCTGGGATTAGCAAGCAGTTATGTAAAGTGTAAAACCTCAGCCCCACTCTCCAGGTTCTAGCTGTGAGTTGGGGTTTGCGGGGTAAGGGTGGGGGATGGAGCAGAAAGAATGGCTGGTATGAAGTAAAACAATCCTATCAGCCCAGGCCCTGTTTGTGCTCCCGAGAGGACCAGCTCACATCCTGTTTCTGACGGAGATCAGCGATAAAGCTCCCAAAAAAGAAAACGCGAAATTGCAGTGGGGGGAAACGTGTTTTCAGCCTAAAACTGGTACAGATACTCCCCCTTCTGGCTGCAGTTGAAATCAACTGGGCTTGTGCAGCATTGTGAGTATATTTCTTCCAGTTCTGTTTAAGGCCACAGTATACTCTTACTAGTCAACTGAAGAGTGCTGTATGTGAACCCTTATCTTAGACATTTTCCCTCTCTCTGCTGTCTGTCTTTCTGAGTCACACTCTAGAATAAGAGCATAATGATGTAGTCGTGTTCAGACTGTTTGAACTCATGTATGTTTTTTTTTTTTTCTAATTGACATTTTATTTGCAAACAAAGTCAGATTCACAGGGACACTTACCTTTGGACATGCTCATAGTTACAAATCGACATGATAAAATAAAGGGAAAAAATACATATTATTTTTTGTGATTTCTGTTTGTGGCAGCTCCGAAGCCTGTGGTGTTCCTCCAGCATGGTCTTCTGGCTGCTGGGAGTAACTGGGTTACCAACCTCCCAAATACCAGCCTCGGCTTCATCCTGGCTGATGCAGGCTTTGACGTGTGGCTGGGTAACAGCCGAGGGAACACCTGGTCAAGAAAACATGTCATCCTCACTCCTGACCAAAATAAATACTGGGAGTTTAGGTTAGTTTCCATTTTACTGTCATTTTTGTAAGATGAGACTTCGGCACCATTGGCGCTGGATTAGTTTAACCATTCTGTAATGACAATCTACAAATGAGCTTTGACTGGCTGATTTGTATAGGAAAACCTGTCTGTGTAATTTTCCCAGATTATCACAGAATAGAATGAAATGTCCTAGCCTGGATATTCACATCAGTGTTATGTGACCCACAGTGCTGCAATGCTGTTTCTATTAGAAAGTTTTGCTATTACATTATTGTGAAACCAGTTTGAACAGTACTACTATAACTGATAGAGCTCTGGGTTTAGCAGACTACAGAAGGTCATTATTATTTGTCAGACGGTAAGAAAAAAAGACTTTGCAGATTCGTGCTGGACTAAAATCACAGATATTGACAGTAATTACTTGAACACGTTATCTTCTCTGGTAAAACTAACCTCACTCCAAAAGGGCTTTACAAAGTAATACAGATTCATTAAGAGAACTTCATAGCTTGTGCAGCATTATGAGTAATGAGTAAATTTCTTCCAGTTCTGTTTAATTTTACTAGTCAACTAAAGAGTGTTTTATGTGAACCCTTATCTCAAACTTTTCTTTTTGACAGCCATGATGAAATGGCTAAGAAGGACCTTCCAGCAGTGATAAACTTCGTCACAAAGACCACAGGACAGGAGAAGATCTTCTATGTTGGCCATTCTCAGGGAACCACTATTGGTAAAGTAGTAAGATCTCACTTATGACATTGTGAATAATAATTGCTGATATGTCTAGCCAATGTGCAGTACTGTGCAAAAATCAGGGACCGCCCTTCATTTATTTATTTTCCAGACAAAATGGCCATTAACAAGGTATACATTTTTTTACAGAAAATTACACAGAAACCTTAACAACTAAATATAACATCAAATCTATCAGTATTTAGTGCATCCTGTTACTGCTTCCATTTTTTTCAGGAGAAAAAAGATGTAAGCTTTAAGTACTGTTTATCTGATGGTGACAGTTTTGGTAGTCTAACAGGTCTCGCATAGTTGTTATGACTACTCTGCATAACATTCTCTGCATCTTGTAATCATTTTTTAAACTCCAGTTTTGGAAACTCACTGATTTTCCTTTGACTTTACCCTGTTTGTATGTAAATAGATTTTCATATATCTAATTTTCTCCTGAAAAGTTATTTGCTTGTACTTAATGTCCATTTTGACTGGAAATTTATTCAGGTTGTCCCTGATTTTTGCACAGCCCTGTTTAACTCCTCCGCAGCAGGATAAACTGGCTTGTAACTGCTAATAATGAATTCTGATTTGTGTTAAAGTAAAATAAACTGATATTTTAGAGTTTAATATTTAGTTACATATTGTGTTTTTCATTGCAACAGGTATGCTGCACTTGTAATTCATTAGAAATGTTCCATTATTATTTTAATGCTATTTAAATGTTACAAAGCATTATTACTAGAATACTTGGATTTGAATGGTTTGGCAAAATGATCAATGCATGACCTGATTTCTTTGTGTTTTTGCAGCCTTTATGGCATTTTCCACAATGCCACAGCTGGCTAGCAAAATCAAGATGTTTTTCGCTCTGGCCCCTGTAGCCACAGTAGCCTTCACAGGCAGTCCAATGACCAAACTGAGCGTCTTCCCAGAACCGTTGATTTGGGTGAGAATGAGCAGTTTGACAAACGCACCATAGCATGTACACATTCAGAGCCAGGACATGTCTTGCATTCATCCGTGTCTCATGAGGCTTGAATTGTAAACATCTACACGTTTCCTCAATTTTCAGGACCTCTTCGGAAGGAAAGACTTTTTTCCCCAAAATGAACTCATCAAGTTTTTCGCCACCAAGTTTTGCTCTAAGAAGCCAATCAGTGTGTTGTGTGGGAACATATTCTTCCTCCTGTGTGGCTTTGATGAGAAGAACCTGAACATGGTATGTTGTTTTATTAGATGTCTTTGTCCAGGCCAGAATATCTTCTGTTTTATCATTTACCTTTTCCCAGGTGAAAAATGTATGTAGGGTGGGCAATAGGGGTGCGGGAAAAAAATCGATTCCTAATTGCTAATTCTGAATCGATTCACAAATGTCAAAAATCGATTTTCTAAATATTTAATTTATACCGTAATGTTGACGGAACGCAAAAGGCGGAACCTGGAAGTGCGGAAGTGCAGCGCCCGGACAGTCTGTGAGGTGCACTTAAAAAAACACAACTTGGATGAGCGAGAAATCCGACCGGCTCCCTCTGCATTAAAAGACAGGTTAGGTCAGGAGTCACAATACAAATGATAAGAAGAGCCATTTTGCCTTTCAACAAAAATCAAACCACCTTGGCAGCCACAACATTTATGTCCAGTATGTCTCAGTATGTGTTAATGTCCTGCTATAAGTTAGGTTAAAATATAAACGAAAATGCAGACTTGCTTCGCTCTGCTTTAAGCTTTAGCTATAGCCGCTTTCCTTCCAACTCCACCAGAAAACCTTTCCTCTAAAGTAGATCAGTTTCTTGTAAAATGTCTCTCAAAGTTTTACGAGGCTGAAGTCGCTTCTTTAAGTCGCTCCAGCTTCTTGTTCGAATTTTCTGTTCCACCTTAAATTCTGACTGAGGTGCCGAATGTAAACGCGGCACCATTTAAGGTGGAACGGGAAAATTTGAAAGAGGAGCGACTTCATCTTCGCAACTTTTTAGTGTTTGACAGTCTCTCGTTGCAGATTTAGCTTGCAAGTAAACCAACAGCAGCGCTTATTTATGCGAATAACGCATCGTTGCTAGGTGACCTGCAGTCGGAGAACGCCAGTTCTCAGTCGTTGCGAAACAGGGCTTTCGTGCTATGCTGTAAGTTACACGTCCCGAAGATATTTTACTGACACAGCGATCCCCCCCATCTCTACAACGAGACCAAAACCTAAGTTATAAAATCACTAAAGAAAACGGGCAGGACGGCTGTAACGTGCTGCATGGACATCCATTACCACTGGATCTTATTTCACCGTAACTCTGCATTTTATCGCAGATGAGTGGCAGCGTCTCATGTGCTCCAAGCAATAGCAGTGAATGAGAGCCTTCTAGTTCACTTGCCACATCACTTCCATTTGATTTATTAATAAAATATATTGCAAGTAAATTCATTATAGATCATTACAAATACTTTGCTTTAAAAGTACCAAGTCCTGACACAGTAAGAAAATAGAAATCCTGTATAGAAAAAAAAGATTCATCGAGATGCATCGATAATCATTTTATCGCAGCCCTCTGAATCGTAAAGCGAATCGAATTGTGAGGTGCCTAGAGATTCCCACCCCTAGTGGGCAATATGGCAAAAATGTAATATTGTACATGTAATACACATCATAGTTTTATGTTTTCCTGACATTTGCTAATAAGTTGAAACAGATGCTATACACCAGCAAAACAGTGGCAGATTAAAAAAAAAAGCAAGCTTAGACTCAGTACAAAGATTTTTATTTTCTATCTAACATAATAAGGAACGAGAAGAAAGTCAAGCAAGATAATAGTATAATGGGATAACATCCAGTCAGCTACTTGTTCTGGTGCGGTTAATTTGACACTGAGGCACCACTTTTAAATTGGTCTAAATCTGTTTTCAGTTCTGATTTCTTTACAGCCAAATTGATTAATTATGATGTTTTAGTATGCATACTAGCAGAATAAGTTTTTTTTTCTTATGATTCTGTAGATATTTGTGTAAATATTGGGCTGTGTGCACAGCAGTGTTGTGTATCATATCGACAATACAACCAATATTAGCTACCAGTCCAACATAGCTAGGAAACAAAGTGGCTAATCAGCCAGTGTTGCCACTTTAGGCTTGTACTGTAATTGTTGCATTAAAAAAACAAGAAAGACAATTAAATCATTAATAGCAATTACTTATGCCAAAAACTAACACAGATCTGACAGAATAAGAATAATAAATTAGCTGTTTGCCAATCATGTGTTTTGAACAAAAACCTGCCAATTGCTAGAGTTGACCAATGCAGAAGTACAAATGACTGATCTGTAACTGTTATTTATTGTGAAAATGCTAACATATCATCTCCTTATAACATTCTCCTTTATCTAATGTCTGTTCCTTTCTCCCTTAGACCAGAACGCCTGTGTACACAACACACTGCCCAGCTGGAACATCTGTCCAGAACATGGTGCACTGGTCTCAGGTAACCGCAGCTCACAGCAGCTCAGTTACATATTCATGTTCTGCACCTCAACACCTACGAAATACGATACATGAATTTCCTAGACACTGAAGAAATGAGTGACGCTTCTAAAAAGTACTCTTGAAGGAGCCTTTGACAGTTGTGTTCGTCAGGCTCAGTGAGATGTCAGTGTGTGAAATTGCACAGAGCAGAGAGCTGCTGCTGTCTGCTGTCTTCTGCAGCTGGCAGATGATGCTGCTGGCTGCAGGCAGGACATGCTTGACATCCTTCTCCTCTCCAGCCTGCACTCTGCGTGTGTTTCTCCGAGGCACTGCCCGATTCCTTTGATGTACTTTTTTTCCTGGTTATTTTCACATAGCATCTCCTCTCCTCTCAAATTTACCCAGCGATTTAAAAAGGTTGTCAGAAATAGTTTTCATTTTGTCTTGATGGGTTGAAAAATTAATGCGCTTGATGTTTGAGGAGATTTTGAGGTGTAAATATTTTTCAACTCACTGTTTTGACTTCTTTTGTACACAGTTCAACAATGCTAATACAGTATTTCACATATTCGTTGTCCCAGGGAACGCAGTGTAAAATAGTAAAAATGTTTGTGTGACACTAAAATTGAGTGCTAGATAAACATTCAGCAAAGTTTAAATGAAAAAAGGATAGAAATATGATAAAGCACAGACTAAAAACATTAATCAGACCTATCTGAGAGCTGTGCAGACGTGGTCCTAATAATTTGATGAGTATGTGTGATTGACAGCCCTCAGTCCAACACTCGCAGCCTGCTATTCCACTGAAGCATAGCAGTGAAGAACTAAACACAGCAGCGGCAAGTGAAGTGGGAAAAGGCCACTAACATCTGCTGGTGGTGTCGTAGACTGCTGTGTTCATGGCTTGATAAAAACATTGGGCCTCATTCACCAACTGTTCTTAAGCAGAAATGTGTTCTTAAAACTTACTGTTTTCATGTATCTTCTGACATTCACCAATGTTATCTTACTGTGGATTTATTCTTAGGTAAGAACAGAATCTATGCACACTTAGACGTAGACTTTTTTATGACCTTTCTTAAAAACAAATTGGTGTATGAGGCCCATCATGCAGATTTTGGTGACATCTTATTCACATTACTGTTGGATGTGCATCCAGGAAATGCTGACATAGCCAGATGAACAAATGGATGTGATGACAGGCAGACAGACAAGCTTGATAGCTCAGTTATGATTGCTAGGTTAGCTTTCGCTCAGTTGTTAGCTTTTCTGTAAGGTTCTCCCACTCAAACACAGGAAGACCGTAGGAGAATAGAGTTTTGTCAAAGCTGTGTGGGCAAGAGAAGCCACATCAGCCTTGTGATTGTTGAGGGTACTGCGTGTGTGTGCATAACCCAAGATTAGCATTGGCCAGTTTACATCAACAGAAGAGACTCTGGTGAAATATCGGCCATCGGATCTTGGAAAGTTATTCACAGGACATGATTTGCACGTGTGTATTGTGTGACCACAAGAACAAGATTACTTAGAAGGAAAACATGGATTTAGGTTCCCTGGGGGCTTTAAGGGCCTTTGAGAGGCTGAAGTGACAGGACTGTTACTGTGATTTTCTCCCAACACATTCACTCACTTAACACAATTTAAAGGACCTATAAATGCTTTAAGAGACTGGCAGAAATTACATACAGTTTTTCCTGAGGGTTTTAAAAGACTAAATACAAATCACAATTCCATGCATTACACTTACTTTACCTACTTTCTTTTTATATTGTAAAGAATGAAAATGACATGAAGTACTTATGGAAAATTCTGTTTAACAGGCTGTGAATAGTGGGAAACTGATGGCATACGACTATGGAAAAGCTGGAAATATTGTTCATTACAACCAGGTAAAGAAGAGGATACCATAGAATTGTGCATACACGTTAGGGCCCCATAACATATTGTACCTTAATCTTTACTACATTAGCTTTTGCATATCTGATATTTAAGGATCAATGATGATATCAGAATTATATTGGTATCAGCAGATATTTGCTTTAAAAAAAATTAGATGCTTAGATTTGACAAATATTTTAAGCGAATATTTGAAGTGGTATTTATTGTACTATTGTAGTGAAGAATGTTTAGGAAATGCTGGGCTACCTTTTCCACATTTTTTACATTTTATTGCTCTTGTAATTCTACAGAAATTAATGTTTTGTCTCTGTGAAATGTTAATCCAGATGGATATAGTCCCAGTTTCTACAGAAACGCACACTTTCCAATGCTTGAGTGATCATTATAGTTCATCTGGGAAAAGTTTTGACTCCTTTTTTAATTTTTCAGATTACACAATATATATTGCAAAAACCTAAAATATTGCTGTGTGACTTTTTGCCCCAATATTGTTAAGCCCTAACGCTCATTATGCTTTCAGTGGTGTACAATTGTGGGGTTTATATTCATTTTGAAGAGTCTTGATTACTGTGCGTAGCATATTCAGTAGAGGGATTCAAACCTTTGTTAGCTCTCATTTCAGAGTTTCATTTCCACTACATCAACACGTCTTCAGAAAATCTGTATTTTATTGCCATTTTTAGCATTTCTTCTTTATCGGTAAACATTTCCACCTCGCACAAGCATAAAAACGTTTTGTGTGATATTTAGCCATTTTTTCAAACTTCTGCCTTTTCCACCCTTGATTTATTCATTAGATATTTCTGAAACCTGATTTTATTTAAGTTTTTAGCGGATGGTTCTATGGTTCTAGACATAAATTGTATTTTATGAAGTTTTTCTTTTCAGTGTTGTTAAGTGGTTTTTAGTTTTCCCATCACAAGCATTCAGTTTACTTCTCTTTTCTCCTGCTAGACAACCCCTCCTGAGTACAGCGTGGAGGACATGAAGGTGCCCACAGCACTGTGGTCAGGAGGACACGACACCCTGGCAGACCCACAGGACGTTGCAGTGCTGCTCACACAGATTCCTAACCTGGTGTACCATCGCCACATTGAGCACTGGGAGCACTTGGACTTCATCTGGGGGCTGGATGCTCCACAGGAGATGTACAACGAAATGATCAAACTCATGAGAGAGCACATGTGACCGTTGCCTTTTAGCTTTCAGCTTTAAGCTACTGTGCTAAAAAGCTTCCTGACCTCTCTCAGGGTTTTATATGCTGATTTCTTTTTTAACTGTAAAACAACCACCAGCACAAAGGTTTGCATTCCATTCTGTGGGCTGCAAGGAATGTCAGCAAAGGCCCAAGTAGCAATTGTTCTGCTTTTTAATGTTTATTTTATATCTAACACATGATTTGTTTACTGATGGTGCTGCTAACATGCAAGCTGCTGTCTTTGTGAATGTATGTGTCTTTGAGTCTTTGATGAGCCATCTGTCAGTAAGGTTACTCTATGTACTTCTTACACTAGCTCTCCACCAGATGGACCTTTCTTAAGATTTTCTTCTACATGGATTTGCTTGATTTTAGCCTCTAATTGCAACATAATCTGTGATTTTTTTATTTTATTTCTGTTTTACTTGATCTGAGTGCACTGACCATGACATGCCTTTCTTCTTAGAATCGGTGGATTTAAACCTAATAAACATCCACTGATACAATAAAATGTATATTACATTAATCAAAGACTCAAAGGGAAATTGGTGCAACATTAAAGGAGCTTTACACATACTTAAAACTACATAATTAAAAAACGATAATCGATATTGAATACTATGATAATTTAAAGAAGTGCTTATGTTATGCAAATTATTGTTGTAAACATCAACTGATTAACAGTCTGGTAAATAATGCAGGGAAATATGCAAATAAAGCAAAGAAACTTCATATAGAGTAAAATGGATGTCCAGAAGAAGAGTGTCAACATGCCAGTTTGGTCATATTTTTGGTTATGAACTACACATAGAACAACTGGATGTTGACAGTGCTAGATGCAGTATGTACAAAATATAGTTATCATTATAGATGATTAATTTCTTTTAAATTTATTATTGAGCTATAGGGGCAGCACAATGGTGCTCACAGCAAGAAGGACCTAGGTTGGGTTCCCCGGCCAGGTGACCAAGGTCCTTTCTGTGTGGAGTTTGCATGTTCTCCCCGTGTCTGCGTGGGTTTCCCCTGGGTACTCCGCTTTCCTCCCACAGTCCAAAGACTTGCAGACAGGCCATTTGGATACGTTAAATTGCCCCTAGGCAATTTTGAATGTTCGTGTGATTGTATGTGTCTGCCTGGTGATGGCCTGCCTTCTACCCAGTGACCGCTGGGATAGGCTCCAGCTCCCCCAAACCCCTCCACAATCCAGAAGGATAAGTGGTGTAGAAACTGTGTGTATGTATTAAGATATAAGAATTATTAACAAATTTTTAACAACAGCTCAATTTAACAATGTAGCTTTATTTGCAGTCTGTTTAAAGAGAAAAAAAAAACATTTGTTTTTCTTTAAAAAAAAAAAATTTAGGAAAACAAGAATTAAGGAATCACATCACATCACATTGTCCAAACTCAAGGACTTCACTCAGCCATCCCTTACTGACAGAGTAACAGTCTATTTTAATACTGTAAAACAATATTCCTTTTTATTATTTTTCAAGAATAAAAAAAAATAATAGAACAGTGTTCTCTCATCCTTCAAAACAATAACAAACAGAGTTATTGTACACTGTCTTTATTATATTTCCAGTCAAGAAAGCCTCTATTATCCACCACCATGTCAGACACAGACTTAACGTGCTGCTGGCTTATAACACAACTTGATACCATGTGAGAACAAAAAATCATTTAGTCCTAAAATAAGCAATGCTCTTATTTTGATTTTTTCAACATTGCAATAACCTTCCTGAAATTTAGCCTCTCTGCAACATCCAGTGGTGATTCATCACTCTGGAAAAAAAAACAAAAAACAAAACAGACATTAAAATAGCACTGACATTGAGCAGAATTTGAGTGTTCATTTTCAACACTTTGGATGACTCAAACAACCAGATTTCAAAAAAAAGACACTGACTCAGATTCAGGGAATAACGTAATCGTGCCTCCAGTAGATAACTGTAGGCATGTATCCTCATTAGTTTCTGAGATATAATGGCTTTTTTTGCCTTAAAATGAGCGCTATGAAAAAACATAAGCCATTAAGCTTGAACTATTGATGCTAGATACATGAACTTCTCAGGAATTACACTTTGGTGTAATGCGTGTTTAACACAGAAGAAAAAGAGATGCTTCCAAAACAAAAAATCTGCAAATGTTAATGTGCATTTCTAATTGATTAATAGCATATGCAAATTATTTGACACCCTTCTCATTGTAAAGTCTCAGAGCATAATTTACTCATAAGCCCTTAATAGACTTGTTAGGAGTAGTGACGCAGGTCAAGAACTGTCATTAGAAATTCTCAGCTGATGATAATTCCAGAGCTTAATAAATTCTCTGACGCTTCAAATCTAACACTCAACAACAATGGGCTCCTTTAATCAGCTGAATGAGGAAAATCATCTAAAAATGAAGCCTATTGATGGCTACAAAGCGGAAGAACACCATAAAAAGATATCAAAGCATTTTCAGCTCATACTGTGGAAGTCAGGGCAAGATCAGGAAGACCAAGAAGTGTCTCAGATAGAACTGCAGCCCCAATATGACAGCAAAGAACCTGCAGGAAGCTTCAGCTGACACGAGTGGTGATACTGTGCAGTGTTGCGTGCCCAAACATGATTTCCATGGAAGAGTCATCAGAAAGAAATGTTACCTGGTTTCATGTCAAAGTATAAAGTATGCAAGACAAAATCTAGATAAGCTAGAGGCATTTTGGAAACAAGTGCTGTGGACTGATGAAGTAAAATTGAAACTGTTAAGCCACAGTCACTAAACGTATGTTAGGAGATGCAGCATTCGATGAAAAGAACACCCTGCCAACTGTTAAGCATGTGGGTGGATCTGTTAAGCTTTGGGCTTGTGTGGCAGCACAGAAAACACTGCAAGAGTAGACGGAAGAATGGATTCCACTAAATATGAGCAAATTCTGGACAAATGTCAGTCAAGAAACTGAAGCTGAAGAGGCTGGCTTCTACAATGGGACAATGATCCAAAACGTACCCAAAACCCAAAACAAAATCCACCATGAACTGCTACAAGAAATGCAAGCCGAAGGATCTGATATGGCCCTCAGTGTTCCTTGACTTAAACACCACTGAAAATCTGTGGGTTTAGTTTACACCTGCTGTGCATGCAAGATGCTCCAAGATGTCGCAATGTCACAGAACAGTCCAAATTTTTGCACATGCCACAATTACTATTCTATTTTTTAGCATGCATTAACCCTTTCAGAAAAATGTTATTTTTAAAATAGTTTGACAGAGTCTGTGTTCATTTCATTTCACATCAAAAATCAACAAAATGTGTAACGTGGCCAGGGGTGGAAGAGTTTGAATAATTCAGTGATTTGCTTTTACACATCAGATGGAAGTTTAAACTGTCTCTCTGTTGATGTAAGCAGAGCAGAAATGATGTTCATGATATGCATCAAAGGGACCAAACAGATATCCTCTCTGCTAGGCCAACAATCAGGATGCATTAATGTTACATGGGCATCTTGTTACTGTAGAAATGACTGTCAGACATGAGCAGTATAAATTTGAAATCTGAAATCATGATCTGATTGTTTTTGGTTGTAACGCTTCATAAATAAGAACCCTTTACTATTGTTATTAAGTTTGTTCAAACTCCTAGTGATCATATGGACAGAATTTCTCCAGAATATCATCTTTTCTTTTTTGGTCTTTAGACTTAAAGGCTTGTTGATGATTCCTTTGATCGCCTCTGTCTCTCTCGATGCTGGCCGTCCTCCTTCTCTATTACATTCAACTATTCCGAGCATGATGGTCTTTTCCCATGAAGTGGTCCTTCTTATAATATGTCTAGAATAGGACAGTTTGGTTACTTGGGGTTCAAGTGAGAGATAAGGCTTGATTTGGGTCACAGAACCATATGTTGTTTTATTTGCCATCCAAGATATAGTATATGGGCAAAAGTATTGGGACACCTACACATTACACTCACACAAGCTTTTATGACATCCCATTCGAAATCCATAGGCAATAATATGCAGTTGGTCCCCCTTTGCAGCTTTAACAACTTCCATTTTTCTGTGAAAACTTTCTACAAGATTCTGCCCGGCCATGGAAACCCATTTTCGTGAAGCTCCAGATGCGCACTTCTTTTGCAGACAATTTGCATGGTGTACCACTTTGTGGCTAAGCTGTTGTTGCTCCTAGTTGCTTCCATTTCACAATAATAGCACTTACAGTTGACGGGGCAGATCTAGCAGGGCAAAAATAAACCGACTTGTTGCAGAGGAGGCATCCTATGACAGAGCCATGTTTAAAGTCACTGAGCTCATCAGTACGACCCATTCTACTGCCAGTGTTTGTCTATCAAGACTGGAAGGCTATGTGCTTAATATTAACCACATGTTTGCAATGGGTGTGGCTGAAACACCTGAATTCAATAATTAGGTGTGTCCCAATACTTCTGTCTATATAATGTACTCTCTAAAGTCTCTGCCAAACACCAAAGCTCAAAGCATCATTATTTTTGCCATCCTGCTTCTTTAATTGTCCAGCTTTCACATCCGTAAAGAAGAAAAAACATTGACTTGACAATTGGGATCCTGGTTTGTAGAGACAATCTATTGCATTTGAAGATCTTTTCAAGGTCTTATTTCTTGAGTGCTGGATCCTTTGTTGATAATAATGGATGTAAGTAGGCAAAACTGTCCACCATTTCTCCACCTTCACCATCAGTGGTAAAGTGTTTCATAATTTTTGTTCTCTTCATACTGAGCTGTAGTCATATCTCGTCTTTAGCTTTCATTATTAGGGCTTTCAGATTTTCATTTTCCACAGTATGTTGTCATCTGTATACTGAAGATTACTGATGTTTTTCCACCAATCTGTAATTCACCATCATCTTACTCCAGTCTTAATTCTTATTAGCACATGTTCTGCACACAGGTTGAACAAGTGTGGTGACAGTAAGCAGCCTTGTTTGAGTCTTTTGCTGATGTGAAACCGGTCTGTTTATGTCACATGGTTTGTTGATCAGTGCAGACATTCTTCATTAGAACAGTGAGCCTCATCCACCAATCGTTCTTAAGAAGAAATTTTTTCTTAATACCCACTAATGCAGTTTTTCTGAAGATTCTGACATTCAGCAAAGTTTTCTTATTTGGGATTTGTTCTCTTTCACTCAAGAGCACAAAGGTGCAAACAATTCTGTAGTTTAAGAACACCTCATGAATCTGATGTTGAATTTTTTTCTTAGGACCTTCCTTAAGAACAAATTTAAGATAAAACAGAAAATACTGGTGAAAGAGGACCAATGAGATTTTCAGAGTACATTCCTTAGCTTTATGTGGTCATCATAGTCGAAAGCTTAGCTGTAGTCGATGAAACGTTGACCACCTTCTTGAATTCCTTAGCTTTTTCAATTATCCAGCATACATCAACAGTATCTCTTGTTCCTTCTGCCTTTCCTGAACCCCGCTTGCATATTCAGCAGTTCTCTGTCAATGTAAGGCTCTAGTTTGAGCTGAATGATCTTGAAAATAATTTTACTGGCATGTGATATAAGGAGAATTTGTTTCTACATTCTTTTCTACATTCTTTCTGCTCTCCTGTCTTCGCCTATCTGACATCAACCGAATCTTCTTCAGAATCTTGAAATACTACTTTTCAGCAATGTATTTCTGCTTGTTCTGTCTTGGTTGATAAACACATCTTCAAAGTCTTCAAAGACCACACCTCCTTTTAAATGTCTCTATATCTCAGAAGCTATTGTAGATACAATCCTGTAACTCTGCAAACTAAGGTGTTAAGCAAAGAGGAGACGATCAGTTATTCTGTTGTTTTATGGTCAGGTGATTTTGCATGCATTGACCCTGGTATAAAGCCTTCTATGGCAACTATGTCTTGTGTATTGCTTTTAAATTCTCTTCTGCTTTCTTAAGAAGCAGCTTGTTCCTTGAAAGTTCCTCATAACAGGCACTTTAAAAACCTCTGCACATTCAGCTTTTTGTGAAAATCAGAAACTTACTTTGTTCTTGATTGAAATATCTGCATTTTTCTCCAGTAAGAGTGGAATAATTTGATGGCTTTTACTCTGGCAGGCATAGTGAAGTGCAGTGTTTCCTTTCTGTTGAAGAAAAAAAACATACAATACAGCAAATGAGCTGATAAACACTATTCTTTGTGTGCTTATTCCTGAGTGCTGGGCTACAAGGGACTGGGTCCTACAGTACTTACGTAATCAACAGCATCAACTTCCACCTTGCTGCCTAACACCAACTTCATCAGGTTGACATGCGCCTTCTGCTTCTCTATCTGTTGAAACAGCAAAACCGGTTAAATGTCTTTTCAGTTTTAATGAAGAAGCTGCAGGTTGTTAGACAAGACAAAGCACATGCAACCTGTTAACCCTGTTCATACTACTGCCAATTACTGTTCTCCAAGTCAATTTTGCATGAAAGTGTAGTAGTACATGGACACTTTTGTATGCAGAACACTACTGATAGTAAATTTATACTGTACCATTATGAGGTATCCGATCAACAGGATGGGCATGAGAAGAACAATCATAAGGTAATCCAAGAAAGAGAACCTCCTTTTGGCAACATAGTGCAAGCAAGTCCTTTCTTTCTAAAGGCAAAAAAGTGCAAACATGCAATTAGACCTTATAAGCAGACACAGTTGTGGTCATTTCACATAACTGATACAGATTACATTTAAAATACACTAATAAAGTCACCACATAGGATAAAATAAAAGAAAGCAAATGGCATGGCACGGCACGATACTACTTTTTCCCGACACTGATAGTAGTACTTTTGCTTTAAAAACAAGCTTTAAAATGTTTTATTGAAAACTTAAGATAAGCGTGTAAAAGTAGATCATCATATTCAAACGACTCAATCACCCACTATCACCACAGGAAGAAATACACAGACATCTACATAACATCCCACAGTAGCTACGTTTCCATCGATTTTGTGCATTAAAATGATGTGTAAAAAAGTTTTCTATCAAACTTTCACCAATAAAAATGCTTTACGCAATCATTTCATTACCTGCAAAAACTTTTGGTATCAGAAAAAAAAGAAAAAAAAAAAAGAAGAAGAAACCATATTGATTTTACACCCAAGGTTTGTCCAATACCTTGTTTCTTACAGATACGTCAGCATTTTGATGTAAAAGGTATTTGACAGTCCTGAGGCTTCCACTTCTACAGGCTGCTATGATTGGTGTGTCTCCATATATTTCATCTTGAACGTTCAAATTCTTGTGATCTTCCTTGAGTAGCTGAAGAACTTGGTGGCTGTCATCATTGTAAGCTGCTTGACAAATAGGCTATGGAAACAAAAGGAGAAAGAAATGTGAACTTCTACTTAATGTGATTAACAGTTGCTTATAGTGGCCAGCAGGATGAGCGATACTCCACATTTTCTTTTTGAAGTAATACCAAATTAAATACTGAGACTTTTAATAGTCTTCTCATTAAGGGTGACTGACTACTACACTATATAGACAAAATTATAAGGACACCTGACCATCACACCTATATGAGATTGTTGGACATCCATTCCAAACCATGGGTGTTAATGCAGAGTTAGCACTTAGAGTTGACTGGGGCAGATCTATCAGGGCAGACCTTTTACAACTGACTTGTGGCAAAGGTGCTGTCCTATGACAGTGCCATGTTTAAAATCACTAAACTCTTCAGTTCAACCCATTCTACTACCAATGTCTGTCTATGGAGATTGTGTGGATATGTGTTTGTTTTTATACAACTGTTAGTAATGGGTGTGGCTGACACACCTGAAAGCAATAATTAGGATACTTTTGGCCATATAAATGTAGTTTTTTTATCAAAACCTTTTAAAAACAGTGCAATTTTCAAATCAAGCTGCAATAATTATAATAGTCGTACATACAAAAGTTTGTGCGCCCCTGATCAAATAAATTTTTTCTTCCTAAGTGAAATTAAGTTTACACATCCTCTACAGAGAACACACTTGTACTTACTGAATTTAATATACTAGAGAAAAAATAATAAAACAAGGCTTATGCAAAAGTTATGGCTCATTTTAGATTTTATTTACATTAAATGTAAACGTAAATGTAGATTTTATGTTTTTCCAAGATGTTAAACTCAGATTTCAACAGAAATTGTGAACTAAACTTTGCATAGAAATGCCACTTTTGTTCCCTGTAGAGGATGCATTGACATATTTTGATTTACATCAACAAAACATGTAATTTGGCTGGTGGTGTGCAAACTTCTGCATTGGGCTATATTTCTAAACTTCATATTAAGAAGTGTTAAGTGGGGAAATTTAACCCAAATTTAACTGAGAGCATTTCCTTGATTGAAACTGCTCCACAGAATTATGGTTTTACCCATAATGTATGGGAAGGAAAGAGGGGAGGTGGTTTAGCTGTTGTTGTATATTTTTCATTTGGAATGTGGAATATCTTGCCGTTCTACCTAAAGGTCAGGAACCAGTCGTGCTGGTGGTTGTTCATCGTCCACCCAAATACGCACCCTCCTTCTTAGCAGAATTGTCTGAACTATTGTCCATCTTTTGACACATTCATGGTCACACTTTAGATTTAGTCATGTCACAAGTTTTATTTATCAATGAAATTTTGGATATCACCATCTCAGATCACTACTGTGTTTGTCTGCCTCTGCTGACAAGAAAGACAGAGTAACAAAAATGAAGAAAAAAAAACGGTATTTTATCACATCAGCAGCAGCTGCTTTTAGTAACGCTCCACATTACAAACCTCCTCGACTTATTAACTCAAGTGCATGATATGGTCAGCAATTTGAACTGCAAGCTTAGATCTATTTTAGATAGTGTTGCACCACAAAAAAAACTAAAGGGAAGTCCTTGACTACAAAAATGCAATGAAAAAATGAACAAATAAACCAACTGAAAAGGGACTGCTGCAAAGCAAGAAACTAAACTAACTATTCACTAAGAAATTCAATTCAAAAATCATATTATTATTTATGACAATGCAGTACAAACACAGAGACAACAGAAACAACCAGGAGTTTTATTTTCAATAACTGATTACCTGTTAAATCCTAAATTAACCAATGATTATTTCACTGAGGCTTTGACATCAAAATGAAATGGCTCTATCAGTGATTTCAATCTGGTTTCCATACACACCACAGCACTGAGACAGCTCTCCTGCGTGTGGTTTATGATCTTCTCCGGTCTGCTGACAGTAGTTCTCTTAATGTTTTCCTTGACTTAAGTGCAGTGTTTGACACTGTTAATCATGATGTTCTCATTTCTAGCCTTTCTCTGTTGGTATCACTGATACAGCCTTACAATGGTTTAGGTCTTATCTTAAAAAACAGACAACAGCTTATCACACTAAGTCCACTGTTACATGTGGTGTTCCTCAGGGCTCAGTTTTTGGACCCCTTCTTTTCCTAATCTACATCTTACCCTTCAGCCAGATTATTTGTAGCCATGGCCTTAACTTGCAGTGCTAGACTGATCATTCAGTTATATCTCAGTACATACTCCCCCACTCAGATTCCCCTCCCAATACAATAACCGATTGTATTTCTGATTTAGAGCTTTGGATGCTTGATAACTCTCTCATGCTAAACACTGATAAACTGAAGTTTTACTGGTTGGCCCTAAATCTTTACTAACAAAATCATTCAATTTTTCTGTTAGTATTGATGGTCTGCTTGTTAAGCCTGCACCTGTGGTCAGAAATCTTGGTATTTTACTCGACCCATCAATTAATTTTGGTCTACATATCAAGTTCCTCACTAAGACAGCATTACGCAACTTATGCAACATTACTCATCTTCGCGGGTTCCTGACTAATGCATGACACACAAATTTTGGTTCATGCCTTTATTATGACTCGTATTGATCTCCCTCTTTATGGGCCTCCCTGCAAAGTCTATACAAGAGCTACAGTATAGTCAGAACTCTACAGCTAGAGTTCTCACTTAAGCTCACATCACCCCATTCTCTCTCAGCTACACTGGCTACTGGTCCTGTCTTGTATAGAGTTTTTTTTTTACTTCTCATTTCAAAAGCCCTGCATGACCTTGCTTCTCTCTACCTCAGAGAACTCCTGACTTCTTACACTTCCTCTCGCTCTCTCAGGTCTTCTTGTAATAACTTTCTGTCCCTCACACCAAACTTTCAACCTTGGGAGGTAGGTCCTTCAGTGCCATGGCCCCCAAACACATTTTATAACTCCAAAACTAGCAGTACTAGACTCTATTTTTATTCAACAGCAAAAAACTACAAATAGTTTTAAAAGATTAATGAGACAGAACCACAAAAAGTTATCATGCAGCTAAATTCCGCTGTTTTAGAGCTTATCCCAACAGAATTTTTGAATAAGTATTTGAAAGTCTTTGTCTCTTTGGAAACAGTTGTAGGACCATTATCGAAGAATTACAGATTAATCTCTAACCTTCTGTTTTAAGTAAAACAACTGAATTAAAAGGAAATGCTTCAATGGTGAAGACCCCCACAGGATCTCCTAAGAGCAGGTATTACTTAGGTGGTGGTCATTCTTAGCACTGCAGTGGCACTGATGCGGTGGTGGCGTGTTAGTGTGTGTTGCGCTGGTACGAGTGGATCAGACACAGCAGTGCTGCTGGAGTTTTTAAACACCTCAGTGTCACTGCTGGACTCAGCATAGTCCACCAACCAAAAATATCTAGCCAACAGCGTCCTGTGGGCAGCGTCCTGTGACCGCTGATGATAGTGATGCAGTTGCACTCCACCTGACCTGCGCATTTTAGAGATTTAACTGCTCCAAATCATCAGCTCATTAGCACTAGTAAAATAGGAAAATATTAAACTATGCAAGGCAGCAGGACACCAGGATTGAGAAACAGTAGCACTCGGACAACGTGAGACAGGAAACTGTAGTTTGTCAACACATTACACACATAATTCCAACTGAAAGGACCGAAAATACCTTAATAGATAACAGTGAGAGCGGCGTAAATACTGTCTGTGGTTACTGTGGTCGGATTACCAACTTTAAACATGCAGATAAAGGTAGATAAGAGTCATTTAATCAAATTACCCAGGCAAAAACGTAATGAATAGCATTCTACCGATAAACAGACATGTTTGCTGACCTCTGAGTACAGGATCCCCATGGCGCCGGACAAAGAGAGAAACCTACAACAAACACATCCGCGTCCTCTTCAACCTGTGGACTGAAATCTCCTCAGAAAACAAGAAAAGTTGCTCAGTAATCCCTGCGCTAGTAAACTGCGCTCCAACTGAGGCGAAAAGGTGTGGTTTGTGAAGATGACTAAAAAAAAAAATCACACTATGTCGTTTTCAGGTGTATTGGCTAACGGCTGCGTGATTCAGTTCACTGACGTCACTGACGCAACCAGCCAGCCCTGAGAAACGGAACAGGAAAGTGTCACAAGCAGGCTGAAACCTTTTCCCACAGGTGAAATAAATGACGTAACAGGACACAGAGGGACATTTATTAGTGGACCCAAGCGATGGATCTGAGTATTGATCCGTTTTTAAACATAAACAGTGAGATGGAGGAGATGAGCCTGCATGTAGAAGGATTTCAGCGACTTAGTATATTAACCCTGATAAAAAATATAGAAACCATTAAAAGTTTCTGTTGGTTCTGCTGGTGCCCAATAGATACTAATGGTATTCTGTGTTTTCCTGATGGGTTGATATTCCAGTGGTTTAACAGGTGTTCTGGGACTGATTCCAGATGCACTTGATGGTTTCCTAATGGGATCTAAAGGTGTCCTACAGAAAACTAGTGGCCTGTAATGGTAACCATTAAGCCAATGTCCATTAAAAAGCAAAACCATCAGGTTTTAATCCTAATGGTTCTTTCTTTATTTTTTTTCAGTAGTGAAAATAAACAGATGTTTTTTGCACTCTGATTCAAATAGTAAAGTTGAAGGAAAACAAATGATACAGTACAAAAAAATAAAAATATTTGGGGTTAAACATGCTATCGATACATGAAGGTCCGCGTATCAACATTTTATTATTTAAATATGAATATTCTTAACCTGTGTTAAGTCCATCGGTACAACAGTAGAAAGAAGGTTCTGACTGCAGAGCCGCAGATTTACACCTGCAGTTTCACCCGCAGTTCCAGGCCAGTGGAACGCATGCGCAGTAGGACAGCACGATTGTGCCATGTAAACAAAGTCCTTATAGGAATGTTGAACGTTATGAGCGTCCCATTCATATTTCAGCCAGTGGCCGGTCTCCTCACTTATAACGTCTCTGATGTAAACAGTGACTGTTCGTGCTGATTGTTTGTGTCGCCATGCATATTACAGTTCAGGAAAGGATGTCAGTATACAAATCAACCACTGCTAACCGGTCAAACCATAAGCAAAACACATTACAAAACCTAAAGCAAAGGAAACACTAATGGTTTCTACAGTTTTTTTAAGCAGGTATACGTTCAAAAACTAGTTCGTTTTAGTCTATAGCTTAATATTACACTCAGTTTAAGGCTGCTTAAGGTAAAGTTTTATTCCTGCACATGTAACGTAAGTGTCCACATAAAGCCCCCTTATTAAGGGTAAGTTAACTGAGCTATGTGTCTACATAACCCATTAGTTTACTCAGGTCACGTGTAATATTTACAAAGTGAATGTCTATATGCGTTCAAAGCAATAGACAACCAAGCAAGTTCTATTTTAAACCACGAGATGGCGCTGTTGCTTTCTGGTAATAGCATTTTTTTTGTGAGCGGAGTCATTTTGATCACACCGGTAACTTTGCCTGCCATTCACCTTCCATTATAAACTGCTCTGGATAAAAGCATTTGCCGTCCACAGTTTCGCTTAATTGTCCAGGTTTTTGTTTGCTTGTCTAGGAAAAGAATAATTCCATCCTTTGACACAAATGTTCAAGAATCCAAGCATTTTCATATGTTGGTATTTCTTATGAAGTTTAAACTTTCTTTTTATCCAGTCACACTGTTCGTATGCAGAGAATTGCACTGATGGCACTGATTAATTCAGATTACCCAGTGTAGGTGCACTGTTGGTGTTTAGGTGCTACACAGCACTTCAGCGCCACTGATTGAGGTGACATCACTATTTGTTGTGTACAGCAAAATGAGCTGTAAAAATGATCCTTAATTATTTATTCTTTTTGAGCGTTCATTCAAAATATTAGCAAAAACCTAACACTTATTCAAAGTATAATGATTGAAAGAAAAAAAAATAATCTTGTCATGAAAAAAATATTTTTCTTAAATCTATGTGTGCCACAATTGGCACCCCTAGAAAATCTTGAGTTAAGTCTAACTGAAGTATATTGCCAATCATATTTTATGTTTTAAAGTTCACCTGAGAAATTAGAAACACTTAAAGGGTCAGCCATGACTTCCTGTTTCACTGGGTAATAAATATAAGATGAAACATCCATCGCTATGAGAAAGACCAGAGCAAACAGCACTGATGTACAAAAAAGGTTGCTGAAGTACACAAACCAGGAAATGGCTACAAGAAAACAGCTAAACAGTTGCAAATGCCCATTTCCACCATCAGGGCAATAATTAAGCTTAAAACAACTGCAGAGGCTGGACAAAGGATCTCCAAAGATCACAGAAATAAATGAGGCCTTGAGGTCAGACCATCTCCCAGACTACAATCAAACACCACCTATATAACCACAATTGTTTGGGGGGTGCCAGAAGAAAGCCTCTGCTTTAAAGTACCAACAAACTCAAGCTCCTATAGTTTGCCAAACGTTACTCGACCTTTTAGTGGGACTGTGTTCTGTGGTCAGATGAAACCAAAATAAAGATTTTGGCAACAAACACCAGAGGTAAGTTTGAAGTGGACACAAAGATAGTCATACAGTAAAGTACCTCATCCCCACTGTTAGGTATGGTGGTGAATCTGTGATGTTGTGGGGCTGTTTTTCTTCCAAACACCCTGGACAATTTACTCAGATAAGACTCCATCAAGTACCAGCAGAAATAAAATCTAAACCTGACTGCCTCAGCCAGGAAGCTTAAACTGGGCCATAGTTTGGACCTATCAGCAGGACAGTGATCCAAAGCATACCTCAAACTCAACACAAAAATGGTCAACTGACCACAGTGAAAGTTATGGTTTTGCCATGGCCACTCCAGTCTCCTGAACTAAACCCTGTAAAAAACCTGTGGGATGAGCTGAAGAGGAGAGTCCATGGTGTGGACTTTGGAATCTGAAGGATCTAGAAAGGTTCTGTATGGAGCAATGGTCTCAGATCCTTTGACATGTGTTCTCCAGTCACACTAACCATTATAGAAAACTCTGAGCTGTTACCTCTGCAAAGGGAGGCCGCACAGAGTATGAAATAAAGGGGGGCCAATAATTGTGAGAAAATATTTATTTCCTGATCAGATGAAGGGTTATTTTTTCAATTATTGTACTTCAAAGAAAAGTTTTTTTAATTAAAATTAAAAATCAAATTAAAGTGCATTGCAGAGATAAAAGATAATAAAATAGAAAATAAAGTAAGGAATTCAAAGAAATGAAAACATTGTAGTGCTAAGATCATTTACAGTCCTAAACAATGGAACAAGAAAACAAGAACATCTTTAAACTGGACTTTAGATGGCTTCATTTGGAGCATATCTGACCTCATCTGGGAGTTCCAACAGTGGGTAGCATAATGACTGAATGCTGCCTCACCCTGTTTGGTTTTGTTTCTGGGCAGTACTAACTAACTGGTCTCTAGTGATCAGAGAGGCATATTGGGTTAGAATACTTAAAGCAGATCAGTAATGTATTTTGGTCCAAGGCCATTCAGCAGGAACTTCAGTGTTTGCCAAGAATCTGTTTTAGCACTTTAGGGCCCATATAATGAATGTGTTTGCTATGTGCTGTGTGCTCATTTGAAAATAATTGTCACAGTTTCCTCAGTCAAACTCAGTCTACCTCTGTATCCAATAGTACCTGCATATTAATCTTCTACCATATAATACATACTATACATACTATGCTAATGAATGACTACTATACTATACATACTATACTAATGAATGAGTACTATACTATACATACTATACTAATGAATGACTCTTATACTATACTATACTGTCTTTTGTGTTTCCCTAGCTCCACAGCCAACCTGTCTCATCCCACCTTGCCTCCTTCCCCATTAGCTGTTCCACCTGATCCTTATTTCCCTATGTGTATTAGTAGGCTTTATTAGCTGTTTCTTTATCTTTTGATGAATGTTGTGTTGGGTATGTTGTTTCTGTTGTAAAGTAAATGTGTTATCACATATTGTTGTAAAATATTGGTCAAATCTGAACGTCCGTCTGATGCCAAGTAATGTTTTTTCTTATGTTTTTTTATCTGCTGATACTGATATGATTCTGATATCATTGTGCATCACTAGTACTTAGTTTTGTTAGCTTTGTATCTTTTACTCTGCATTGCTTTGGTTTTCTCTGTTTCTCCCTAGTTTGTTTCTGGTTCTGAGAATTGGCCTTGCACTTACATCCTTTAGCGTGCTGCATCGTCCAAGTTTACTGAAGACCTGACCGCAATACACTAAAAGTAGCAAGCCCAAAGGACTTCAGCTGACAGAGTGCCACACACCTGGTTCTGCGTTTTCTATTGGAAATTGGAAGGTGAACCTTCACTCCAGTCTGAGGTCCTGAACATTCCTTTAGGTCCTTTGTATTTTGATTAATCTAACTTTACCTCGGGTCCTGACAATTCTCTCAGTCCCTGCTACAGACAAACAGCCGCTAACTTCTTGCCTTTCCCTTAGGGATGGAATTTGCCAGGTTATGAGCATTGCTTCTTTTCCTTCAGATGTAACACTTGGCATTCAAACCAAAGAGTTCAATATTGGTTTCATCAGACCATAGAATATTATTTCTCATAGTCAGACACTCCTGTGGTTTTTGGCAAAGTTTAAGCAAGTGGCCATGTGCCTTTTACTGCCTAAGGCCTATAAGACAATGAAGAGTGCAACAGAAGAAAACATCCAGAAAGGAGAGGAACTGAGCAAGAGGGGAGAAAAGAGTGAACAATGGTGTGGTTTTTCAACACTGGAGAGACATGAAACTTGAAAACTGGTGCCAGGCTTGCTTTACTTTGGTGGACAGGTAATTATTTTGTTTGGTAAGTTTCTGGTGTAATTTGGTATCCTCTAAAAATTGTTGACCTTCTGAACTGTTACATTATAACCAGGGCAGCATGTACTGAGAATACGTATTTAGAGTCCATCTAACTAGTGTACTTGTTACAGACTGTGTACCGATTTTAAAGCAGTTAATAAGTAAGAATTGATAGAATTTCCTTTAAAGATTATATGCTTTTTTATTTATTGGGTAAGTATTCTAAAAGTATTAAAAATGTAAAAGATAACAGTATTTTGAACACTGCCTTTTTAAAATGTAACATGGGCTGAATACTGATACTTAATTTTCTTTATTCATAATATATTTACAAATTAGGTTTAAAAATATTTTCAGTATTTGCCTTGTTTGCTATAAACATTGGAGTAGCTTCTGTAAATGCGCATACTGAACCTGGAATTGTTTATTGTCACAAAAGCCCTTGTTGTCTTTTATCATGGCATTGAAAGTTCAATATTTTACGGCAAGAAACAGTCAAACGCCAGTGCATTTCTCCAGCAGAACCTGATAAACCTGTTTAGCAAATCAGCATGCAACATTTGGGTTAGGTGACACCACACTGTTTTAGGCAGAATCTCAAATGGCTTCCTTCTCCATACAAAGTGCAGTACATAGGTAAAATAATAATAAATAATAATATATAATAATAAGTAATAATAGTATATACAACAATAAATTTAAAAATGCCATCAAGTTCTAAATGAGTTAAGTTTTTCATGAAATGGTAAAATGTCTCACTTTCAACATCTGATATGTGTTCTATGTTCTATTGTGAATTAAATCTGGGTCTGTGAGATTTGCAAGTCATTGCATTATGTTTTTTTTACATTTATTTACATTTTACACAGCGGCCAACTTTTTTGGAAATGGGGTTGTAATATAAAGTAATTATTTGTATTATTATTATTTATTGTTCATAACCTATTTGTTATTACTATTATTACTAACTCTTATTTTTGTGTAAATTTAATTGTTCTCTTGGTTCAGCACCTGGGCTGATTTGCTGTTGCCCATTCCTCTTGTTTTGGTGCATTAACACAACAAAAGTTTGCAAAAAAGAGAAGAATAGCACCTAACAAATCTCACTTTCCATGATGATAGATGCAGTCACAATCAATGTATTTGTCATACATTGATGTTAAGCAACTGTTGCGGATGTGTTTGAAGGGATCTAGCTCTCCTTTTTGGTAGATAACCACCAAAAAGACCACTGATCAAGTGATGGAGTGGGTTGAGGATTGAGGAAGTTCAGGTGATGTCATTGACACAATCATCAGATTTAAATACCACTGAGAACTTGTGGGACTATGTTAGGAAGTGTGTGGAGAATAATTCAACCACTCTACGAGGTCTGTGGACAGAAGTGGATAATGTGTGGGATGAATATATTTAGATCATTTTAAGAAAACACAGAAATAGGACAAAGCGATGTGAAGGAGTCATCAAGGGTGTTAAGTAAGCACTAAGAAGTTCCGCTGCAGTTCTACAGAAATGAATACATTTTTTACCTTTGTACAGAGCATTCAGAAAGCATTAGACTAATACACACACACACACACACACACACACACACACACACACACACATATATATATATATATATATATATATATATAAATATATATATATATACTATGGCAAGCCAAACAGGAAATATTTAATGAACATTGACATATATGGAATGAACTTTGATATATATTGAATGAAAGTCGCTGTTGAAGGGTTGAGGATGGCCAAGAAAAACTGTACATCACTCTGTCCAAGGGATCACTGTATATACATACTGGTCACTTTCTTGAATTCCCTTCCTTTAGGGAGTTTGTTAATGCCCATTTATTAATGCACAGTTTTTCTTGGCCATTCTCAACCCTTCAACAGCAACTTTCATTCAATATATATCAGTGTTCATTCCATATATATCAATGTTCGTTGTATATATATCAAAGTCCATTGTATATATATATATATATATATATATATATATATATATATATATATATATATATATATAATCAAAGTTCATTGTATATATATCAATGTTCATTGCATATATATCAATGTTCATTCCGTATATATTTATTTCACTTGTAAATGATTACAGAACAATGCAGTAAATTGTAAATGGTTTAAGTGAGCATAAAGTTTATTATGTAATTTTACAAGTGCTCAATATGGCCTCCTCCAGCCATCTTCCGGTGACAGTCAAAAACTCTATGACACCCTCTTTGAATTGATATGTGATTGGTTCCTAGGCGCCTCACGGCTGTAAAATTATGGCGCTTTGAAATCGGATGTGTATACATAAATGCATCATCTAAACCGCTTATCCTTCTGGGTCACGGTGGGGTGCTGGAGCCTATCCCAGCTGTCATTGGGCAGGATACACGCTGGACAGGTCACCAGTCCATCGCAGGGCAGACAGACACAGTCACACCTAGGGGCAATTTAGTATGTCCAATTAGCTTAACTGCATGTTTTTGGACTATGGGAGGAAACCGGAGCTCCCGGAGGACACCCACACAGACACGGGGAGAACAGGCGAACTCCACACAGAAACGACCCCAGTCTCCCGGCCGGGAATCGAACCCAGTGTGTGTGTGTGTGTGCGTGTGTGTGTGTGTAAACAGCTGAACACATACATTTACATATGTATCCAGACCCTTTACTCGGTACTTTGCTGAAGCCTAATCCTTGGCAGCGATTACAGGTCTGATTGAACAGATGTTCCAGACTCAGGCTGAGGCACTCAAGGACATTCAAAGACCTGCCCTAAAGCCACTCAGTACGATCAGGTAAAAGCCCAATCTGAGGCCCTGAGTGCTCTTGACTAGGTTTTCCTCAGGGATTCCTTACTATTTTAATTTTATCTTTCCCTCAATTTTGATGAACTTCCAAGTTTCTGCTACAGAAAAAAACATCCCCATAACATGACGCTGCCACCATCATGCTTTTTGGCAAACTCCAAGAGAGCCTTTTACCAAGAATTGGCTTCCATTTTACCATGCTGTCCCTTCTCCACACAGAACTTCTCAAATTCCATCAGAGTGGCTGTGTACTTGCTTCATTCCTTGTTCTTAGGGACCATCAAAGATGCAGAAGTTTTTTGTTTTTAGTACCCTTCCCTAGATCTGTGTGTCAACTTAGTTCTGTCTTAGAGATCTAAGGACAATTCCTTTGACCACATAGCTTGTTTTTGCTTGCCATGCACAGATTTGGTCTGTAACTAGTTATGTTTACTCAAATACATGTACCTAAATAAAATGCTGATGGATTTGTACTCTCCTGAATATTTTCAAATTATAATACTTTTACTTCTACCCAACTACAGTGATAAAAGGAAACTACTTTTTACTCAGTTACATTTTGGCCATTTATACTTAGTTATTTGTTTTCTATATCCTTTTATATACTCAATTCTCTTGATTTGATTTTATTATATTTTATTAGTGTCAGCCTTTGTTCTGCTATTCTGCTTTGCATGTGTTCTGCTTTGAGATTGGTCACACTTCTGATTTTGGAGCTTCAGCATTTTATTTTCGACCAAAACAGTCCCAAAAATAGAAGAATGGAGTGTAACAAACTTCAGTTCCTGTGCTGATAGATGCTTGATTTACCAAGACGTTCTGCTGCACTTCTACAAGTTACTCAATATTAGTAGTTTTTAGCCCAATACTTTTGCACTTCTACTCAAGTGGTTTTTTGAAAAGTTACTTTTCATTTTACTTGAGCCCAAGTTTAAATCAATACTTCTACTTGAGTATGGATTTAGGCTGCTCTACCCACCTCTGGACATGCACTGTCAGATATGAGGCTTTATATAGACAAAGGTGTGCTTGTCCAAATTCCAATCAATTGAATTTACTTTAGGGGAACTTTAGGGCTGATTATTCAGTAACTACAGGGAGATGAATGCATACTGGCTGAGCTGTTCTTAAGTTACAGAAATGTGTAATAAAACTTTAGGCCTTGACCATGCACAGAAACAAATATGCAGGTAAGTTTTATTTAAATCATTGCTTCCTTGTGACTTACAAAACAATTTCATGTTCACTTTTTCAGCAATTGTTTTTTGATATATGAAATCATTTCGTCACATTTGCATTACAAAAAAATGTCAGAACAAAGTTCAAATGGGCAACTGATCTATTTAAAGGGAATCAGTAGGCGTATTTTCATCACATGCTAATCATCATCATGACCATCATCATTATGACATATTAATAACAATCATCTTAAGTAATGTGATCGCTTCATATATTTAATACCCCTCCTGTTTTATTTACCTCAGGCTGCTGTGAAGGGCTGTACTGGAGCTAAAAGTGAGTACTGCATCATTTTACTGTTTTATAATTATTCATTGTTTGATGTAACCTATCTGTCATATTGTATTTTATGCATGTAGGCTAGGTGCATGTAACACGTTAGATCTGTCTCTGTTAGCACAGCATCCACTACTGAATGACAAGCTGTGTAGTGTCCATAGCTGCAGAGTGGAAACATGATCATTAGCATTACTATGTTGGAGACTAATTCACTATATTTTAATTTTAGTGAAAATAATCAAATTAATGTAATTCAGGAACATTAAACCATGGCAGAACAGCCAGAACCAAATGAGAATACTTTATTTTTGTGCTGTTTCACATTAATATGTAGTTTCAATTGAAAGTGGTAGATTTCTTTTTCTGTATTATTCCTGTATAGACACATTATCACAGAGACACTCTGAATACAGTTCATGTCTTGTTTATTTATTACTTTCCAAGCAAAAGTTATCATTTATTCATTTGTATTCATCAGAAAAGTAACAACAAGCAACAATAATGACCAGGCTTACTAACTGAAACTCAAAATGATCCCAGTATTAAGTTGAAAACTTTGGTAAGGCAAATAAATGTAATCAAACATTAGCAGGATAAACATTGGTGTCCTTCTCTTGGAGAACGGTTTGATGTTTTCTGGGCATGGAATACGTAAGTCTGCACAACTGATGCTCAGCCAAGCTTGAATCTTCTCTTCTGGTTTTAAACACTTTTATGTTTTTTTTCTCTCTTGATTTTGGAATCTTTAGTGTGTCTGTGTCTCACAGGCACTTTATCAGCCAGAGACATTTTTTGACAGACTAATTCAACTCAGCTTCTCAGTATTTAAGTATCCTAAAGCAATATCTTCCAGAATGTTGATGAGATTTTGAGTCAGCTATGTTGGGTAGTGGCTTTGTAGCTTTAGATATCTCTAGTTTAAATAGGACAGTATTTATGATTGATTGATAATTCATTATATAGCTGAAATGATGTACTGTTGAACATGATGAACAATGATGCATTAAAAAATTATATTATTCTAAAAATACAAACGATGATGGTGGTGCCCAAAGACTACTTTTGAGCTCTGTATAGTTCTGATACTGTATACTGCATTTCTGCTATTTTTCTTTTTTTTCTCTAGCTAGCTTTTTTTTGTAAAAATCTAATGTTTCATATATTATCCTGTGGTGTTAATGCGCTTAAGGCATATGTAATTATTTTCTCTCTGTAACGTATGTAAGTTTTCATTTATAGTCTTAGTCATTTCATTTAGATTATTGCAAAACTCCTGACTTGAAGAGTCAAATGTTGTTTGGGTGGATCAGAGAAAGTCAGTTTTTTTTTATTCAGATAATTGAATAATGTATTTAATATAGCTCTAAAAGATCACTTGGGATTACACTTTTGAAAAAAATTCATTAAATTACTGGATATGTTAATCTTTTTTCCCTTCATGATGCCACTGTTTTTGAATGATTCACACAGATGGTGTGGCTGCTGTTATCTTTGGGACTGCTTGCACCAGAACTGGCCCAAGGCTGGCTGTTCAGCAGGAAACGGCTGGACCCTGAAGTTAACATGAATATTGTAAGTAATATGAATGTTAACCACTGAAAATCTTAGGCTCATTACATACTAAGGCTTAATATTCAGTAATTACAAGGACTTCAGTTCAAACTGGCTGAGGTATTTTTAGGTTATAGAAGTGTGTAATAAAACTTTGGACCTGTTGGTGGGCCATTTTCATGTGATGATACACAACTAGTTGCATTCAGCTGAATATGCTGAGTAACTATGGCTTACTCATTTAAACATAAGATATTGTCACTTTTTGGTGTCATCAGAACATATTTTCTTAAGAGATAGCATTTGATTTGGTGAGCTAATATTTCAAAATTAAGTTGCAACCCTAATTTAAAGATCTATAGACTGTCTTTGACTTTTCTCCTGTTTTAATTGCTGTGTCTGTGTGTAACAGAGTGGGATCATCAGGCACTGGGGTTATCCAGCTGAAGAGTTTGAGGTGGTCACTGAGGATGGCTACATCCTGAGCATCAACAGAATCCCACATGGAGTCATCAGCAAAGCTTTGCAAGGTAAGATTGGATAAAAGCTATAGTTGATAAGCCTGGAGTACACTGTTCCACCATTCTCAATCAAAAACCAATGTTCTAATGTCAGCAGGTTTATATGGTTCCAAAATAATGACTGACAATCCAAAACAACTGGCAGTCCACACATGAACCAGTGTGATTTGGGGAGGACATTCTAGAACAGCATGAATGAGCATGAACAGTCTGTAACTATTTCAGGGGTGAGAAGCTTTCGTAGCAGTGTGAATGGGGAAGAACATTCTAGAACATTGTGAATGGGGATGGACATTCTACATTCTTAAAAAGAGGGTGCTTCAAAGGTTCTTTAATAAAGAAAATGATTGTATATAGGATCATGAATACTCAAATGATGCATGATCAAAGGGTTCTTTGCATTATGACAGCATTTCTCAGACTGTTGGAAAATGTGCTGTAGATGGTTCTATATAGAGCCTTTTTGAAAATGGTTCCACATAGCAACAAAAAGGTTCTTCTATTGTTACAATGTCAGGCTTGTAACAATAGAAGAACCCTTTTGGGTGCTATATAGAACCCTTTTCAAAAAGGTTCTATATGGAACCATCTATAGTACATTCATGCAAATTTTCCATCAATCTGAAGAACGCTTTCATAATGGTAACAACCCTTTAACCATGCAAAGGGTTCTTTGAGTATTCATGGTCCTATATAGAAGCTCTGATGCAGTCAATGAACAGCAGAAATTTTGTTCTCACACTCATACATTGCAACTGTTGCAAGACAATGAAGCATAATAGTTTCCTCCATTCTTCGTCACCTCTATGCTGAAACAGTAGCAAAAATGAGAAGTGTGTTCTTGCATTAGTCACCCTCCCATGTGCAGGGGAGATTCTCTTTCACGCCTTCATTTCTCTGTCTCTTTACGGGTACGCCCTTTTGCGTAACCTCAGAAGCCCCTATTTCAAAATAATCAGCTGTCCCTCAACATGACTACACTGGGTGATTAGCTTAACTGTCCACAGCTGAGCTAACAACCCATTTAATGAGTGCTAACGTACTTGGTTTGTGCGTTGGAGTTAACAGGACTCCTTCACTGTAGAAAGAGTTTTGTCAAAGCTAGCAGAGTTGGTCTGCCTTCAAACAGTAAACCTGCTTGGCTATGTTATCCCCAAACTGTAGCTGTCAAGTTAGAAAGTTAGCTAGCTGACATTCAGTGTTCAAAGGTTCTTGGTGGCTAGTAACCAAACCAGATACTGGATGAAAGTTTTGTAAAAAAACAAAAACAAACAAAAAAAAATCCAAAAACTTGTGATGACAAAAGTGGTTTCCTTTGATACCAAGGCAAAGGAGAAGCTTCCTGCGCTAGTGTGGTCATGTGACAATAAGACAATAAGATTTTGGGCACAGACACCAGACATGCTGCATACTCTCTGGATTTCTGTGAGCGCTGTGCACACCTCTCTCTCAAGAGTCCCCACCAAGATAATCTCCTCTAGTGGGGGAGCAGATGATATCCAAGCCAGATTCTAGCATTTGGGATGAGATGTGCATTATGACTAATCTCTGCCCTCTGCAACTCCCTAGATGTACTGTTAAAGTGACTGGCAGTGGGCATCATGGTGGTGCAGGAGAGAGCACACTAGCTCAACCATTCCAGCCTCTCTCACAAGGAGCAAACTAGTTCCTGGTTATTTCTGTAGGTTCCAAGGGCTTACTCAGTTTCTCTGTCACTGCTATGCCATTGTTGTCAACTTGGGTGACCAGACATCCTCATTTACTGGGGATAGGCCACCAAAAACAAATTGGAGCTGTCCCTGAAAATGTCCCCGTTTTTTACTGTGAATTAAAAACACACCAGAAAGTCCTAACTAAGACCTGGCATTAAGAAAAGTACCTCCTGTGCAAAGCCTGTGTGTTTCTACTGAAGGTGTTTTCTGGTATCAAAAAGAGATTTTCACTTGTTCTGATCACTTATTCTGATAGCAAGGTGTGCAGCCTCCTACTGGCTTGTGTGCACATTACACTCGAGCAATGGTGACATCATGGGCCCTGATTCAAGGCTTCTCTTTTCATGAGATTTCTGTAGCAGCTAGTTGAGCCTCATCTCACAGCATTGGCTGTGTGGAGGCCAATTTTTGAAGTGAGCTTGTCTGGCAATGCAGAAGTCAGAGATGGGACTAAAAAGGGTGCATTTCAACTGTCATCATGCTTCCCTACAAATCGGATTAAGTAGAGAATTCAGTTTTAATCCATGGCAAACCATAGGGAGAGAAACAGCTCAGTTTGAAGAGAATGGTTTGTCACCACTCAGAAAGTTGACAAGAAACTTGTCTAACATCCAATAATCAATGTGTAGGGAATATAAAGTGCACTGCTTAGAGACCTTGTGTTATAGAATGCATTTATAATTCTCATTCCCATCAGTGTTAATTCACCTCATAAAGTAAACATGACAAATAAGATAAACGTCAGGCAGATGTGCATTTTAAGTTTCTTGATGATTATGTATCTTTCATTACATTATATGTAATGAAATTTTCTCAGAATTAATGAATGTGTTAACCCAGACCACCTTGCTACAAGATTAGTTTTTGCTTCACAGACAATTTGCATGTTGATGGAATGCTTTCTATTCACATAAGCAAATTCATTCTCTGATGGCCTCTTTATTGCAATGTCAGTGCAGTTCATCGCTTTTGGAAAACAAGTCATCGTTACAAATTGTGCATTGATGTCTCTTCACTGAAACAAATTCCCACAGACACACTGCAAAATGTTGCAGAAAGCTTTAATAGAGGAATGGAGGTTGTTATATTCACAAAGAGGGTGGGAACTCTAAATTAATCCAATGGTTTTGGAATTGGATGTCCAAGAAGCTCACATGGGTGTGATGTGTAGTTAGCTTAGGTTCAGCCTTTATAATAGGAGCCCGCTAGCCAGCTAATGTGTCCACCTCTGCACCTCTTTTGGTCAACTGCATCAATCCACTAGTCTGGGGCCTGTTGCTCGCATGTGAATGGCTGTAATATTTACTCCAGCAGTGTCTATATATAAGCACAAGTGTACCGGACTCATGTATGAGACAAATATCTTGAAATATTTGGAAGTGAAACATTTAGCATCGTTTTTGCCAAGCCAGTGACAGAGAGAGGTGCTTATGTATACATACAAATATCTTGCATTTACTTCAGTTGTTAAATATAGTTTTTATGATTAAATATGGTTCTTATTATTAATTTTACATTATACGATAGCAAATGGCAATTATATACAGAGAATAAACAAAAAGTTTTTTGTTAAATATCTAAAATGGCCTCAGCCTTATACAAATTCAATAGGCCTCTTTAAGGCTTTTTTGGTGCTCCCAAAGGACCAGCTCACATAGTCAGATCAGTGATAAAGCTCCCCAAAAAGAAAACTAAGTTGGTGCACACACACACACATATGCTGGCTACAAACAAAATTTCGTCCTTGAACAACATACTGGAAGTAAGATCATGATTGGTGTTGGGGTCATTATTTCATGTCTTTTAAGAAGATAAGGTAATGGATTAACATTTGCATTGTGGATCAGTTGATAATCTTTTTTGTGACCCGTGTTTATGGCAGATCCTAAGCCTGTGGTGTTCCTCCAGCATGGTCTCCTGGCTGCAGGGAGTAACTGGGTTTCCAATCTCCCCAGCAACAGCCTTGGCTTCCTCCTGGCTGACGCAGGGTTTGACGTGTGGCTGGGTAACAGCCGAGGGAACACTTGGTCAAGAAAACATGTCAGCCTCAGCCCTAAACAAAACCAATACTGGAAGTTTAGGTTAGAATCACTTTTTCTGTCTTTTGGAGTTTATTTTTAATATGATTTGATTACTAAAGCACTATGGGATTAGTTTTACACAGGGATGTGGGGTAATGTAATTATTACCTGAGTTTTTCAGTGATGTTAGTTTAGTCCAAATACCTCATGTCAGTCATTTTCATGGACTGCTCCCACGTCAGTAAGGATTACATGGATTTTATCGTTTATAAAACGAACTGTAGAAACAACAGTAGGTTATAAATTCCTGCGCAAATTGCCATGTCTGTAAATATTCAATCACATCCCGTGTAAAATAAGTTTTCTTAGATATGGACACAATTAAAGAAGCTTTTACTTGTATTCTCTTATTGACCATAATCAAATAGCTGATTGTTAGCTCTAATTCCTAGATTAATTACAAAGCTAAAGACACATTGCACTCACTTAAGACAGCTATGCATATGCTTGTGTTAAAAAAGTTTCAATGAAATTCAAAGTTTGTACAAACTCAACTCTAAAAATGGCAATAAAAATAGAAAGCAGTGAATCTGTTTGACATGTATTAAATTGAAAACAGTACAAAACTCTATATAATAAGCTTTTTTTGTAAATATCTGCCCATTCCAAATTTGATGCCTGCAACATATTCTAAAACTTTGGGCCAGGAGCGTATTTACCACTGTGCTGCGTCACCTTTTATGATTCTTCAGTTATACAACTCTTCAGCTGCACAACATTGTGGTGTTTTGCATGTCAAAATGCGTCACGTTTTCAAAAGGAGACGGGACGGTGAAATACCTAAAATCCTTGCAATTGGAAATATTCAGGAAAGCATTTTCTGGATATTTCCATTTGTACCCAAGCATGATTGCATCACCTATTTAAGATGTTTTTGAACATTTCACAACATTCCTAGTATTAAATTGCTCCTGTTCCAACTTTATGGAAAGTGTTGCAAACACTCTATGTATGCATATTTACAAAAAAAAAAAGAAAAAACATGAAGCATGAAGTAGATAAAACATTTCATATCTTGTCTTTGTACTGCTTTCATTTAAATGCAGATCAAAGTGCATTTACAGATCACTGATTTCTGTTTTTATTTGTATTTTACTTACTGTCACAACTTTTTTGGAATTGGGGTTGCACATACTTTCAACTTTTGAGCAGCTGAACATATTGTTACCTGTGGTACAGATCATTTCCCCACCTCCCCATGTAAAGATAATCCCTCCCGAATTGTACTAAAGTAATACAAACTCATTGAGAACTTCATAATAGCTCTTGCAGCATTATGAATTTGTTTCAGTTTTGTTTAATGCTATATATATATTGTTTATTTGTATGATTGTGTACTTAGCTGAACAATGTTTAACATGAACCCTGTTCTCAGAAAGGCTCCCTGTTTTGTGTCTTTTTGGCAGCCGTGATGAAATGGCTAAGAAGGACCTTCCAGCAGTGATAAACTTCATCACAAAAACCACAAAGCAGGATAAGATCTTCTATGTTGGCCATTCTCAGGGAACCACTATAGGTAAAGTACTGAGATCTCACCTATGACACTTTTAATTCATAATAAGTTTAGTTCACTGTTATGTAACAGCTATGGGGTATCATTTAACATTGGTTGTATTTAAATGGTTGATGGGTTAATGTCTGTCTACAAGCACTGAGAATATACTGTATAACTAACGCATGACTTGATTTATTTTTTATTTTTATTTTTTTTGGCAGCTTTCATGGCATTTTCCACAATGCCAGAGCTGGCTAACAAAATCAAGATGTTTTTTGCTCTGGCCCCTGTAGCCACAGTAGCCTTCACAAGCAGTCCAATCACCAAACTGAGCGTCCTTCCAGAACCGTTGATTTGGGTGAGAATGAGCAGTTTGATAAACACATCACATCACATACACATTCAGTGCCAATGCACTTGCATTCATCTGTTTCTCATGTGGCTCAAATTGTAAGCATTTTTTTTGTTCAATTCTCTCTTCAGGGTCTCTTTGGAAGGAAAAGCTTTTTTCCTCAAAATAAACTCCTCAAATTTTTTGCAACAAAATTCTGCAGCAAGAAACTGGTTAATGTGTTGTGTCGAAACATAATGTTCCGCTTGTTTAACTTTGACAAGAAGAACCTAAACATGGTAAGTTGTTGAATTAAAAGTCTTCATCTCGTCCAGGAATAATTTTGAATTCTATATTAGCATTATGTTACATTCTAACTTCTTTAATCAGCATTTTCCTCCTTGCCAAATATCTCATGTCTGTTACTTTCTCATATCAGACGAGAATACCTGTGTACATCACGCACTCTCCAGCTGGAACATCTGTACAGAACATGGTGCACTGGACTCAGGTACACAGCTTACAAACTCGATTCCAAAAAAAGTTGGGACAGTATGTGAAATGCAAATAAAAACAGAAAGCAGTGACTTGTAAATCCACTTTGACCTGTATTTATACAAAAGCAGTACAAAGACAAGATATGTAATATAATGCAAGGATGAACTGAGGTTTGCCACTTTGCCAAAGATGCATCAGCAAAATGTCCAGCAGTTAAAAAAAACAAACAACCAGAGATTGCAAGGATTTTAGGTATTTCACCCAATACAGTGCATAATATCATCAAACGATTCAGAAAATCTGGAGAAATCTCTGTGAAATTTGCCAGGATGAAAACCACAATAAAAGAGCAATGATGCCAAATTGCTTTGCCTGACCTTCAATCCCTCAGATGACACTGCATTAAAAACCAGCACGTTTCTGTGATAGATATCACCACATGGGCTCAGGAATATTTTGACAAATTACTATTAATAAACAGTGTTCGGCGCTGCATGCACAAATGCAAGTTAAGACTGTACTATGCACAGTGCACTGTGTAAATATGTCTGATGAGTGAACCTTTCAGACTGTTTATGGAAATACTGAACGTTGTGTTCTCTTGGCCAAAGAAGAAAAGGACCATCCAGACTATTACCAACGCAAAGTTCAAAAGCCAGGCTCTGTCATGGCATGGGGGTGAATTAGTGGGTAACTTGTACATCTGTGAACACACCTTAAACACTGAACATGCTGCCTTCTAGACAACGTATTTTTCAGGGAAGTCCATGTTTATTTGAACATAACAATGTCAAACCACTTGCTGCATGTTACAACAGCATGGCTGCATAAACAGAGAGTGCACATGCCAAACTGGCCTGGCTGCAGTCCAGAAATGTCTCCCATTGAACATTTTTGTACTTTATTAAGCTCAAAATACAACAATGATGGCCCATACGGCTGCTCAGATATTGACATGGAGTACTCATGGAGAGTTCTTTTAACAGGCTTTGAAAAGTGGGAAACTAATGGCATACAACTATGGAGCAATTGGAAATATGGTTCATTACAAGCAGGTAAGACTACTCTGTAGAATTGTTTAAATATTCATTATGTTTTAGGCATCTTCCAGCACTTCTCTTTTCTCCTGCTAGTTGACTCCTCCTCAGTACAACGTGAAGGACATGAAGGTGCCCACAGCGCTGTGGTCAGGAGGGCAAGACATCCTGGCAAATCCAAGAGACATTGCAATGCTGCTCACACAGATTCCTAACCTTGTGCACCATCATCGCATCGAGCACTGGGGACACCTGGACTTCATCTGGGGTCTGGATGCTCCTTACATGATGTACAACGAACTGATCAAGCTGATGAGAAAGCATGTGTGATCATTTTCACTCTGAGTAATAGTGCTAAAAACTTGCTGCTTTTAAACTGTAAAACAACCACCATCATATAAGTGTGCATTCCATGACGTGGGCACCAGAAAATAATAGCAATAGCAAATTTTACTGTACTTTACTTTGTTTTACCTTTAGCATCTAACATACAAATTGGTTTATGAATGTATCTCAGTCTTTGATAAGCCATCAGTTAAGAAGACAGATGTTCCCTCCGTTCTAGGGTTAGCGCATTCCCCAGCAAAGAGACCCTGTGGAAGAGAATGGCTGAATATTTTCTTCCAAATGCATTTGTTCATATGCATATTAATCTCTAATTTTAGCGTAGGCTGTATTTTTTTCATTCTGTGATTTCTATTTTGCACACCCATCAGTGAACCCAATCAATGTTGCCTTTCTTCTGAGAACTGATAATTTTGAAAGGATCTGTTGAATTACTTTATAATCAGCGGACCTACTAAGCATCTATTGATAAAAATTGATGCTACATTTTTTCACAGATACCATTAAACTTCAATTTGTATAATATTGATGTTGTTTCCAAAAAAATTGGGAAGCTGTGCAAAATGTAAATAGAATCAGATAGCAATGATGTGCAAACATTTAAACACTTAAATGAAAAATTAATTAAAAATAGTGCAAAGATAACAAATGTTGAAATTTTATTGTTTTTTTGAAAGATTTGACAATTTTGGATTTCATTCCAGCAACACATTTTTAAAAAGTTGGGACAGGGCAACAAAAGACTGGAAAAGATGTATACTGCTAAAAAATAGACCCGGTGGAACATTTTACAACTAATTGCGTTAATTGCCGACCGGTCAGTAACATGATTGGGTACAAAAAGAGCATCTCAGATAATCTTTCAGAAGTAAAGATGGTGAGGAGTTCACCACTCTGTGAAAGACTGTGCAAGCAACAATTCAAGAATAATGTTTCTCAACGTAAAATAGCAAATAACTTGGTGATTTCATCAGCTGCAGTACATAATATCATAACTGTATGCAAGGAGCAAGGCCAAAAACAATATTGGATGGCCAACAATTGTCTGTGAACACAGTTGTTGTTGCATCCACAAATGCAAGTTAAAACACTATTATGCAAAGAAAACCTTCTCTTGGCCTGAGCTCATGTAAGATGGACCGAGAAGAAGTGGAAAATTGTCCACAGTTCAAAAGTCAGCATCCGTGATGGTATGGGGGTGCATTAGTGCACATGGCACGGGTGACTTGCACATCTGTAAAGGCACCATTAATGCTAAATGATTTTTGGAGCAACATATGCTGCCATCCAGACAACGTCTGTCATCCAATGAAAAAATTGTGTTGTTAAAAAACACAGTGGTCCCAACGTGTTGCTGGCATCCAATTTCAAAATGAGCATATATTTTTCAAAAAACAATAAAGTGCTGTCTTGGCACTATTTTCAGTTAAATATAATGCTTAAATCATTTGCACATCACTGCATTCTGTTTTTATTTACATTTTGCACAGCGCCCCAACTTTTTTGGAAATGGGGTGGTAACAGATGTTGAAATTACTCATACATGGAAAAAAATGTTAGATTTATTTATAAATGTAATGTCAAGTATGTACTTACGCAAGACATACTAAAGTGATTTAAGTAAATTCAAATAAACAGAACTGATCATTTTGGTGTATAACCCAAAAAATAAAATGTTGAATATTATGTCAAGTGGTTCCATCAAACTGTGTTAAGTAACCTTTAACATGTTCAACTGATTCAAGTAAATCCCACAAGTAAGTTCTAAATAACTGGATTGATTTTTTATTTGCATTACTACAACATTTAACTTATTATGGCTATGTTCTACTAATTAAAATAGAAAGAGAAGAAAAAGTTAATAGGTTTAAGTTACGTGTGCATAATTTTCTTAAGTGCTTGACTGTGCTACTTAGCAGTAGGTTACATCGTAACTTGTACTTACAGCCAAAAACAATTTAGCTAGGTGGTTAGCTGTGGAGCACCACAAAAATCCGACCACTCCCTTAACTTCATTGAAAAAACATAGCTACCTTGGTTTCACTGACTTGCATGCATTTGTTAAGCAATATCAATGAGAAGCCTGGCGACAAGACGGGCGTGTGGAGTCAATACAACTTAAAAAATATGATTTCAAAGTAATATAGTACAATTAAGTTCCCTGACTAAAGGTACTGAGATGTACCCTTGAGGGTACCACCCCAGTGACAAGAGGGGGACTGCCCTAGTGACAGTTTTGTACCTTTATTTCTGAGAGTGCATAAAAAATGAATTCCACCCCTACTACAAAAATTACTTTCAATTAATAAAAATGATAGTATACTCTACTTGTTTACTCATCTTTTTTCTCTCTCAAATAAGTTCACGGTCTCAAGGCATGCCCCTCCACAGAGTCTAACTAGTGAAATTTGTTCTCAAGAAATTGGATGCTTCTGTGAGTGAGTATCATTAAAAGGGGTGTAATAAAGATTTGCCCTAGTGCATTTACCCCTCCTGCCCCCTGAGCACTTATGTCACTTGTAATATCCTGTGTTGATTCGTTATCATGAAAAAAATAAAAAAAAACAAAAGGTACACACTCAACAGTTGGCACTAGCTTGGCACAATTTAAAATTTCCACAGCTCAACCCTATTGTTGGTGTTGTCTTCTGTTGCACTTTCTCTGTGGCCTTCATGTGTTGAGGAAAAAGTCGTTACTAGAAAATTCTTCATAACTAGCTCACTGTTCAGACTCCACAAAACAATGCTTTACATTACAAAGTTTGCATGGCTAGCTAGTTAGTTTGCAATGGCTAACTTAGCCAAGGGTGAGTGCATTCTGATTGAATTATCTACTCCTCCAGGTGCAAGATACCATGGTAGACCACCAAAACTGTCAACCTCAGATAAACAGTACCTAAAGCTTTCATCTTTGAGAGAGAGGAGAAAGTCAAGCTCCACTCTTACTTCAGATCTAAAACAATCCACTGGTGTTTCTGTCCATCCTTCCACTGTGAGAAGACACTATAGGTCTGAAAGGATGTCAAGAAGCTGTTACTAATAAAAAGGAAATAGTTAAAAAGGAAGTAAATTTGCACAAGAACACCAGAACTGTGATCTGAGATGTAGATGTAAGATTTTATGGACTGATGTGTCTAAATTTGAGATCTGTGAAGGTAACAGATGTCAGTATGTACACTGCTGAAGCAATTCCTCGAACGATCTGTACAGCCATCAACCAAACACGGTGAAGAATCAGTCAAAGTTTGGAGATGTACACTACATGGCCAAAAGTTTGTAGACAGCTGATCATCACTCCTAAGTGTGCCTGTTGGACATTACATTTCAAATTCATGGGCATTAATATAGAATTGACCCACCATTTGCAACTACATATTCCACCAAAAATTGTTGTTGTTGCATTACATCTTAATTGACCAAATAGTTTCGGATAGTTAGTTGATGTACGGAATTGGTAGGACTTTGGCGACATCTAGCGAATGTGTCGTGTCTGATTTGTAGGCCTTATTTAACATGATAATACTTACAGTACGCCGACTATGCAGTTATTTGTGGAATATAAAACATCAGAAAACAGGGAATAATTTACAACTTTCAAGAACAGCTAGAAAAGATAGCTTTTATTAAACAGTCTGGCCAGCCTTTCCCTGCAGTAATGGCAATCATGTCATTTGTATGTTTCATTAATAATATTTTAAATGGGTTTAAAAAGACGAAGAGATTTTTTAAGAGCTGTGAACTGTGTCGTTCTGGCAGACAGCTGTCTCAGCAGCTGCAGTGTCTTCTTTGAATCCGCTGGTGTTTTCTCTCCGCCCCTTCATTCATCGGTCACTGTCAAATCTGCGAAACTGTTTTTATCACACCCGTTTTCAGACTAAACCCCTCAGTTGCGATTTGATTGGCTGTTTGGATCTCACCTCCAGCGCCACGATTGGCTAGAACGATCTTGTCTCTGTTAGAACTACCTGCTAGAGGGGTTTTGCCTCCTGCCCTATGATTGGCTACAGCCCCTTAGTCCTTCTAATACTTTTATCAGTGTCCTAATAGCTTAGGCTTTTTAATGCCACTATTAAGGTTCGTACTCCATTCACTTTGCATTCCACTGTGTGGATGACAGGGAGTGACAGCAATAACCAAATGTACTGAATTTTGAAATAGGTTTATAGGTTTAAGCTAACTTAACAGACACTGTTAACTCATTTAATCACAGGTTTTCTCACATGTATTTTACTCCTTGGACAGCCACCTGACACAAACCACACGCCTGTTCACATTTCAGCAAATAACTGAATTGATAAACAGTGAATCATGAAGAAAATGAGGCAGAACACTGATATAAAACGACACTATGTGTACCTAAGATGACAGTTATGGCGTTATTCTAACATATTTTACCAAAGTCCTTGTGGGAAACTCTGTTTATTCGGCGACCATCTTTGTAACGCTGCCTGGTTGTTATTTCCAACCATTCAAGACCAGAGTCCTGTCTCTTTGAAAGGAAAGAGACCTAATCACCAGAAACTGATGGTCAAATTACTGTTTAAAAAAACATATTTGAAGTCACTGACAAAACCGAAAAAAAAATCTCATAAATAATTCAATAACACAAAAAGAGCGCGATTTTTTGGGTTGTTCTGGCTTTCCGCATTTGCGCAGATCTCCACCAGGAGCATGTGGAGGGCAGGACTTTCCCCGCAGACAGACGCCATGTTGAGCTTTATGAGCTTTCCTATTCATATTTCCTTTGGCAGATACTTGAAGTAAATGGCTCTGGTCATGTGGCTATTTACGGCACGCACATACAACTGTTTATAAGAAATCAAGGCAACTTAATTTAATTCATAGACTATCGTCCAGTAGGAAACACATTTATTTTATGCTATTTTATATAACTCACATGTTCACAAGTTAATATGAATTACTTTATAATCAGTGGAATAAAATTTCCACTGATAAACGTCCACTGACGAGTCAAATTTATCATAGACAAAGTGGGAAATGTATGAAATACCAAAGTAGTTATATCTACACAAGGTAATTGAGCAGACACAGTAAAATTCGATTATAAACCATAATATTGACGGTATCTGTCTGAGAGGTAGAGAGAATCTAGTACCTGGCGGTCTGCTCAGTGCACAGCAGTGAGTCTGGGTTGTTGGTGTTGGCCAATAGTAGCGCAGGAGGGCGGGGCTTGTCGGAATACGGGTGGGAAATAAGAGAACCCCGCGCCGCTGCCACAGCGCTTACACGAGTCGAGGTTTGGACAAACCATCTCACATTGTAGGTTATGGTGTCAGAGAGAGAGCAGCTTTCAGCCATTTTAGCCGCTGTAAACTGCGCGCATCCCTTTGGCGGACATAAGAGGGCTGTTTAAGAAGTGCAAAGGTAAAACAAAACGCGAATTTTGGATTTATATTCATACACGACAAAAGAGACACCCCAGGCTTTTGTGGTGACAGTTTCCTGTTTTCTATGTGAATTCTAGCATGTGCTAGCCTACATGTGACGACGGCAGCAGAGTGAGAGATGCGGAGTATGGGACACACGGATTACCGGTGAGTGTTTGGACATCATTTTCATTCTCTGCGTTTTCTTGACCCGTTTTACTTTGACGTAATTTTATGGTCTGTGTATTTACCGTCAGTTAAACTGGCGGAATCCTCCTCATTCTTTTGCATAATTGATGCGAAATTTCCAGCGCTGCTTTCTGGCGCCAGTCTTTTTACCCATTAGAGTTTGGGCTGTCATTGTGGGTTTTAAGGCAGAGGCGTAAACGTGTAGACAGACATTTGTCTGGACTAGCACTATTGATTTTCCAGGCTTTTTAGAAAATGCTATGGGTATTGACCTCTCGATACAGTCCGTCAGTTTTCTGCGGGAGTTGAGAGAACAAGTGCATCTGTAGGACGTGTTATGGCAAACTAGTCTGAAATCACTGAAGTCAGTCTCTTTCAGGCTTATATATTGGGCCATGTGTGGAAATCAGTGCAAGGTCTATCAGATGTGAAAGTATGACTCAGGACACAGTGATGCGGATAAAGTTTCCTGTCATTCTAATGTAATTTGCACAGAGTAATGTCCTTGTATTTACAGGTAAATACAAGTTATTTAATGAAGAGAACTTCAGGACCTGTATTACTGTGTTAGATCTTAATACCTTTAAGAGTGCTATAAAGAGCAAAGTTCATATCAGTTTTTAATGCTTGCCTAGGCTGTGGTTTTGTTTACCTACCTCTCAAGGTATGCTGCACAACCACTTATTGCTCCGCTCCTGTGTGTATGACATTGCCTTTACTCTCCTCTGCTTCTTTCCCCAACCACAGCAGAGTGAACTCTGTGCACCCTTGAGCAATTCTGATGCCATTTTGTATTTGGCAGTCATTATATATTGATGCTAATTAATTGGAAGTTAAATAGCAGTTGACAAAAGCTATTTCAGTGTACAAAAGCTTCTCACTTATGCTGCCATATGGCTCATAATTTCTCTAATATGCAGTATGCTGTGTTTGGAATTAAGAGTTATTCAGTGGCTAGTTGATTTATGTCAAAATAGTGATCTGTGGACATACAGTACTGGGCAAAAGACATCGTATTGATATTACTCATCATTTGTTTAATTTCCATTTAAAACTTTACACATTTTTCAAAAGATACTTCTGGGGGTATTAGATATAAGATAATCAACGTTCATAAGTGTGGTGAAAGTCAAAGAAAAAAAAGTGAAAACCAGGAGTTTCCAAAGCAAGTTATAAAATGCTACAGACATACAGAGGAAATCTGACTCCTAAATCCATTCAAGACCTGCTAGACCTCCAAAACTGCCAACATGAAAGTTTTTTTCTTTGAGAGAGAGGAGAAAATTAAGCACCACACTTGCTTAATCTATGAAAAAATCCACAGGTGTTTCTGTCCATTTCACTCTGAGACAACTGAGCGCTATGGGTCTGAAAGGGTGTGTAGCTGTCAAGAAGCCATTGCTGAAAAAAAGAAAATAAACAAAAAAGAACTGACCACCCTAGAGTCCAAATCTCAACATCACTTACTTGGGGGATTACTTGGATTATGAAAGAAAATGCAACCCACTTCTAATATTGAACTTTGTAAGTGTGTAAAAGTATTCATGCAGATTTCTTTGAAAAACAGAGAGCGAGTCTCCTGAAAGGAATGGGAGCTTTAATAAAGGAAAAGGGTGAGCACACTAAATACTGAAAAACTAGATATTATATGTAGTTGTAGAGGCTTCTATGTAATGTTCTGTTTTTTATGCTTAAAAAAGAAAAAAACTGGAACTTAATGGCTGTTTTGACTGAAAAGTTCAACGAAGTGCAGTCTCAGATTTTGCACAGTACTGTATGGATATGTTTTATGTACATATAATAGAACAAACAAAACAGCAAGCCTCATTCACCAACCATTCTTAAGAAGAAGTTTTCTCTTAAAAAACGCTCACGCAGGTTTCACAAAGATTCTGATATTCACCAGTGTTTTCTTATTTAGGATTTATTCATAGGTAATAACAGAATCTACACACACTCAAGAGCAAACAGTTGTGTGGTTGAAGAACAGATCAGGAATCTGACATTGACTTTTTCTTAGGACCTTTCTCAAGAATGAGTTTCAGATTTAACTTATTGTTGAATTAGGTCCATTGTTTGCTGACGTTGAAAAACACTGTAGATCTCTTTAAAGATTTTGAAGGTTACGGTCTGTCAAAACCTTTACTGCATATAAGTGACGTTATACGACTGTGTGTAAATTGCAGCTTGCAAATAGAACGGCACAGTTTACGTTCTCCACATGCGCGCCTGACTGGTAATGAAAAGGCCTACAAATCAGATATGCACAGCACTGAATGTAATTTCACAGCAGAGATTGCTCAGTGTTAAATTACACCTATACTTCTCCTTCACACTAGGTCCTTATTTTTACTGTGCATCCACTTCATGTTGCCATGGCAGCATCAACCTGAATATCATGATGTTGGGTGGCAGAACTGTTCAGTGGCCTCTGTGGTAAATGCGAAAGTGCGGCTCAGCGGCAAAAGCCGCCTCATAAAGGGAAAGTGTCTAATGTCTGCCTGAGCTTTGTGCTTTGTGCAAAAGCCCACCAAGGTTTTTCTTTTTTTTTCTTTTTCACAGCTAAGATATTCATGACTCACCATATTTTGCTGCATGGTTACAAGCTGTCATAGCAACTGTAGCACAGTTTTTCTGGACTGAATAGCGGCGCGTTTAGCTAGTTGGGCCAAATGTAGCAGGTTTTAATTAATAATATAATTAATAATCTCCCTGAGGAGGACATACATGCACCACACGTTGTAGCCTTATAAGTGAATTAAGGCAAGATGATGGAGACTAAAGTAAAAGACAGAGAAGACAGTGCCACTGCTTTAGCAGGCTACTTTCTGTGTTACTTTGACTAATTGGAGGCAGAGTTAGGCAGGCAGAGAGAAAGGGCCACGTTAGCACAGCTATTATGGCCATATCGACCCGGCGGCCTTGGAGCAGCAGTGATGCGTGATGTCATTATGTCAAAGCATTTTTTTTTCTTTTCATTTTCTTTCTCAGCGTGGAATCATCTCAGGAGATGACAGATGGAGACATCAGGAGGATTGGAGCCTGCCAGCCTGCATCCTAAATACGCCATGGACCAGGAGTTCAGCTTTAGCACCTTGGTGAGTAGTGGTGGGGGTGGGTTTGGTGGGTCAGTTTTCTTTTTGCGAGCGGGGGGGCTAAGGCCTGAAACAGCGTTCTCTGACTCACTCCCATTAGCATGCTCAGTACAGCTGCTCTGTCATTCACATCCTTCCATCCTGAAGTGGCGGGAGAGAGCGGATGTAAGCCCCCCTTCATGCTTTGCTTCCCCTCTTCATGAATAGATGATAATTAAAGATAAAGACAAAGAGGGTGTTATCGTCCTTTTTTGCCTCAATAAATAGAAGACCCCCCATCCTCACTGAAGAACAATAGTGGAGCTTGTTGAATTAGCTTCGATTAAGTTCTCCATTGCTGTTCATTGTTTCATGCAAAAAGTGAAGCCGGTTGTCAGGTCCACTGAGCGTCGCCCGCTGACTAGCTCTTTCTCCAGCTCCTCACAGCCCCGCTGAATGCTGATAGGATGCCCTCTTTCCTCTCTGACCCGTCAAAAGGGGCTCTGTTTGGCCATTAGTATGGGTGCCCAGGGCTAGTGCAGTGGTTTCCGGTCACTTCCGCCTCTCTCGGTCCTAAAGGAACACTGAGACATGAACACAGCTAGTGTGTGTGTCTGTATACACGACTGTTCACAGTCACTGTTGGAAAATCACTGTTGGGGTCACTGTTAGGCCTTTCACAGTTATTACATAATCGCCTTACCTAATCGCAGTTATTTGAGATGATGGCAACTATTTGAGATGATAGCGATCATTTTATTTGTTAGATTTCACAACAATATTAAGGTGAAACAAACAAATGTGAATAGACTGTGGTGTGTTGAGGCAAATAAATAAATAAATAAAAATGTAAATAAATTCAGACTGGATTAGTTTTATAAGGGGAGGCGGGCTGATGCAAATTTTACTTCTGTTTCTCAGTGATATTAGTCCAGCTGTAAAGCGCCATTTCAGTCATTTTTACCAACAGTGCACTCCTGCGTGACTAAACATTCCAGCGCCTTTTACACTCTATAAAATGAGCGGTGGTAATAACCACGGGTTATATAAATCCTCTGTGAATCAAGTAAAAACTATATCATCTACCGTGGAAAAGGAGTTTCTTACGTATGGTGGCACATGAAGAAGTGTCTACTTCTGTTTTCTGTGGCTAAAAAGTTGATATGTTCTGTCATACCTCAAGTGTACAACATAGAATATTAAAATGTAAATGTTACAGAAAAAAGTTCAATTTCATGTGGTGATGACTGTGAATTTCAAAGCTAATGATAATGCTAATGACGCTACATTTACTCAAGACAGTAAGATACGTGGTTTGGGTGAGCAGAATATCAGCTTAATTAAATGGTTTCACATTTTCTACTCTTTTCTGGAATGCAGGCAGTTCGTAATTCGAGTAGGCCCTTCCATCTTTGTCATTTATAAAGAGAATAAATATTTAAAAATATATATAAAAAAAATTACCCCATGCAAATTGATCACGAACATTACTGACATCCTCATTGCTTATTCCATAATCACCACTGGAAGTCAAACAAACTTAAACCACACATACACCTATTTTTATTAATAAGTGAAAGCATGATAATAACGTTCCAATCTGCCTTCAGGATGATTTTTGGAAACAGTGAACATCAGCATGCAAATAATAGTCAGTTTTGTTCCAAAACGCAGTAGATCACTTGCAAGACTTTTCTTTTTTTCATGATTACATTGTTATACTCACTGTCCTAAATTATTATAAATGGAAATACAATATTTTGGAGTGAAACTCTTCATATATTTATCATCTAATAGCTTTTGTTGTTCCCAATACACTTATTATATTGAATAAAACACTACATAACTAATGTGCCTTACTGTGTTTATCTCTCCCTGTGTGTTGTAGAAGAAGCTGGCGGCTGAGCCGGACTACACCGACGTGACTCTGCCGGCGGTGGAGCGCGTGCGAGCGCTCAGTAAGATGGGCTACAACATTGAAATTAATGAGGATATCACCCCCCGCCGCTACTTCCGCTCAGGTGTGGAAATGGAGCGCATGGCAGCCGTCTACCTGGAGGAGGGCAGCCTGGAGAATGCCTTCGTCCTCTACAATAAATTCATCACGTATGTCTACTTACTAACACACAGCTTTCTAAAACCTTTCTCTCTACAGTATCGGCATTAAAACGATTATTATGGAAAAATTGTGCCTCATTTGCCTGAGAAAGCAAACTATAATGCGCCGTACTGTTAATATGATACACAATACTCCAGATTGCAGTACACATCTGACAATTTATCATATATAGGGTGTGGGTTAACTGTGGCTTATCATTATGCAATGTCTCTCCACTGTTCCAAGAACTATGTTTTAGTGTGCAAAATGGTAATACCAACACTGGGCAATAGCTGTAAAGCTGAAATTGGCTTCTTTTTCGGCAGCTGGAATTTGGTCATTCTATGACAGTCATTTATGCTTCAGGATGAACTGGTCCACAGGCCGAGTCAGACAGCTTCTCAGGTGATAAAAGAGGAAGCGTGGCAGTCGGTCTGGTGTCCGTGTTAGGCTAATGCTAATGCCAAAAGACCAGCCATTTCTTCATGTCTGCTGCCTTAAAAACAAAGTGGACTACTTCAGTAGGTGAACGAGGGTCTGCTGTTTTTCTTTTATTTTCATTTGAAATGTGCCTGAAACATTCTTGGCTCAGCCACTCGGCTAAATATGCAAATGTTTTTTTGTGCTTTTTGTGGCAAACCAGTATAACGGTTATGACAAAAAGCATACCTGAGAAAGAATTTCATGTGGTATTCACCACTACTATTAACAGATTTAGAGATTTGTTCCAAAACGCATTACACCTTTTATTTTTTTTCCATGAGATATGTTGTTGGGGGTGGGCTTTACACATACAGGAAATATCAATGCTGTATTATGACTGATAACACATTTATTAGTGAAAGAATTTTGCCTGTTATACTAGTTGAGCCATCTTCTTCTACAATATGGCGTTTAGGTTTTACAGTGTATTAAAAATCTGCCTGACCAATCAGAGCAACATGCTGACTATAAAAAATGCAGAGGTTAAAGAAATTCTGTAGTGAACCAAAGCTGAAAGGCCGGAGAAATACTTGCTCAAGGACTCCTATTGGCAAAGGTCTCACCCTCTATGCCATACCAACCTATGAATTCTACCCTGTGTGTGCGCGTTTTGGTCGTGCTGCTTAATAGAAAAGCAAAGGGAGAGAAACTGAAAAGGCATATTAGTTAGACTTACTCAATTAATTAGACTAGTTGACTGATTGATTAATTGCATAATAGTTTATATAGATTATTGAATTAGTCATTAGCTGCCGCAGTAATACACACACAGCTCTGTGAGCTCAGACTTCAGTTCTTATGCTCCGGCAGATGATGGAGGAAATGGGAAAAGTTCTGAACTCCCCCCAGCTCATACATTATGCATCATGTGGTGCAGCTAAAGTGAAATGAGCATGATGCAAATCAGCAGTGACAGCTGCGGAAAGAGCAGAGAGATGGACTGAATCGCTTGTGACGAAGACAGAGCTTTGAGTGATGGCAGGGCTGACGAGGGCAAAGTGAGAGGAAACTGCAGAAGGCATAATGGTTTTTTGTTTAGTCGATTGACCGAACAATAATCGATAGATTAATCAATAACAATTAAAGGAGAATTACACTAATTTTTCAATAATTTTACATAATTTAATATGATGTGAAACACTGTACAGATTCTGTTAACTGTACAGAAACATACTGAGTCAGTTTTTTTCCAGTGGTGGTAATAGTAACCAGGGGTCCTCTGGTTTTTATATATATTGTTAATAATGGTAATATAGTGGCAAAGCCAAAAGAAATAACTCTTCTGGGGTGACTATTTTTGCTTACCAAGCCTTGCATTCACCTCTCCTTCATTAATGTATAAAAAAAGTCATTTTAGACCAAAACCTTCTCGCAAAAATTTGTGAAACAGACACGAGGCAATATACCCAAACATTTTTTGTAATAGCTTTCTCCAAGGTAGACTTAACAGACATGAAATGCTTTGGACATGATCTGGTTCCTATCACCACCACTGAAAAATTCTGGCTTAGTAAGTTTCCCTAGAACTGAACATTTATATCATACTCCTCTGAATGATATTATTTACATCCTGTTTATTGAATTATGCATACATTTTGAAAAATTGAAAATTGCCTTTAACTGAGAAGTAACGTCGTATGCTCAAACACACCTGATTCAGCTGTTATTTACCAGGTTTAGACAGTGTGTTTGAGTGGAGTAATCACCACACTGAGCTATACACTTTCATACCAGCGCAAGAGATTACATTATATTATACACTATATAATTGAAACGTAGTTTGTAGATGTGAGCAGATGCATATTGAATTTCAAAGAGATCCTTTTCATGAGCATAGAGCCTCTTTGATTCTTTTAGTGGTTTTTCATGCACACACATTGTGTTCCCTGCTGGAACTAACAGCTGGCTGTTGTCTTTGTGCAGTTTGTTTGTGGAGAAACTCCCCAGTCATCGGGATTACCAGCAGTGCAGCGTCCCAGAGAAGCAAGTGATAATGAAGGTAAGCCCCTGGCAGCAGTGGTGAGTGATGGAACCCTGCAGTAAATCTCATTAGCATCATGCTTCATTAGCCAAGATGAAGACACTGGCACACTCACTTGCATGAAAGCAGGAGAAGAGATGCCTTTAGTGTATTTGGGCTATCCTGTGTGCATTCCAGTCTAGAAAGATAGGCTCATTGTGTGCCGTAAGTGTCACTTGAAAAAGCTTGAGTTTAGTAGAATAATCATAATCGAACGTCTGAGTTTCTAAAGCCCCTCCCCATTGGATATGACCTGGACCACTTGTAGAGGTGGGCAATATGATATGGTATCCCTACTATGTCATAATATGCTACAACTTTATGTATTATAAAAAGACAGATTTAGACTAATTATAGGGAGCCTAGAAACAACAACGAGTGTATAGTAGCTGCATAACCTGCACAGTAACAAACATGTCTTCTCATTATGACATTTTATTTTATGATTTTTTGTTTGTTATTTTATTCTGAAATAGTTTGTTATTGCAACTGTTAAATTAAAAAAGTTATTATAATCCTAGTTTTTCATAGCTTTTCAAACATAGTACTTCTGCTTTGCAGCTGTGCTGTTTGTTCCAGTTTGTTCTCAGGAAAAAATCTGCATGAAAGTTTAAGGTATTTAGAGACGTATGACGTGTTCCAAAAAAGTCCCACAAAATCTGACTTTACAGACTTTTCAGACTTTACAGGGTGGTTCACAGAGCGCACAAATACCATATTTTAGTGTGTTTTTTTTCCCGTCTGACTCAGTAATGCTACTTTTTTCTTTTGTTAACAAAAAAGCTTAAATAGTGCTGCTTTAAATATCATGATACGTATCATCTTAAAATATCGTAATGTTATATTTTTTGCTTTATTACCTACTCTTACTCAGTTACTTTTTAATTTATCTCTCAAAACATTTTCTTTCTGTCTTCAGAAATGAGACTCAATAAAGCACCATCCATGCATTTCTTGCTGGTATTGATTTAGTCCTCCAGTGCACTGTGCCTTTATTACACAACTTTCATTTCTGCCTGTTGCCTGTTTGTAGAAATTGCAAGAAGTGGCTTTTCCTCGCAAAGATCAATTGAAGAAACTCCTCCATGAGAAATACAGCAAGGAGTACAGTGAATATTTGAAGAGGCAGGTGAGTCTGCAGGGTCCTGCAGTACACTCAAACAGATTAAACCGACTTTTTACAGTCAGCTATTTATGGCTCTAAGCCCAGTGTTAGTAAACACCTTTGCATCAATGTTAATTACAAACACAGATTTGTATCCGTGTCTCTTAATGTATTGGGAAAGCTGCAAAGGTGTGATAGCTTTTGCATACAGACTCAGTCTGTCTGTGCATACTTTGATGTGGGCTGTATTTTATGTTTCAGTGTACGTGTGTGTTTGTCTGTGTACGTGTTCAGTACAAAGAGTTACAAGTACAAAGACACAAAGGCTACATGTTTTATAAAAATGTGGGGGCAGATCCATTTCAATTAAGTGTGTTAACTTCATTGTACAGTTTTCACTTAGAAAATCAACAAAAGAAAAAGAAACTTTGAATATTACAAAACCTCCAAATAATCTCTAAAATAGTAAATTCACAAAAGGAGTAACTTTATTAACTTGTAATTTACCAAGTAATGCAAGTTAATCTATCTATCTGTCTGTCTGTCTGTCTGTCTATCTATCACAGATTATCACATTAATGTCTTATTTGCTCAAATTGGCCCCTAAAGATTCTTTTCCATTTAAAAAGTGCCACATATTATGTTATACTATGGTTGTATAAGTGGACCAAAAAAGCTTCGCAGGTCCAGTGAGAGTAACAGTGGCTGCATGTTCCAACCAAAGAGTACATTTATTATAGGTTCCAAGTTCTCCATGATAGTAGTCTCTCGTGTTCGTTCATACAGCTTGTGGATTCTTGTTACAGTGGAGGTTCTCAAGCTTTATAATTTGCTGTTGTTTTTGTTAGTTTGCTGCTCATTATCCTGACATTGAATAAAAACAAACCTGTCTGTGTATATGTGTATCCAGAGCCAGCCTGTGTCTGTCACCATGTGCGGTGAGCAGTTGCAGAGGCTGACTTTGTTGGAGGAGGAGAGGCAGCGCGTGGCGCAGCTGCGGAAGATGCAGCTGGAGTCAGAGCAGTTCCGCTACTTTGAAGATCAGCTGCGCAGACAGGAGCAGGCCAACCGCAAAGAAGAAGCCACCCCCAAAGTGCCTGAACAAACCGACGGCTCCTGCCTGTCCCACACCACCAAAAACCATGTGCGCCTAGACCCCAAACCGCCAACACCTGCCCCCAAACCAGCGGCCACCTTAGCGGCAGTTCAGAGTGAGTGAAGTGTTTGTGTTAGAGCCAAACTGATTTGTGTTAGTGTGTGGCTGTATGTGCTGACTCACTTGAATTACACACATTTTTCCAATCAGAATTTTTATTACACACTCATATACTGTGATAAAGAGTATTTTTTTAAACATCACATCATATTGGCAAGAATTGTTTTGCCTTTCATTCCTTTTTTTGGTAGAGCATGTTTATTATATTTATTATATATATTTTCATGTTGTGCATGTTTTTTGCTTGTTTTTTTACTATTTGTTTTGTTTCTGATTCGGTATTAAAGGAGCATTTATGAAAGCATTCACTTTTTGGAAAACTGCATGAGCGAACAGTCCAACAGTATAAGATTAAGTACAATAAAATAACGTTTGTCAACACACAATTGCTAGAAATTTAGGGATTTCACCATCTACAGTCCATAAAATTATTAAAATATTTAGAGAAATCTATTTGCAAGACCACCAGAAAACCAATATTGAATTCTTGTGGCCTTCAGTCGCTCAGATGGCACTGCATTAAAAACCCACAGGCTTCTGTAATGGGCTCGGGAATACTTCTAAAAACCCTGGTCAGTAAACACAGCAGTTCGTCGCTGCATCTGTAAACGCACTGTACTGTGCAGAAGCTGTAAATCAACAACATCCAGAAACGACAATGACTTCTCTGGGCTAAAGCTCATCTGAGATGGACTAATGCAAAGTGGAAACGTGCTATTGTCTGTTGGGTCCTCCTTTCAATTTGTTTTTGGAAATAATGGATCTCCTGTTCTCTGGGCCAAAGATTGTTACCAACGTAAAGTTCAAAAGCCAGCATCTGACATGGTATGGGGGTGTGTTAGTGCCAATAGCATGGGTAACTTGAACATCTGTGAGGCACCATTAATACAGAAGAGTACATATGCATTTTGAAGCAACATATGCTGCCATCTAAATAACATCTTTCTCAGTGGTGTCCCTGCTTGTTTCCGCAAGACAGTGCCAAACCACATTCTGCATGTGTTACAACAGCGTGGCTTTGTAGTAAGCCAAAGCAGGTGCTGAACCGGCCTGTCTGCAGTCCAGACCTATGTTCCATTAAAAAATGTGTGGCGCATTATAAAGCACAATATACAACAGTGGAGAACTAGGACTCTTATATCAGCCAAGATCAGGAAAAAACTCCAATACTACAACTACAATTGGTGTTTTCAATTCCCAAATGATTACTGAACATTGTTAAAAGGGAAGGTAGATGTAATACAGTAGTAAAAATGCCCCTGGCCCAACTTTTTTGGAATATGATGTAAGCATCAAATGTAGAATGATATATATATGCTTATTCTAAATTTTTTATATGTATGTATAACTGAAAACTTAAATATCTTGTCTTTGTACTGTTTTCAGTTTCAGTTAAGTATTTGCAAATCATTATTTATGTTTTTCTCCCGTGCCTACCCATGACCCTGAAGGATAAGCAGTTTAGAAAATGTGTGTGTGTGTGTACTGTGCCTTCTTCTTTGAAACTGGGTTTGTATATATTTTCTCTCGAATCTTAAAAGAATTTTAAAAAAAATCACAAAGATTCATTGTTTAAGAACAGTTATTGGTCAGGCTGTAAACCTGAAGGAAAGGTGCAAGAATGAAGACTGAAGCATACACTACAGGCATTGGAGGTAAAGATATATATGTTGAATGAGTACATGTATGCTTATCTATCTCCAGATCAGCGGGTGGAAGGCCTAAGGCGGGTTCTGATTCCCCGAGACCTGACATACAGGTTTTTGCTGCTGGCCGACAGCAACACCGCCAGAGGCATTGAGACGTGCGGTGTGCTCTGTGGAAAGCTGGTATGAGTTCCGTCATTTCAGACATCTTTTCTCTAGTTCCTTTAGGCGATGTTCATATTACAGGGTTGAAGTGTCAAAAATCGTATTATGTGATTGCATTCCCTAACCATCGCCAATTGACAATATATTGTGGGTGGCCGTAGTTACTGGTAAGCAAAAGCCCCAAACCCCCCCCAAAAAAGAAAAACACCTGTTCAATGTTTCTGAAATCAAGAGTACTAATAGGGAATCTGCTCCCCCTCCCCTTTGCTGCAGTAACAGCCTCTACTCTTCTGGGAAGGCCTTACACTAAATGTTGAAACATTGCTGTGAGGATTTGATTGCATTCAGATACAAGAGCATTACTGAGGTCAGGTACTGATGTTGGCTATTAGTTTTGGATCACAAATGCCACTCCAACTCATCCCAAAGGTATTGGATGGACCTACATCATTCCAGAGAAGGTAGTTCCACTGCTCCACAGCCCAATGCTGGGAGCCTTTATACCTCTCTAGCTGACACTTGGCATTGGGCATGGTGACCTTGGGACATGGCTAACATGCAGCTTTTCCAGGCGTCCCATTCTGTTGCCAGTGTTTTTTTCTGCAGTTTACAGAAGCTGTGTGTACACAGATGAATACCTGTGTCAGCAATGGGGGCACCTTAAGGTAGCTGAATTGACAAATTAGAAGAGGTATCTGGATACTTTTGTATATAAGGTGTATATGAGCGATTCTCGATACTGTTGAGTCAGCTCAAGCCTGGTGTGAACGCACCTATCTGATCTGATCGAATCTGATCCGCTTCTGCTTTCATCACACTTTACTGCACTGCATATTAGTGCACCGTGATCATCATTCAGTGCTGGCAGTGTGTCAGCAGATTTAACTTGATCAAATGTATGCATGCAGGTCCTTTCAAGACAGAGTATTATTCACACTAAAGACAGACAAGGGTCATTTACAAACATGAATGTGAACTGTCAGTGCAGAACGATTAAATCTGGGCAAAAAAAAAAGGAAATGGAAAATGAAACTTGTAATGTGAACAGAGTCTTGTTATTAACTGTTAATTTCCACATCATTTGCTTTTTTCTATGCACATTTTATGTTAATAGTTGGTTTATTTCTTAAACAGATGAATTCATGTGTCACTGTCTTTAATATGCACACCTAGTACAAGGAAATTGTCAGAATGGCCTGATGCAAATGATTATCTTTCATGGTTTCTGTGTGTTTGATTTCTGGGTAAAGAGCAGGCATGTTTATAAAGGCTTTACAGTGAGGACTGTGGTATTGCTGGAAGTGGGTATAAGTGTACTCTATGGTTACTCATTCCCTAGAGAAAAGCCCTATAAACATTTGTTAACATATATCTCTTGGGCTTTGTTTTTGCATTTTGGTGGTGACTAAAGCAACCACACAATGGACTGGCTGAAAAAAAATTCTGCTTTTGTTCTGACCCCCAGACTCACAACGAGTTTGTGCTCACACATGTGATTGTGCCCAAACAATCAGCTGGCCCGGACTACTGTGACATGGAGAACGTGGAAGAGCTCTTCAGTTATCAGGACCACCATAACCTACTGACCCTAGGCTGGATCCATGTGAGTCTGTCTCTGTCTCTCTCTGTCTTATTCACTGTGATTTAGGGATGGCCAATTTCAACAATAAAAAGAACTAGTTGAAATTAGATTAGTGGGAATGAATTGTTAGGAGCCATGTCAGAGCTGTGGTGTGTTCATATGAAACAAAGTCAGTTTGAGTGGAGATGTTAATCATTACCAAAACTGTACCAAAGTTATCGTTGAGGTCTTGATTTTGCATTATTGGCTGTGACATATCCAGACTTCTGTAATTACCTTATAAATACTGCATCAGCCTCCACATCACAGGAGATAAAAGCAAACAAACACCTAGAATCGTACAGTTATTTGGTCTGTTGAAGTGTCAGCAGTATTCTGTTTTTATACCATCAACTAAACCAGGGATATTTAATTAAAATTCAGTAAGGTCCAGTTAGAGAACATTTCGTCAAGCAAGGTCCAGAACATCACATGTCCAACTTGCATCATGATTCAGTGCCATATACTGTATACTGAAGTCGCCTAGTAGTCTTAGCAACATCTTATGCAGTCAACAACTGAATGTCAAATCAAATAAAGTATAATTCAGTAATATTTTAACAACATTTATTGTCAGTTTTCTCTTTTTAGCGCACGTCATGTGAAATAACTTCCCTCTGACTCACTTTCTTCTCTGACTGCTGTTTCTCACCTCGTCCCCCTGTGTGTGCGTCACTCACTCGAGTCTCAGTGCTCAATGTAATGCACAGATCTGATTGGCTGAGTAGTGTCATGTGTGATATTTACAATGCATGCAATTGGTCTGTGAGTCTTCTGGGCTGCTAAAGTGACCGTAAAGGCTGAAAAAGTTACGCTGATTAAAATAGGACCACACTGTCGAAATTAAGTAAGTCTCTATAGTTTATCGGTTATAGGTCCAGGTCCGCATAGGACAGTGTCTGGGTCTGTACTCGGACCGCGGTCCGCCTATTAGTGACCTCTGAACTAAACCATCAAACATTGCCCTGAACGCAAAAGTGAGTAATAAATGCATTTATTAGTGTTAGCTTGGTGTTAGCTTAAGTTAGCTTAAGTTACATTTTCACCTAACTGTTTACCTGTTACTATATGATGAGAGCGAACTTTAGTATGGGGAGTGGCCGAAAGTTTTTCCTGTTTATTTTCATTATCCGAAGATTTCTACAAAAGCTTACACTGTTTTATTTTTTTTTTCTGTTGTCACTACAACCATGAAGCGTGCAGCACACTGTGGCTATATATTATCTGCCAGGATGTTAACTAATGGTGTACAAAAGGTGGCTCTATGAGCGCTGCTGTCTTCACTGCATCGATTGCTGATATGTCAACAATATGGTGGCGGTGACAAGTGTGACATCAGTCAAATACTATTTGTATCTGTTTTTGCTAATCAGTGTTTAATTTTGTTAAATCAAATGTGCTAGTGATGGAATTAACAAATCCATATGATGGCTGGGGAGTCCAGGAGAAATCTGGAACCAAACTTTGTCCTTCAAACTAGTTCACAACTGCTTCAACTAGTTCTTATTACTTTTTACTGTAGTTGTGTTTATTTGCATATATTCTAATAATATATTTTGTTTTTACAACTAAAAAAACACATAAGATAAATAGATGGTTTTAAATAATGGGCTAAGGTGCCTGAGACTTTTGCACAGTACTATATATTTTGGTAGGCCTCAGGAATGGTCTTTGCAGTTGTACTGTATGTGTTGATATTAAATAACCTATTCTGAAATATATAAATTGGGGTGCTGAGAGCAGAAATCAAATAAAGTCATCCAAGAACAACAGAGAAATACAAAAAGAGGGAGGAAAGCAATAAAAGTGTGAGAGTGCTGCACAGGCTCAGCAGGCAAGCATTACTACTGGGTATTAGTAGCTCCAGTGTTAGGGGTGGTTATTTAAAAATATCATCTATAACAAGTTATTAATTACTTATTTCAAACTGTAATAGGATTATAATAATTATTACTTCCTGGAAAAAAATGTTTTTACTCATTGCTCAAATTCATCATTCTTTACCGAATTATCTTACTATATTGGCAGATAATTTTGCTTGTTTCAAGCATTATGTCTTAAAACAAGCAATATTATCTGCCATTATAAAAAAGTAAAAAATGTCTAAATAGACGTTAAGTTTGTTAGTCGAGATATCATTATGTGCAGTGTAGATTGTTGCATCACTCAGAAGCAAAGAGCCTAAACTAATTTAAAAATCTGCATTCAGGGGCCCTTCTCCTGTCTTTTGCCTAGGACCCCAGAATCAGTAAATCTGCCCCTGGTAGGCCAGTTTTGAAATAGCTGTTCAGGAATTACTGTATGTTTTCCTAACAGCCTTATGAAAATTGTGCTTGCAGTTACATGTTGTATGTATATTATTTTTATTTATTTCTCCACCTGTATTGAAGAAGTTCTTGGGTGTTGTGTCCTCTTGTGGTACTCAACACAGATTATAAATAGCTAATAGCAACTGTGAAATAGTTCCACATGGCCAACAGGTACACTGTTTGTCCACTGCTGCACAAACTGTTTGAACATGTCTGCGCTGACCAGTGCAGGAGAATGAAAAATCAGATATTTTTACAAGCTAATTTTCAGTTTCATTATGATTAAAATGATTTGTAAAGTCCTACAATATGAGACTTCATAGTAGGCCTACTTAATCTTTATTATTTTCAGTCAAAATGTTCGGTGGCTGAAATTATGGTGCGTGTCTAGTAGTAGAATAGTAGTGTATATGTCACTACTTGTGCATTGCGTTTATTCCGACTTATCAAACCTCATACCTATCAAACCAGAAAAATGAAATATTGTGCATTGTACTGTGTGTTATAAAAATGTCTTGAAGTGTTGCCCACCCTAACTGTGAGTGTTCAGCTCTGTTGAACTTAACTGCCTGCCTTTACATGCCTTTTGCATGGGCAGAGAGAAATCTAATGAGAAGATCTGAAAGCTGAGGATTTTTACAGCACAGTGGAGTGTTGGTGAGAGGCAGAGAGTTCATTCAAAATGACCCTATTGAGTTCCTCCTATTATTTGCATGATCAAATGTAATGGGGCTTCAGACTGAGGGTCACCATGGTAACATTCCTCAACGTTTTACAGTGCCAGTTATTCTTAGTCGCTGCCAAGTCACCTGCTGCTCACACGCATCCCTGCTTTATGGAAAAAACAGTTAAGCAAAGATGTTGGTTATTTATGTGTGTGTGTGTGTGTGTGTGTGTGTGTGGTGTTTTCACATGCCTACAGACACACCCCACGCAGACAGCTTTCCTTTCCAGTGTGGATCTGCACACACACAGCTCCTATCAACTTATGTTGCCTGAGGCCATCGCCATTGTCTGCTCGCCCAAGCATAACGAGTGAGTACACACAACTTACACCCTACATGCACACTAGTCATAGTCTGTTCACCCACACTGTCTCACTCACTTATGCTTTAATAAACCAAGCAAACATATTTCAGACAGTGGACTAGACCAGACTTCATTTTCAGATTTAAAACAACATTGATAATTTTATTTTTTGTGGGTCATTAAAGTCAATTTAAAATCTATATTAACCCTTTTTACCTTGTTAGTTCATTCCCTGGTTTTATTAAGCACAATTCATCATATCATATCATTTAAAAGACTAAATTTTTGTTTTCTCATATTCTTTGTTTGAAGTGTAGTAACTTTTCCTAAGTTCTAAAACATCTTCTGAGTTTTATTTACGTAGTATGATGAATGTGTCTGAAACGATATGAAATTAAAGGTCTTAAATTTGAATTTACATGTTGCTAGATTGTAGAATTCACACAGGTGAATAATATGGGTTCACTAGTGTGACGCAGGTGTGTATTAACTAATGTTGCCTGGCGTTGAGCTAACATACATAGACACTTTGTTTTTATGTTTAGTATATTTTTGCTGAACGTTTGGTCTTGAGTTATAATTAAGTGGCAAAACAAAGTCATCATTCCAGACCTGGGCCTTCAGGGAGCCCACAGACATGACAGACACACAAAAAAACAAACCATAAATTAAATAAAAGTACTAAATAAAATAATAAAAGTACTAAAGTATTCTGAACAGAAATCTGTTAGGTGTTAATACTACAGTTAACTAAATGACAGGCTAAGTTTTAGTATTTGCAGGACATATTTGAGGTCCAGTACAGAACATGCTGCTGCATACCATGTAAACCAGGCTATCATATAACACTAACCAGCAAGAAATGGTTAATCACAAACAGCAGTTCTGAAAAAAAGAAAGAGCTCACTTCAAATCCACTTTAGTTTGACTCACTCACTTTTTTTCTTTGACTCAACTAATAATTTCAGCTCAAACTCAAAAGACCAAAAACATGGTGGCCATCAGAACGAGCAGTAAAGAGAGTTTGACAGAAGAGAAAATGACTGTGAAAGAAGCAAAAAATGCGAGGTGGGGAGTGGAGGCGGGGGTCAACGCCAGCTCAGATGAGGGGGATTCGTAATTATTTGTTATTTATAGCTTAAGCAATTTGTTAGTAGTTTGTGGGCTTAGATTCATGTATTAGGCTGGTAGGGCCCACTGCCAAGGATTGCCCTCCCTCATGAAAGAGCACAGCTCCTCCACTGATCAGTAGACATGCATGAGTCATTATAACACATCACCACACTTTTTTCAGCTAAAATGCTATTCCTCTGTAAATAGCACATTGCAGCTGTGTTACAAACATACACGCCTGTGAAAGTTTAGAGATGGACATGTAACAAATTTTCCTCTCAGATATCCACATTTTAAACAGCATGAAAGTTTTATACAAAATATAAATAGCAAAAAAACAAAGGTTTCAACATTGATTTAATGCATGCAGACATTAATATGATGTAACTATGATAGTCCATGTTGGACAACTATAATTGGTTTCTTCAAGCTGGTGCCTAGATCTAGCTTAAGAGGCGGATTTTGATTATTTGACTGATTTAGGTGTATGTGATTTCAGTGCGATGGAGAATTCCATCTATTCTTTTAAACTTCTGCATAATTCAATCATTGAGCTGTAAACAAAGTCATTCAGAGTGGTCTGATACGAATTGCTTAATTGTACAGAAATGTACAGACTCTGATTTCTTTACAGTGGTGCTGATGGGAAAAAGGGGTACAAATATAGCCGTTTTATTTACTGTCCAAAACAACCAGTAAACCTGCACATTTATTCTTTTTTATATGTAATGTTGATAATCTGAAAAATTATGTTTTCTTTGGGTATTGTTTTGCCTTACAACATCCTGCATGTACCTCTCCACCATGAATGTATTTAAAAAATATAAGTTTCTCAAAATAGTTTCAGACATGAGACGTGTATTTGTAACCATTTCATGTCATAACTTTCTGTGAGGGAGCTTTTAGAGGTGTTAAATGCTTTGGATGTCTGGTTCTTTTCACCACTACTGTGAACAGTTCAGAGTTGGTAAGTTTCCCTACAGTGGAGCAGATAACATCAAACCACTCTGAATTATTTTGGTTACATTTTAATATTTTATGTATGCTGACATTTAGAAAAGTCAGTGGAATCCCCCTTTAACGTGAGACGCAGCATAAGCTGTTTTCCCGACATGCTCTGTGGTTCTACATCACACGCTCAGTAAAAAACTGACAAAATGATACAGAATTTATTATTATAATTTTATTATTGCAAGCTACACATACTTTTTTTTCAAAATCTGGTACGCAAGTACACAAATGTTAAGCTGATTTTGGATATTTGTAGCATGAGAGAAATACATTATGTAAAAATATATTCTGAGCAGGCTGTTTGTGTGTGTGTGTGTGTGTGTTCGTGTGTGTGTGTGTGTGTGTGTCTGCAGTACGGGGGTTTTCAGACTCACCTGTGCTGGAATGGGGGAGGTGGCAGGCTGCAGACTGAAGGGCTTTCACCCTCACTCAAAAGACCCCCCACTCTTCACTGTAAGAACTCTCATCCCTTTTTCTTTTCAGATCAAACTGTTTATTATATAGAGTTATAGCGATTGATTGTTATTATATAATCTTCTGATAACATATTATTAATCTTGTGATTATTTTGATGAGTAAGCAGAGTTTTTAAAAGAGCAGTGGGGCTTTCCTAAACAATAAGAAACTGAGCAGCCTTTGAAGAGTTCCAGTAAACTGTATTTGAAATACGTAAAGTTGGAAGCCTTGAAAAAACAGAAAGGTGTTGATGCCAAGGTGATGCCAGGTATTGGTATACAGAATGAAGTTCTTCAATTAGGACTGAACTATTTGGGAAAAATATACAATGTGATTTTGGTGACCAATATAGTGACTGAGATTTAAATTGTGATTATTTCAGTTTTACTGGTATTGCAGCTTGAACACTGAATGTAGTGTGCCAGACTGCCTGATTTTTATGGTTGTGTTGTCATGTACACGGAAGACTACAGTTAAAATCTGCAGCTCTTAAAAATTACGCTCTTTCGTATTGCGACTTCAATATAAAAATGAAAACAGCTCATTTTGAAGCTTACACCTTGAGGCAACAACAAAACCAAAATGCTTCTGTTATAATCAGTGGAGCTGTCTGCACCAGCTGCGAGTAGGAGAGCGCAATGTGATGCGATGCAGCTCCGTTTTTGGTGGACACAGCATCTCTGTTTTTGATGTGCCACGTCACTCTGCTATTCCACTTCAAAACTCATCCATGAAGTGGAGAAAACCATTTGGAGATAAATATGGATTTGTTTGAAGTTAAAGGTGAATACCTTTGTTTTGGATCACTGATTGATAAGGATACACATTACAACTGAGCTGCCTAACACCAGGGCGGTATAATGCTATTTTAACTGTGTTATTTAGACTGCTGGTGTTAAATATGGGGATAAAACAACTCATACGCTCTGTTAAATCAGTGTTCCAAAACCACAGCTGGACAGCTCTGTCAGTAAAGCAGCCATTTTGATTGACTAACTTTGTAGCTCAGTGTATGTCGCAGTGACATAATGCTGATAGTATGAGATAGCTTGCCAAATCAGGCTAGTTAAATAAAATGGGCATTTTCTGTGAGCTGTGGGTAAAGGGAGTTTCATTTTACCATTTCTAAGATTTAAGATTTAATAGATGATAGATTCTAAGATTTAAGCCATGTCACATCATTGTCATATACACTTAGATGTGATATATATATATATATATATATATAGATATATATATATATATATAATATATAAAGGAAAAGTGATATAGTACCATCTGTAATGAAAACTATATTCAACAGAACGTGCATATAAATGATGAAGTCCACCAGGCTCTGTTTCTTACTCTAATGATTTCATGATTTAATATATGCTTTATCATAATGCAAATGACCAACTAAGCATTGTTGATTCAATGTGAAGATATCATTTAATTAAAATCAGATTTTTAATGCAGTAAAATTGAGTAATCATGACAGCCTTAATTTGATTACACTCTTAACCCCTTGCACCTGGCAGTGTGCATATGAAGGAGAAACCTATTTCAGGGAAGTGAAAATCTAACTTGTGCTATTTGCAGGTCTGTAAGCATGTGGTCGTGAGGGATTCCAAAACGACGGTGCTGGACCTCAGGTGACAGAGAAGGGGAATGCACACTTCAGAGGAAGCAGGGGCAGCCCCAGAAGCCCTATTTATATCTTTGTCTCCTTGAAGGCTTTTTGTATTTATTTATTTAACAAGGTACTGTGAAGTGGAATCTCTGTGTTGCACAGGTTGATGTTGGCATCTTCTAGTGAAGCTGTAAACCTGTTAAGTGGCGTTTTCCCTCTTTCTCGAATTTGTTATTGACTTTTTAATGGCTTGCTTTTGCATTTTTTTTTTTTGGCTGTTCAGAAACCTTCTTGGACAGTTTTGTGATCTGACTGCTTGTCAGTTTCAGCATTTACAGTTTGTCCTCAAGGTGGCATCCTTGAGCTGCGTAATGCCATACTCGAAATGTGAACTTTTTTAGGAGTTTTTAAAAGGATGCAAAGGTTATTTTTTGGACAGTTGCCTTATGTAATATATATATAGTAATAATAATAATTACAACAATAAGTCATTAGGGTTTTATTAGGGTTTTATTGCTATGTACCTTGGAGAGAGCTACCTTTTTACCCAATAAGCATTTACAACACAGTGTTCAAGAGCTGATGATTTTTCTGATGAAATGAACACAGCAGAAATTTTATAAAGCCCCACTTTTTAGTGACTAGATTTGAAAATATATTCAGTTTAACATACTTAGCTTATAGCTAAATGCAACATCTTCACGCCTGAATTTCAGGTCAGTCAAGGTGACATTTAGTTGGAAGGAGTGCGTGGATTTATTGAGTCACTGGAGCAGTTAATTGTGCCGCCCTATTTTGGTCTTGAAACTCACGTGTTGTGGAGTGAATGCTGTAAACAACAGAATGGTACGGCTGAGAAGTGTGAACAAAAGGTCAGAGATGTTCCCCCAGTCTTGCCTCACTTGACCCGAACCAAAGCACCCAGAGCAAAACAAGCAAAGAAGCCTAAGACGCCTTATTAGAGGAGCTAACGCTGTCGGCCCACAGGCCAGGCGACACCCATCTCAGGTACCATTTCCACATTCAAACATTGTTTCCATTTCCCTCTAGAGTGGAAATTCCTATTTCTCAGTAGCGGTTCTGCAGACGATGAAAGCTTTCCGAGGGTGTCGAGTTTCCTCTTGCTGTCCAGTGAATGTTGTCCGCATATCATGGATTTTGTGAGCTGTGGCTTTAGAATGTTTTCAAGTGCATCTCTGTCTGTGTGCCAGTAGTTCCACTGAAACGTGAGCACGTGGGAACTATGACGCTGACGCAGTGACTGTATGACATTTTTTTCCACTGCCATTTTGTTAATAAAAGAAAAAACAAGGTTGATGGTGTCACGTTTTTAATGTTCATAATCTGTTAATCTCTTCCTGAATACAGAGTGAACTACCCTGACATGATTGAACATGACAGGCAGTGACGAAGCTGCAACAGGAGGTGATCTGTCATCATATGAAAGATGCAATGCTATGTGCAAGTGCATATCCTGGAACGATTGTGTCATCATGACTTGTTGAAATCAGTTTTCCCATATTAACATTTTTTTTTATTTCATAAACAGTTTCTATGTGTACAGTGTGGCTTTAAGTTCTATATGTAGCCTATTTGCCAGAGGTATTTTTAGATGTTTTACTTAACATTTCAACAATTCTGTGAACAAGAAGTGAATAACATGGTAACTGTAATTATCCATTTACATTCTTTTTATGTAAGGTTAACTGCCATGAGATTTGATATCCACTTTCAAAATAAGAGTAGTTCTTGAAAGTAATTTTATTAAACCTTTATTATTATTTTTTACTTCTTGATGCTATACAGCTTTCTCAGTCATTTTAGTCTTCTGTAGCTCTGTTCATCATTCCAGACACAATTAACTGTTCTTATTTTTATTTACAGCGTCTTGTTGTCCTACGAATGATCTAAAAATCTGCAACCAGTTTTCAATAATGCTTTTATATTACTGAAAACATTCATTCTGGCCTTTTGACAAGTGATTCCAAACCTGTGATTAGAAAAGGGCGTTTTTGAAATAATAAAACATGGAGTCAGTTGTGACATGTTTACGTGGTGGTGTGAGAGTCATGCACTGAACAAAAAAATGAAGTTAAAGACAGTTTCTGAATGCAGAGCTTTATTCGTTCCTGGGCTTATCATATAGATATCCGCACAAACTGCCTCAAAGCCCACAGCAGTGAAGAAAACACATGCGAGGGTTATCTTATTGCATTTTGAACACGGAGGGAGAACATGAACTCTGTTTCTTTCTGAACTGTTACAGAACACTTTGCGTTTATTTTCTTTCTCTCACTCTCGCTCTCGCTCTTTCTTTCTCCCTCCTAACTGGGGCCTCACCAACCCCAGGAATCTTCCCAATCTGTTCATTATTGGCGGCATGTTCAAGCTTTTCTCATCCAATGTAACAAAAATAATCAATGACGAAAAAAAAAAATCAAACATTCACACAGGTGTGGGCAGTGCAAAGACAAAACAAGAGGAGGGAAGGAAACCAGAGGATACATTCACAGTTTACAGGCCAAGAAGCAAGAGCAGATTTTAGAAGGGTTTCGGGGGCGCGGGGAGGTTTGTGGAGTTTGCTAGTTTAGAAGCATTTGCGATGCACGATGGAAGGGCCAGCCTCGTCATACTCCTGCTTGCTGATCCACATCTGCTGGAAGGTGGAGAGGGAGGCCAGGATGGAGCCACCAATCCACACTGAGTATTTCCTCTCTGGTGGGGCAATGATCTGGAACACACAGCACAAGAAACCATGATTAGTGCCCAGTAAAAAGATGAGGATTAACAGTTCCCAAAAGATCAAAGCAAGTATTTCTTAAAGCAGGACTTCCCATTAGGCTGGATAACTGAAGCCAAAAGTGGGATGACCCATAAGGGATTACCCAAACTGCTCCTCCTATTGAACAGTCCTGACTTTTGGCTTTCAAGCACTAAATATATAGGGGATTCTAATCTACTTGCAAATAATGTGTTTGTTTCTCTATGTTTGGAGAGAAGATGTATGTCTTTGTTTGAACTTATGAACTTCCATTCTTTACCCCTGTAACTTAAAAATAACTCAGCCCCTTTGCATTGTTTTCCAAATAATTAATGAATGATAAGATTTGTGATATAATAAGCCTGGTACATCTTACACCAGCAGCAGTCAGTCAACAGACATCACTGACCTGCATATGTTCTCAGTGAGATCTCAGTTTACTCACCTTGATCTTCATGGTGCTGGGGGCCAGGGCAGTTATCTCCTTCTGCATCCTGTCAGCAATACCGGGATACATGGTGGTACCGCCAGACAGGACGTTGTTGGCGTACAGGTCCTTACGGATGTCAATGTCACACTTCATGATGCTGTTGTAAGTGGTTTCATGGATACCAGCAGATTCCATACCTGAGGAGGAAAGAGGCATAATTGAGCAACATTGATTCTAAAGGAGAAGCGTGGTGGGGTGGGTTAACTGAGGCACGAGAGAAAAGAGTCCTCACCAATGAAGGATGGCTGGAAAAGGGTCTCAGGGCAGCGGAACCTCTCGTTGCCAATGGTGATGACCTGACCATCAGGAAGCTCGTAGCTTTTCTCCAGAGAGGAGGAGGAGGCAGCAGTGGCCATCTCATTCTCAAAGTCCAGCGCAACGTAGCACAGCTTCTCCTTGATATCACGGACAATTTCTCTTTCAGCTGTAGAAGGTGGATAAGAACTTCAGTTCAGTATCTCTGTGCTACCATATCAAACAACATTCAGTAAAAAGATTTTGTGTATGTTAGTCCCCTGTGTCTGAGTGTGATCACTGAACTGACTAATTGTGGCCTAAAGTTCCACTGCACAGAGGTGAGGACTACTGATGGTGTGAGCTGCCAGCATAACAGCTGGGGGAACAGTAGAACTGACTACTTAGGGCCCCTAGGTGATAGTGCCCTCAAGGGGTCTGGACACAAAAGATTGCTTTGGAATACTACTATAAATTTCTAAATAATTAGTATCATTGTAAAAATAAATTCAAGACTGAATTTTGCATCCCTAAAACATGCTGGAGGGCTTCCAACACCCCGCTTGTAATAAGGGGGCCCACGATTAGACTGCATTTGCACAAGGCCCAGAAATTTGTGGAACAGATGTTAGCACTCACCAGTGGTAACGAATGAGTAGCCACGTTCAGTCAGGATCTTCATGAGGTAGTCAGTGAGATCACGGCCGGCCAAGTCCAAACGCATGATGGCGTGGGGGAGAGCATAGCCCTCGTAAATGGGCACATTGTGGGTGACACCATCACCAGAGTCAAGGACAATGCCTGGGCAAAGGAGAGGTTTGATTAGGTGTGTCATGATACCAGGAAGCCAACTGTGTTCCATGCTTTGTCAAGTAAACTGACCTGTTGTGCGACCAGAGGCATAGAGGGATAGCACCGCTTGAATAGCTACGTACATGGCTGGAACGTTGAAGGTCTCAAACATGATCTGGAGTAGGAGACAGCATTGTATTACAAAGTGTTTGCACTTGATATTTGTCTAACCCATTCATGTCTAACAACTAGTATGATAAGGAAACATGCCACAGATGTTGTTCTAAAGTGACACTATTTTTCATAGTTGTACATTGGAAAAACTGGCTTTTATTAACTGTTATTTTTCACACATTTATTTACAAATTCAAGTTGAGATTTATATTGTTTTCAGCAGTCCCCATGTCACCAAAAATGATAAAACCTCACTTTTTAGCCATATAGTTTCTTTAGATTTGTGCTCAACGAAGAGCAGAGAACATATGGACCAAAGGAAATTGGAAAATTCATGACACATGAACATTAATGGTTAAAACAACTTCTTGTTTTTCAGTTCCTTTGGTCACATGTGTGGTTTTCACTTCAATGCAATATTGGCTGGCAAATGAAAAAAACAAACTGGACCATTGTAATGACTTAGCTCTGACCTGGGTCATCTTCTCCCTGTTGGCTTTGGGGTTGAGGGGGGCCTCTGTCAGCAGGGTAGGGTGTTCCTCAGGGGCAACACGAAGCTCATTGTAGAAGGAGTGATGCCAGATCTAATGAAAGAAAAAAGCACTGACTCCAATGGATGAATCCGGGCAAAACAGCCTATGATATCTACTTTTACACCAGATAGTTCTGACCAAACAAATGTTTTCTACTGTTGTTATATCTGGTATCACCACAGTTGTATCATCCTCTCTGTTGTGTTCTACTGCGTAAATCACTTACAAACTAGGGGTGTCTGATGAAGATTTTGTGGCTTCTGTATAAAATAAACCTTAGTTAACTTAATTGTTGACACTGGAGAACCATAATGAGTGAGAAATGGAGTAGGCCAAGATCTAAGCGAATGACACCATCTGCTGCAGGCATCTGTTGGCTGATGACAGTATGTGCCTGAAGGATCATGCACGACACATTTATGTATATACATGAGTCATGAGTGATGAGTCAGAACAGCTCTTTCAGGTATGAGTGGGGCCTATCTGAGCTCACCTACTGAACCCTACAGAAAGACTAAAGCAATGCTGACAGTGAGGCCATGAGCCGTATGCTTTCTAGAGCTACATAGCTTGTAGAAACCTAGCATAACTGTAGAGAGCACTTTGTTGCTATTTTAGGGCACTGTTTAAATCTCTCTCTTAGATAGTTCCGGTTTATAATGATGCCAAAATTAGCGAAGGCTGCTTACTTTTTCCATGTCGTCCCAGTTTGTGATGATGCCGTGCTCGATTGGGTATTTAAGGGTCAGGATACCTCTTTTGCTCTGTGCTTCATCACCAACGTAACTGTCTTTTTGTCCCATACCCACCATCACACCCTGCACACGACAGAGAGATGAAGATGATGAATGTGGGTTAAAATGTATACTCACCACTTTAGGAAGAAAACGGAACATTGTTTCCACTGCTTTGTGACCAGTGTGGTGGTTTCCGCAAGTGACTCACTTTCAGTAAATAAGAGATAAGCTATCAGAGAACACACAGTGAAAACAGGAACATATTTTTAGGTCTGCCAACATGAAACATGTTTAGTCCCTTATACGAAGTATGGAATTAGAAATTTGGAGCAGATGGGTAATTATCTTTCCTCTGTTACATACACTTCAAGTTGTTTAGGCTTAATTGCATTCTCTTCTGTTGATGGAGCATCTGGAATGCTTTGCTTTGTTTCTCACACCACTTACTTGAGCTTAAGTATTTTATTTTAATGATCCAAATTTGTCAGAAAAGAGAAGAATATCAACTAACAAACTAACAAACTTCAGTTCCTATGCTGATATATGCTGGATGTTCTTAGAAGTTCCACCACAGTCCTCTAAGATATTCAGTTCTTTTTATCCTGGTACTTTTGTACTGTTGCTTTTTGCTGGGCTGCTTTTACCTGAGTCATTACTGTACCCACCTCTGATAAAGACTGAAACTCTAAGCAGTTGCAGTGCCATCACCTATATGAGATACTGAGTACACTGCCCCGTGTGGTGGGGTAGGGAAGTTCACCTGGTGTCTGGGACGACCCACGATGGAGGGGAACACGGCTCGGGGGGCGTCATCCCCGGCGAAGCCTGCCTTACACAGTCCTGATCCGTTATCGCATACCAGGGCGGTGCTCTCTTCGTCGTCACACATTTTGTTCGACTCGGATTTCCTTCTTCACTCCAAACAGGAGACAATCACTGACAAACAAACCAACACACAGACCAGTCAACATCACATTTTGTCAGTAAAGCATGTGTTGACCCCTTAAACTCTTAGAGCACCTCTGTCTGTCTGTCTGTCTGTCCACGCCTTACGTTTAACTACCAATGTAGTTAATCCATAATTTATAGTAATTACTGAATAATAATAATAATAATAATAATAATAATAATAATAATAATAATACATTATTTCCAATTTATAGTTAATAGTTCAATATATATAGTTGTATATACGTTCATATAAAATATTTTAAGATCCAGCATTGTGTGTGTGTGTGTGTAAGATAATGACCACACCCTGCTCTGTAGAATCATGAATGGATAGAATATTATAAGGCACTGAAAATCTCTTACAGTGTAGTATCCTGCTCTGTGCTGTAAGATTCTACTAAGGCTAGCTAAATAAATAAATAAATAAATAAATGCACCGCCTATTTTGGTAAGTATTTACCAAACACCAAAAACTTTAGTTTGCAGATAAAAATCCTGTGGCCCACAGTGAGTTTCCAATGTTGTGATTCAATGATATTCCTCCTGCTAATACTAAAATTTGCTCTAAAATTAGCCCAAATGTGCGAAAGTCTCTGCAGAGCTCTTCCACTGCCATGCTGAACGTACACTGCTCTACCTGATGAATGAATTCTGTACCCTGGGAAAACTTCCTAATTTGGAAATGATGGGGAGGCATGCCTGTCTTTGGACTTTGTAAACTCTCCCTGGCCCTGCCTGTCCTCAGTAGTTTATGAAGAGAGAGAGAGAGAGAGAGAGAGAGAGAGGGAGGGACAGAGAGAAGGAGGGGAGCATAGGGAGGTTGGGGAGTCAAGCTGATTCCTCCGACGCTGTTCAGGAGAACCATATTTAGTCATAAAACCCACAAATCAAAAGGGGCTTTAGCTTACAGAGACCCCAGCTCAGCAGTGAGAGAGAAATGTTTACTACACAACCCCTAATCAGAACAGTTCCTACCATTGTAGACAATTTTACAACACAGTACACTACAATAATGCAGTTATGCACAGGATTTAGTACTGCTAATGCATTCTAATCACTTCACACTGCATTTCATTACTGATAAATTTGTAACCCATTCGCATCCCATTTGAAAGGGTTCCACACCAAATCTACAACTCTTCACTAAATACTTATAAAAGAGAAAAAGATGCATAGAAACTGCAGCACCTTCAGTCACCATTGTGTTTAAGCAAAGCAAATTCACTTGGCTAACACAAAACCATCTTGTATGCATGATATCACATTAAAGCTCCTCTGCAAACATCTGTTACAGGAAATGTTCTGTGGATCAAATGCAACTTATCACAGCAATCAGGAAACCACTACTGAGTTTTGCTTGCAACTCAGACCAGCTTAGCAGTGATGCACATGTGCAAACACCATCAGTACAAATGGCCAAAGCAGTTGTCCAGCTTCCAGTAAAGTTCTAATCATCTGCTGTCTTCAGCAATCTTCAGTCTGTATGTTCTACATCTTTTGTAAGTTCTGTATCCATCCTGCTAAAAGCTCAGAGCTTAACACAGCATCAGCTTAGAGAGGGATGAAAAGACAAGGAGAGGGAGAAAGACAGAGGAAGAGAAAGAAAGACAGAGCAAGTTGAGGCCACTTACCCTGACAGTGCTGGGCCGGGGGTTTAGCCACTTGGTGATGGTGTGGCCCTGGCTGGCCTGTGAAGCTCTTATGTAGCTCCTGTCTTGCTCCTCTGCCCCCTCCCACCTCCCAAACATGGAGCCTGGGACGCACACAGCCCCACTGGCGTGCTCCACTACAGCCTTATAGGGATGACTGGGGGAAAACACTCCAATCCGGGCGGCTGCAGGGCGGCCCCTCCGGCTCCATCGCTCAGACCATTCCAGAGAGTGTTGCTTTTTTTTCTGCTCTGAAAGGATGGAGACCTCACCATGCAGGAACATAAACAGTCCAACCCTACTATAGACACAGATGGACACATACACATGCTGCGGTAGCAGGCCATGTAGATACTAACACACCTGAGAGAGATGAGAGCAGGAGGAGAGAAGGACGATGTGTTCAGGTTACATCAATATACAACATCAATCAGTCACCTACTACAGCTAGTAGTGTATAACAGTCCCCTCGCCATATCTGTGATCTCAAAAATATCCTAAATGTGATTTAAAGGTAACTTTAGGGATAAAAAGATTTAATAATTTAGACTACATAAAAATTGAGCAGGCAATCTTTATGCCAATGAAGAATTTGTGGCAACAATAAAGGAAACATGTTTATGATCTATACATTGTATTTACAATCAACAAACATGCTTCGGTACCAAAAAAAGACAGCCAGTTGTTTCCTTTCAAATGGGAATATTTATTAAAAACTACTTTAATAACCTTATTGCCCTTGTGGTGACCATGGCAGTCCCCCTGCCAGTCTGGTTCACCCTGATGTAATGCCATCTTGGTTTTTCCATTAGGTGCTGTTTATCTACTGCTGTCACAGCCTCTTGGTATAACGCTAGCTAATTTAAAACCTTATTTTATATAAAACATTACTACACAGAGCAACAATTGCAATTGGAATGACAACCAATGGAACAGCATCTGTGATGCCAGTTGGTCACCACAGTCACCATTACCATCACAGTGGTTACAACAAATTTTCAACGAAAAAGACATTTGATCCAATTACTTATGTGTCTAACCAAACAGGTTTGTTAAAAGGGTAATGGTGCAAAAAATATGACCTACTTCACTGGGCAATAGGCAAGGTCTACCCATGTCTACACTGCTGCACAATTTATCTCCCATCTACTGCTCCATCTATTAGTGGAAAGGCACCACCATTAGACCACAACTGACAATTCTCAGTACAGCAATACAATATTGTGGTGTTAGCGTAGAGTAAGTCGCAGAAAACATTGCACTTTAAAGGTTAATGTCTAATTGTTGAACAGTCAGCAGGGAAGAGCCGCCAGTCAGCACTCCTGAAGCAGTCAGGACAGCAGGCAGGCCACTTCTAGCCATACACTTTTACCTGACTTACACTGCACCAACTACCCCTTAACCCAGCACAATGACATAAATAACATGTACACACACCTTAGACTAACAACAACTTATTTACAACATTTAAAGTCTACTCTACCGGCACCAGCATCTCCCATGAGTCTATTCACATGGCCAGAGTGCGTGTTCACACCTCCCACATGTCTATGGCCATGTGAGCCAGTAGTGGGAAGCTACAGTATACCTACAAAGTGGACCTACATTCACCAGCAACATTATTAAGAACACTGTGCACCTGCCTAGTCAGGCATTTATCCAATCAACCAATCATGTGGCTGCAGCACAGTACATAAAATTATGCAGCCACAAGGCAAGAGCTTCAGGTAATGTTCATATAAATCATCAGAATGGGTTAAAAATGTGATCTAAGTGACTTTGATTGTGGCATATTTGTTGGCGCCAGATGGCGTGATTTGAGTATTTCAGAAACTGTTGATATCCTGATATTTTTGCACATAACAGAATGGCGCACAGAATAAAAGGAAAGTGAGTCTGTGAGCAGAAACACCTCACTGATGAGAGAGGTCAGAGGAGAATGGCCAGACTTGTATGAGCTGTCAGAAAGGCTACAGTAACCACTCTTTACAGCACTGAACTTAATGCACTGAACTTTGGTGTGGATGGGCTACAACAGCGGGTTCTGCTCCCGTCAGCCTGTCACAGGAATCTGAGGCTACAGTGGACTTAGGGTCACCCTAGCTGGACAGTTGAAGATTGGCAAAAACATCACCTAGTATAATAAATTTTGATTTCTGCCGGGACATGGATATGGTTGGGTCGGAATTTGGCAGAAAGGGCATGAATCCATGCAACCAACCTGTCTTATGTCAACAGTTAAAGCTAGAGGTGTGATGGTGTAGGGAATGTTGGCTTGGCACACATTGGGCCCCCTAATACCAATAGAGTATTGTCTGAATGCCACAGCCTATCTGGGTATTGGTACTGACCATCTGCATCCCTTTATGGCCATAATTTAGCCATAATGATCTTGCATCTTGTCACAAAGCACAAGTCATCTCAAACCATTTCCATGAATAGGACAATGAGTTTAGTGTACAATGGCATTCCATGCCACAAATAATTTAAGCTCTCCTGAGAGTGGTGTTTGTGGCCAATGAGTGTAGGTACAAGGTAGCTGTAACTGATAAACAAGCAACTCAGTGTACATCACACATTAATGAATATGGTGCAAATTTATTTCTACCGGACCCTTTTCACTATCAGTCTTGAATGTTATTAGATTTTGAACTATTCATGAATGACAGAGAAGGCAGAACATTAGTCATTGAGAAATCAAAATGATTCATGATGAGTCCAGCCACTGTGGCTGAGATGGGCTAATGTTGGCAGTGCTTGGCAGCTACTACAAAGATTCATAATTTTAAGAAACAGTGTACATTCAGTATATACAACAAAGGAATTAACGAGTAAATAAAGAATAATGTCAGCGGATATGTTCTAAAACAGTAAAAATGAGTGGTTAATTATAAATTTCTGCATGTAATGGTAATTGCTATTGTAAAATATAGAAATACTGTAATGTAGAATCTTTATTTACAAACATATTTCCAAAAAAGTTGGGATGCTGTGTAGAATGTAAATAAAAATAGAATGCAATGATATGCAAATCATGTAAACCATATTATAAAGGAAAATACTACAAAGACAACATATCAAATGTTGAAACTGAGAAATTTTATTGTTTTTTGAAAAATATTTGCCCATTTTGAATTCGATGCCAACAACACATTCTAAAAAAGTTGGGACAGGAGCATGTTTACCACTGTGTTTCATCACCTCTTCTTTTAACAACACTCTGTAAGCGTTTGGGAACTGAGGAGACCAACTGCTGTGAAATGTTTTTCCATTCTTGATTGATATAGGATTTCAGCTGCTCATCAGTTCAGTGGCTCATTTGTCATATTTTTCATTTCATAATGCGCCAAATGTTTTCAGTGTTGAAAGGTCTGGACTGCAGGCAGGCCAGTTTAGCACCTGGAATCTTTTAATACAGAGCCACGCTGCTGTAATATGTGCAGAATATGATTTGACATTGTCTTGCTGAAATAATCAAGGCTTTCCCTGAAAAAGACTCTGATTCTGTAGTGGAAATCACTGCTTGGCTCAGGAACACTTCTGAAAACCACTGTCTGTGAACACATCTCTGCATCCACAAATACAAGTTAAAACTCTAAAAGTTAAAAAGTGTTGTGTTGTCTGACGAATCAACATTTGAAATTCTTTTTGGAAATCATGGACACTGTGTCCTCCGGGCTAAAGACCACTCAGCTTGTTATCAGTGCACAGTTCAAAACCCAGTTTTCATGATGGTATAGGGGTGCATTTGTGTGCATGGCACGGGTGACGTGCACATCTGTGAAGGCACCATTAATGCTGCACAATATAGATGTTTTGGCAACATATGCTGCCATCCAGACGATGTCTTTTTCAGGGAAGGCCTTCCTTATTTCAGCAAGACAAAGCCAAACCACATTCTGCATGTATTACAACAGCTTTACTCCATATTAAAAGAGTCTGGGTGCTAAACTGACCTGCCTGCAGTCCAGACCTGTCACCACTGAGAACATTTGGCACATTATAAAATAAAAAATATGACCAAGGAGACCCTGAACTGTTGAGCAGCTGAAATCCTATGTTAAGCAAAAATGGGAAAACATTTCCCTTTCAACTACAGCAGTTGGTCTCCTCAGTTCCCAAACACAAAGTGTTGTAGAGGTGATGAAACACAGTGGTAAACATGCCCATGTCCCAACTTTTTTAGAACGTATTGTTGGCATCAAATTTAAAATTAGCTACTTTCAATGAAATATAGGGTTTAAATGATTTGTACATCATTGCATTTTTGTTTTTATTTGCATTTAGCACAGCATCCCAACTTTTTTGGAAATGGGGTTGCAGATTAATGAAGGGTGGTCTCTGACTTTTCAGCAGTAAGTATGCATGCCTCTGGGTAATAAACTCTTTAGCCTTTCTGTCAGCTGTGCTCAGTGCACTATGCTCAGTGTGGTCCAGCTTGAAAATTTCACTCAGCACTCAGATTTTATGTCTTGAATGGGACAGACTTTATGCAGTGTGTGTGGAGCCACTAAGCTTTGCTTCTGGGTTTCGGGTGAGTAGCTGCAGCACGGCTGATTTCTCCTTGTTTTTTGGTATCAGGCCTGCCATGTGGAGTGTTTAATGGAAAAAATGCAAGGAATGTACCAGATTAGCTATCAGAGGCTAAATATGCCTTGAGAAGAAAGAGATATCCAAAACACTACAGTCAATAGGAGATTCATAAGATTACAAATAATAATAATAATAATAATAATAATAAATACAAACATCAACATCATTATGAAATACACACACAAAAAGGTTTTAAAAGACAGATGCAGGCTGTGACACCTTACTCGTCTCAGACGTGGCTAAACTAGGCTGGGCACACTCTCTTTTTTGGATACATTCTTGTCCACGCATAGCCAAGTTAAACTCCAACTCCTGTAAACACGGCTTGTGTGTGTCTGTCTCTTTTTTTTGGCAGTGGTCCACACTCGCTTGTCCATGGCGTTCAGTGGTCCACACTGAAGGAAACTGCTGCAGTTTTCTCCACCCCACTAGCTGGGCTTTAATATAGCACCAAAAAAGGAACTGTTCAGTAAATAAGGAGAAACTTGGCAGCTTGTTCCGCTCACAGGCATGTAAGGGAAG